TCTGCTTTGCTGGAGCGTTAATCGGAGCAGCGAGATTGGTGGCCAGCCATAGCTGGTACAGTACCTCTCTAAACATTTCCTCATCTCGAGTATACTATACCATTTACACAAACCATACCAATACTATACATATTATATACATGTTCATGTTCGTTTCTCCTCATCTTCGGTCTATTGGTTACTATACTAATCGTTCTCTAAGATTATAAACTCATCTTCACCCAACAATTACTGTAGTTCCGCTCTTCCTTTCCCGCCGTCGACAGCTAAGGTAACCATAAAGATTATTGAGAATATACTATTAGCGGTTGATTGAATACTGACTGTAACTGGGAGGAAGGGGCTTTTAGCCTTGAATAACCATCCATAGGTAACCACACATAATAATGGCCACTGTACTGGCAAGCCAAGGAGACAATGTGTGAGCGCCGAGCTTGAATCATTTATGAATGCATCGATAGACAACCCATCACTCAGACCTTTAATCAACCCTCGTGATTAACAATCCGTCAATCAGCTCGTAAGTTAGTCAGCCAGCCCCATCAACCCGCCCAATTCCTCAATCAGCAGGTAGGAACGGGCTACTATATTGACCAGTCTAGTCTCTCATCAGGCCCAGACATGAGACCCTAGCCGTGTTGGTCGGTCGATCTGTCGATTCGTATGTCTGCCTCTGCTCCAACAATCACGACCTTCTCTCCTTTCTTTTCCCCCAGTCGCTCTTTTCCATCTTCTCTCGGCCGAGCGGGCAACCCCAGTACTCCAACGCTCAATAATGTGATCTGGATAGCAGAGAGAAACACGATTTCCTCTAGCTTGTAGCCATCATCGGAATCACCTTGGGCATGGTATCTCATCTTTCATCCCATGCCGTAGTCAATGAAGGGGGCAAAGGATGGATCTGAGCTAGGACAGACATGCAGGGTAAGGATACACTCTGACATATACAGCGAGGCGGGTTTTTTCTTTCTTCTCCGGACCAGTTGAGCAGAGAAGACAGAAATATAATGTCCACTTTGGTTGTTTGGTGTCGAGATGAGGTAGTGTTGGATCTATGTTCCGCTTCGCTCTTCCCGTTTTGGTCTTCTCCTTCCCGCTTCAGTCACTCAGGCCAGGTTCAAAGTCCAGTTGGGAGTCCCATTTGGAGTTCAGTTCGGTGTCAAGATTGGCCTTGCAGGGCACCCTTTCCTCGTGTTGTATGTGTATGTGGATAGCTGTCTTAGCCACCGATATCTCGTGATGCCATTGAGCATACAGTGCGCGTATCAGTTAATGTAGTCGTATGTATAGTCCGCGATAAGCGCTACTCCATACAGGTGGGCTAGCCAAACTCACAAATCAAGTCAGTATATAAGGCAAAGGCGAATAAGGCGTTGTTCGGTTGTGGGTCAATCAGTCATTACTGGTAGACTGCTGCTGCTGTTGCGGCGCTGGCGGTGATCGTGGTGGCGATTGTGTCGACCCGCCCGGTTTCCGACCATAGACAATATTCATACGATGAATGGCATGGACTTTGGGATTTCTGATTTCGGAACGAACATTGGCACACAAGATCCTGACCTCATCGGCGGTCCAGCCCAGCACGGAGGTGAGCAGACGCAAGGTCCAATTCTCCAAACCGGTTTCGACATGTGCGCGAGCCCAGTGACCCATTTCCTTGAGAACGGGATCCCGGGGCCAGGGCCCGATGGGCCACTTGAACCGATGTTCCGTGACATCTTCGAAGCCCGCGTCCACCATATGGTCTCTCATGGATTCCAGGACCTGCAGCTCACGGCCCAGTTTTTGATGACATTCCGGGCCGACTTTGTTCCAGGCGGCGATGCCGCCGTCAGGCAGACAGCTGTTGTCGTCGCTGCTGAACTGGGCCGAGTACTCGGCCTGCTCGAGGTATCCGCCGGGTTTGAGACAGCGGAGACATTGGGCATATAGGGCCGGCCAGTCGTCGATGGAGCCGTGCAGTCCACGGATATGGATCAGGTCGAACTGGTTTTCGGAAAACGTCCATTCGGCTTCCATGTCGTCGATCTCGAACCGCACGTTGGGCGGCACCCATGTAGGCTGGATTGGTGATAGGTCCGTCCCGATCACAAGCGCGGACGGGTACATGTCCGCCACGTCGATGGCCCACGCGCCCGTGCCGGTGCCCAGGTCAAGAATCTGTTCGGGAGCCGGCCCAATCGGGGCGAGAAACAATCGTCCGCCCAGCGTCTTCATGTATAGGTTGTGTCCGATATCGAGGTGTTCGTTGGCTTCTTCGTCGTTCGAACCCCTGTGCACAGAGAAGGTTTGTCAGTATTATAACCAATGGATTGTTAACAACGATTGCGCCATTCACATCGCATTGCGAACCGGGCTGTAAAATATAGAAAGAAACAAGCAGATTGGTGCTGAACGGGCGAATGAATCTGGGTTTGCTGAACAGCCTCGATTATTCACTTACCAGTACTTCCCATCCTTGAAGGAATGGTACGTCCGTCCATTCTCAACTCGATAATCTCGTATCCAGGATGAAATCGACGTCGTTTCCGTGACGCTGCACAGGAGATCAAAAGTCCAAGTCAGCACAGTACTTGCCTCAACCTTAACGCACACAACGCCTCATTCGTTCTTTCAAAGGGGGCCACTCACGCATCATCGCCATATGCCGAGTCATTCGAATCGATATCCTGGAGAAAGCGGTCTCAGGTCAACAACGGAAAAGTAAAGAAATACGAACGAAACGACGCAAACAGGGAAGGTCTGCAAGTTATTCTGGTCTGGTCTTACAGTATCAGGAGCGATGTGGCTTCCTCCCTCTCTCTCCTCTTCGCGCTCTCGCTCGATTTCTTCCCGAGTCACGGCTCCTTCACCGAGTTCGTCTGGATTCTGGTGTTTTTGATCCATTGTGATAGATTATCTCCAATGTCTACCGCGGGGTGGCGTGATATGATGTGGCGCGAAGGCCTTGCTGACTTGACCGCGTGTGTTTTCCGGTCGCGTGGACGTGTATGTGCAACGGCAATTTTTGAACGCCTCTGTCTGCCCGTGTCCACTGCCAGAAGGCAAAGTGATATAGATTGAACTTTTGTCCGAGGTCAGGAAAATCCCCAGACTGATGAAAATCCCCCGAAAAGCGGTCAGTGGCAGGATCAACCGGTACTAGTAGTGGTCGGACTTTCCCAGGACTGTCACGGGGATGGACACAGTGGCAGTAGTCCTTCGATTGTGGGCAGCGAGCAGGAGCAGTGCCAGACTCGAAGAAGCGAGCAATATAACAACAACGAGAACTAATCAGGCACAGTTCAACGGCGTAGGGCAGCACCAGACCTTTTGCGCTGTCTCCGCGAACAAATCATGATCAAGCCAAACAATCGGCCAGCTGCTGGGGACCAAAACTAGATGTTGCCCGACAAATAAATTGATGGGCCAAGGAGACTGTGGTCCGTCCGGTGGCACCGGCTCCTGAGGATCCCTCTAGGCCCAAGCAGCTCCATAACCGACAAAGTCTGCTATCGGTGTGGAGGGGTTTTGTTTTATGCCTAGGCTCTCGTCTGTCCATCCCCTCTCCATGCAGAGCCAATTTGCGACGTCTTTCCGGGCCGCGCCGTGTTTTCCACACTGCTGTCTTGTTCAAGTTGTGGGTGTGCGTATACCAGGCACCTAGGTGCCCGGCAGAAACTATATTTCCAACATGCTCTTCTAGATACCGAAGACGTCTCTGTATATCTATGCAATGATGACCACTCCTCTACAAAGTGCCCATAGATCAGTATCCATTGACCGCTTCGGGGTATTGGTTCATCGGAGGCCTCGCTGCACATCCGGAAAAGCACCCTTGTAGCGCCTCACTTCTACCCAAATACCTAATGTCTATCACCGGCCACTCTCACCTCCATCACTCTGCGATTCCAAGACAAATCTGACCCCTTCCACCGTTTTGGCCATCATATCATGAGCCAGCTGTAGATTGGGAAAGACATGGAAATAATGCGGCAGGCCCGGGTAATGGTCAAGCTTGGATTTGACGCCGCTCTCCTTGAAGCGGTGATCCAACAAAATGCCATCGTCGCGCGCACAGTCCTTCTCCGCCGTAACGATATAGCATGGCGGGAACTTGGACAGATCGTCTTCCAGAAGGACAAAGTGATGAGGATCGTTGAAATCAATGTCGTAGTGTGCTGTAGCCACCGAAAACAATCAGCCGCAAGCCCACCATTGATAACCACAATCCCAGACAGCAGTAATTTTCGGGTTGTGGCCAACACTTACACCAGATGAACTTTGCCAATTCGAGTCCAAACACCGGCACGCCACTGTTGCCATTGTCCTGCCACGACGAATACATGTACTTGTATTTTCCATCGTAGTCCCAATGCAGCAGGACCGGGAACAACAGCACCAGCCCCGTGATTGAGTCACGGTCGTTTTGGTCGTAGATGAACCGATACGCCAAGTGGCTCGCGAGCATGGCGCCAGCGGATCCGCCGCACAGAAGTGTTTTGGACGGATCATGACCGAGCTCTTTTGCTCTGTTGCGACACTGTGATGCTCAACAGTCAGTAACGCGCAAAAGAACTGCTCGCCCGCGCAACGCAACCCAAGGTCGTCTACAACATGAGTCAACTCACCCACGGCACGGCCTTTGCACCGGCCTCAATGATTCCGTCCATCTTCGTCGCCGGAGCCTTGGGGTAATTGACGCTGATGACCAGACACGGCACTTTGGCCGCCAAGTACCGACAGTGCGCGTCTTCGGTATCCAGCGTTCCGGCGATGTAGCCTCCGCCATGGAAATAAATCATCAACGGGAGTGGTTGTGGTCGATCTGTAGCTGCTACTGCTGGCTGGTAAATTCGGACGTCCAGATTGCCATGTTCGTCGTCGGTCTTTTCGTCCCCTTAAGTTTGGCAAAACCGGTCAGTTATCGTTAGTGATGGTGGAAGTGACATTGACATCGTTAAAATGCTGAGAGAGAAACCCATCCCCTTTCGCGGGAAATAAACAGACTCAAAAGACCTCACGGCGTCAAGAGGAGAGGACAAAACACTTACAAACTGTCAACTCCTCGGGCAGTGCGGGCCATTGCTTGGATAATGCCGCAAAGACTGCATCGTACGTGGGTATGTCGACTGAAAAGTCGCCGGTCATGACATAGCGACCCCCCGAAGCATCTTCAAGCTGTATGCAAAGTCACTAGTCGTCTTCGACATGGAGAGGACGGATGAAGATAAGGCTGCAAGTTGCTGGGACTTGACCCCAATGTCGATGCTCAGCGGAAACTCAAACTTACTGCCAGCCATTCCGGTTGGTAGCCTTCTCGAGGGAATTTCTGCTCGCTACCCGCTTCCACCGCCATGGTCTCAACTCACAAGCAGCCTCAGGGAACACGAGTCTTGTTGCTATCACTTGAAGTCCGTGATACCGCTTGTAGTTGTAGGCGGCTAATCGTTTTATTAAGCGTGGGCGGAAATTGGCGCGAGTGGAGCAACCTCAACTGCAAATATCGCCTTCTACTAGTATAAACACCAAACATATCGACAGAAAGCTGGAAGAATAATAAATGGCATTAAAGAGTGCACAAGGTTATACGGTCGTGATCATCATGGATACATGATACCACAAAACAGCCAAATCTGAATGCAGACTACCAGGCAGAAAGTGTCCGCAAGGCACAGCACCGCCAACTTCAAGCCTTCAGAGCGAACTGCTTCAAATAGTGGTAGTGTTCCATGTTCGCGTCCACAGTCTCTCTGATGACTTTGGCAGCTTCCTTGCCATATTTCTTCTCCCACTCGGCGTCCCATTCAGCTTCGCTTCTGGCAGCTTTTTTCTGTTCCACGTTAGCATTGTCCACCTGAGGGTTTGGATAGTCCTACATGAGCCCTCGGCTTGAGATCTTTCGACTCGATGGCATCCTCATGAAAGCCTTTCCACTTTTCGAATGCCGCTTTCGCACGCTTCTGATCCTCTTCGTTGTCCCAATTCAGCATGTCGTGGGTGAATTCGAGTCCGACGCTCTTGCAATAGACCCTTAGGATACCTTCCGGATCATCCAACAGGTCATCAGCATCGATGAGGCAGGTCTCTGGCAGATTTGCATCGCCATTCGTAGCGTCGTCGTCTCGGCCAGCAACCTTGCGTCCGACCAAGCCGGATTCTCGGGTGAAGTCAAAGAATCGCCGAAGCTCATCATATCCGGCTTCGTTCGGGTAGTAGTCATAAAAGCCGGTCAATTTGTCCAGTGGGGGAATGGTGCAACGATAGTACGACGGAACGCTGGAGTGCGGGTCGCGGATGAGGAAGGTGAAGTGGAATTTTTCCAACATCGCTTTTGGCACGACGGTAGGATTCCCTGGTTCCGCCTCGGTCGGATAGGGAAACGGAGGCTTACGAACATGGTCACCACCGTTGCTGGTTCCGTTGACGGTGTCCGTTCCATTGGCTGTGCTCGAGAATTCTGTTCCGATGCCGCGTCTCTTGGGCAGCAGGGATGGCGCAATGCGGGCGGGCTGGCCGTCAGGAGGCAACAGATAGTAGATGATGTCCTTGATGAAGACACGCTTGCCCTATATTGCGTAAGTATGGTACACTCAAACTGCCGACGATTCCCGCATGGCTGCAAGACTTCCTGAGCGGCATCACACCTCGGATCCTTCGCGATCTATTTGATCAAAAATCGTCTTGTAGGTCGAATCACTGAACCCAGAGGCCTTCCTCGCCTCTTCATCGTTCTCAAAACGGCTGCTCATTCTCTCCGGCCTGGGGAGTGGTCAGAACTTCAGACTGCCCAACTGACCACTGCAGCTTCGATCGTACCCGTAATAGAATGCATCACCAAATGGTTCATGAACACACGACAGGTCTTTCCTGGTCATGAACACCTGCATTGTGTCAGCAGCTGCGAGGCCACAGATACAGCAGCGATCCTAACACGTTCAAAAGCCGTGCTACACGCACGCGGATGCGTGGCACAGAAGATAGGTTTCGCCATGACGGCAGTCGTGCTTCTGTCGACAATGCTACAAGTCGATGGAAGGTCGAATCGACTGGCCGATGCGACCAATTTGAAAAGGAATGTCAAGTCTCCGTAGACAAGGTTACGATAGCCCCTTTCGGTCAGCTATATTCGTCGACTGACTACAGCGTAGTCTGTCTGTGGAAGAAGACGAGAGCGGGATCGTCGTAAGAAACCGAGATATACTTATAGCCACCCAGAGCCAGCCGGTAAGGCAGGGGTCTTGTTGGCAGCTGTCCCGTGTAGGCAAGTGAGCAGGTGCCGGCCAACAGATTCTACAATATTGCAACCGTAAACTGCGGTCCTTCAGAGACAAACGGATGGATGGATCACGGATGGGAAGCGAAAAATTCGTCATTGTTTCTCAGCGGCAGCAAAGCTGAGATCTGTTATGACGCGCGCCCAACTTCACGATTCGTCGATGGAGGCTGCCACGCCCCGCATCGAAGAAGTCTGTTGGTCTTGGGTGCAACAGAACCTCACGCTCAGAGGCGAGATCATGTCCACTTTTCCAGGAACATGTGGGAGACTCGGGCGAAGGATCATGATTGACAGGGCACCACTGGCCGTGCCACAGAGGAAAGGTTGTTAGAAGTGCCAGGGACGGCAACGTCAACAGAAATGCCGGCGACAACAGCGTGGGGGTGGAATAACAGCAGGATCGTTGCATGATTATATTGTAGGTAGGTGCCGGTGGTCACGAACAACTTGAACCGCTGCCAGTCACCCAGTGATGAGTGTAGAATTAATAAGAATGACTGCAGTGGGATTTCGCTGCGCTGCGAAGTCCTGGCTCAGGCGCCGCCTGCTTCTGCGCTCGGCTGCCCTGCGCCCATCAACCTTCTTTCTCGCCGTCCGACTATCGTACAACGTAGAATTGAAGAGATCAAAAAAGGTCTTGTCTGCAGCGACTGTTCAAGGGCGCAGGCAGCCACCGACGCAGGCGTCGGCCAAGTGTTGGATTGGCATCACTCAACACGCTGGCACCGCCGAGACGGACTGAAGGCGCAGCCCAGTGCTGGGCAAGACTTCCTCCCCCGACGTTTGCTGCCCGAATCGTACGATACGAGCAAACAGTCCCCCGTTACCGACAAATAAAAACCAGCTCGCTTAGGAACATTTTTGGATCTTGGTCTACAGTTTCCAAGGTAGATCAAGTTTACTTCGGTGTTAGGTCTTTTGCAAGTATTTATTTTTTGTCTTCGTGGTCTACCTACCATTGTATTCTTAGGTTTTGTGAAGAGCACACATCTCTTTCTTCGTCCGCCTGGGAGGCACTTTCTCAGCCCTCAAGTCTCTGTCCAACCGAACCATTCATCCCCTCCTCGAATACGCCGACCATTGCCATGAAACCCTCATCCGCTGCCGCGGCGTCAATGCCAGACATGGAGGCCCTGCACCCCTATTTTCCGATCGAAGCAGAAATCGTGAACTTCATTGCCAATGACATGACCTTATTTCAACTCCTGGCGGCGTTTGGGACCGGCTGCGTAGGCATCCTCTCGGTGGGATGGCTCATTGCGTCGAGCGCAGGGCCAAAATTGAGGAAGCAGGACAAATTCATGGTGTTGTGGTTCTGTTTAAGTAAGAGAGAATGAAGGCCACGGTTCTTGGGGACCAGAGACTGACACCCAGAAGCCGGTGTTATCCACCTCTTCTTCGAAGGCTACTTTGCATACAATCATACACGGATGGGCAGTGCGCGAGATCTCTTTGGACAGCTGTGGAAGGAGTATGCCTTGTCGGATTCGCGGTATCTGACATCTGATCCTTTCGTTCTCTGCATGGAAACCATAACTGCGGTATGCGCCCCGATGATCGAACTGCCTATCGAGATATTGACCAAACGAAACAGCTCTTCTGGGGACCGCTCTCATTTTTGATGGTGTACTTCATCGTAACCGCCCACCCTCTACGATATCCTGTACAGGCGGTCGTGTCACTGGGCCAGATCTACGGGGACGTTCTATACTATGCCACCTGCATGTTTGACCACTATTACAAGAGCCTGACATACTGCCGACCGGAGGCATATTACTTCTGGTTCTATTTCTTCTTCATGAATTTCATCTGGATTGTCATTCCTGGCTGTAAGCATCCTGGATGGAGCAATTGGCGCAGCAACCAAGCTAACGGTGGCAGTACTCCTGGCGGACAGCATCATCACCACGGCAAAGGCGTTCAAGGCACTGAATCGCATATCGCATTCAGTGCAGGGAAATGGGTCCGTGAACAAGCCAAGCGTGAACGGTCGTCCCAAGCGTGCCTGAGACATGCACAGACCTACTCACTGAGATGAAGCAAGGGATTGAGTTGACTGGGAGCGCTAGCATACAAAGGGATGCAACGTTTTGCCGTGACGATCATTGAAGTGCTTGCGTCTGCGTCCTCGCGATGCCTGAGGACAGTTTTAAACTGGACAGTTTTGCAGGTAATAAATTGTAGAGCCATCCAAGACATTCAATACCTAGGTAAGTTATAGAGGGCCAATCCAGAATTCCGAAGTCAGCGGCACACTGCAGTACTAGCTGTCGGTAGGAATACTAAAATATTGGCTGGATTGTCGGCGGAGATGGTTGCCCGGTGGACGGCGCGTGCTCCACCATTAAGCGGTCCCATACACCATACAATACACTCACAACTCGAACTCAGCCTGACGGCGGCACTCCGGTTCAGGTCCAGGTCCAGGTCGAGTTGACGCAACCTGCTTGCACTGCATTTGCATGGAACCGATCTAAGAAACTCGTTACTTGGTCGCCTTGCATGAACTCTGACAGCATTTTCTCTTGTAGTCCGATCGGCAGACTGCCTACTCCTGCATCTCCCAAGGGAGAGTGTTCCTGCTCGATCCGTGGATCTTCCAACGACAAAGCTGTGGCCCATCTCACCATGCGCCTGCAATCGATTTCCATGCCGCAGAATACCCGACGCAAGGCCCGCTTGATAAACGCAACCTCATAATCACCCTCTCAAGGCCTGTACACAGTTGCAGGCAAACGCAACGCCAATGCGACCAGAGTCGTCGGCGGATTTCGGTCGCAGGACGCCCAAGAGCCGTAAGGTCGAACCGTCCTCTCCGCTGACAATCAACCATGTGACGCCCAACCGGACTTCTGGACTTTACGATTCCAACTCGGTACAAGATCGTATCCGCCAATGGCAGGTACAAGGTGCAGCAAATGCGCCGGCTCCAGATGCTGTGAGTGTCCGGTCGATACCATTCTCGGAATGTCCCTCCACAGTCTCAAGACCAAAGTCGGAGTATGGAGACGAGAACGCCGTCCGGACCGAGGGTCGCACGAGACACAAAGAAGACCAGGAACGAGATACGGCCAGAAGTCGGAGTGCCCCGAGAAAGCGCATCATTAGTGACGGCCATTGGAAGGCGAAGAAGGAAACAAAGGACCAGAAGGATGCGAGGCCTCCTGTCCCGAAAGTGCGCCCCGGCTCGACCCATTACGACCTGTCGTACACCTCAAATCAAGAGAGGCGAAATGGGCGCCGGAGATCGGATCGACAACAGAATTATATGGCCAAACAAGAGGCGGAGGACAAATCTATCTTCGACGATGGCATCAGAGTGGTCGCCGTTGAGGACGGCCGAAACAGCATACATCCACTGTCCGAGATGGATAGCCAGTTGGATGAAGACCTCGCCCAGAGGTTGGCCGGGGTCTCCATGGCTCGCGAGGAGATGGACACCTTCTCACAAACTTCCATCCAGCCAGACGAGACTGCCGGGATCACCCGGAGGACGAGTAAATACGCCGAGATGCTGAGTCGCGCTGCCGCATCGCCCGCAGACATGGATGCTCCCAGGTCGAGAAAACCCGGTCTCTTTGGGAGAACAAAGGACATATTTGGAAAATCAGATCCGACGCCTTCGCTCGATAAGAGGTTACCGAGTATCGAAGCTTGGTTAGAGGAGCAGCCGGATCCTTTTGTTGATGGGGAGGCTGCAGGCGACGTCCCGGCAGTAGAAGTACCACGTCCTCTGAGAAGACGCACCGAGCGCAAGCGCCGCTCAACTGAGAAACCATCCCTGATCGATCCAAATAAAATATGGGATTCTGTTCAGCTGACGGAGGAGGCTGTTGCACCCGTGCCGACGAGCAGACGGAGACACAGGTCAAGTAAAGGTGGTCCAGACGCGAACGGCGACCCGGAAGCCGCCGTTTCGCCGCCGCATGAAAAAAGTGACCGTCATCAGGATGCTGAAGGGTCGCCGTCACCATTACGACGAAGAGGCGCAAGACACCGTCGTCAAAGGAGTTCGCCCATGAAGGAATTATCGCCTCAGATTGAATTGGCGGACCAGAAAGAGGCCTTGGTGACCGAGGGAGACGTGGTTTCGAACAGAGAGCCAAGCAGGACATACTCTCCACAGCGGGCATACTCGCCTCCTCCGGAGCAGGTACTGCCATCGACTGCTTCCCGGGACGTGTCCACCAATAACATGGTTAAGCCAGACTCGGATGCCATCATGGGCGAGTTAATGGTGGCGGAGAACAATTGTGGCCTCACGCGCAAACTCACGACACATGAAGATCTCATGACTGTGCTCTCACAACCGCGGACAGGGAGGAGCCGGCGCTCAGCCCGTACTAGGAGTAAAAGAAATGTCCAGGAGACTGGCAACTCGACATCCGTACAGGAGATACTGGAGGTATTCAGGAAAGAAGAAGAGAAGTATATGCGAGAGCTACGAACTCTGGTGGACGGTGTTATACCAGTATTGTTGCAAGCGGTGCTTTCAAAGACAGATTCTGCGGCTGCGGCAGGGCTTTTCACGTCTTCCAGTACAGGTTCAGACCAGGCGAGCTTCACCAAACCCATTATTGAGATGGGTATCTCGCTGGAGCGGCTGAAGACATTGCACAGCCGCGCCCCTGGTCAGGAAGCGGATGCTCTCATCAGCTGGGCATCTACAGCACACAGAGCTTACAAGGATTACATTCAATCATGGAGACTTGGGTTTCAGGACATTGTCATCAACCTCGCTCCACTAGAGGGTTCCAAGACCACACCAAAAGACGAAGTCATGTCTCGTGATGAATCCGGCGATCTGGTCGACACGGAGGGAAAGAAGGTGGATGTGGCATATCTTTTGAAAAGACCTTTGGTAAGAGTCAAAGCTCTCAGTCGAACCTTCACCCGGCTTGACCAAGAATGCTCCAAAGCCCTCGCAAAACGTTCGGCCGACTTGTTTGCCGACCTTACCACAATGGCGAAGCGGCGAAATCAAGAAGAACAGGCACGCTTGGAGGACGAGGCTGCTGCCAACATCGATGCCATGAGAGTCCGGGACATCCGAACGATGGCTGCCATCACGGGAGTTGTGGTTGACAAATCTCGTCGTGTCAAAGCCAGGGACTTTTTCAATCTCACATTCTATCACTCCACTGGACAAAGAATGGATTGTGGCGTCGAACTGATCTTCCGAGATAACGCTCGAGGCGAACCTACAGGCGGCGATGTGCTCATCTGCGAGGTCGACAGCACCGGAAAGTGGCTCCTCTTTGCACCAGTCGAGCTGAATTCCATATCGGCAAGACGAGGCGAGGACGGCTTCGATCTTGTGGTCATGATACGTGGAAGAGCAGGATTAGGTCAAGAATGGCGTGAACTGCTGGCACTGAAGACCGAAGATGCGCAGGCAGTGACCGAATGGATAAACATGCTTGGCTCGAACCCTCTTCCACCTCGACTCAATCGAACCTCCAGCTTTGCAAAACGTAAACCAGTCCCGGAGAATGAGTTACCAAACACAACTGAGCCACCAAAGCAAGAAAGCCTTCAAAGCTATTCGACAGACCACGCCGCAGTCAGCCCCGAGCCACTGGATGTACCACTGGGAGAGCCATCTGTGATTGCAACTCGTACCAATGTGAGCCACCGCTCTGACCAAAAGAACCCTCTGCTGGATAAACCGTTGCCTCGTCTGAATTTGGGAGGTGGACTGGCGTCCCAGCCATTGCCGCCGCTTCACACCAGTACGCCGACTGTGGATACAAGACATACTCCTTCTTTGGTATCCTCGGATGCTTCTACCGTTTCAGACCCGTCCGTAAAGGCAAGTCTTGCAGCATTATCGTCACCGCCAAAATCCGTCTCGTCGAATCTTGAGCCCACGAAGCAGTCGAGAAACGCACCTGTTCGTCCGCCCATTTCTGAGCCACTATTCCCACACACCCCTCCGAAAGAGAAAATACCCACCCAACGCAATGACGATGATCAGTCGCCCAGGCCTAGAGGACTAAGGAAGGATACCCCTGAGAAAAGGCCTTCGGTCACCACAGCAGACGTACGGCCTTCCTCGATGCCGCTCGTCGAACCACGGTCCCAAGCATCACAAATCCACACGTACTATACTGGTGGTTCTTCAGAAGTCTCGAATTCTAGCACACCAGCTGCGACCGCTCCGAGACCCGGCTACCAGCGAGCGTTATCATCGACACCTTCTAAAGACCTTCCTACAGTCTCCAAAGTCCGGCATCAGCAGCATCAACCTCCAAGTGTGCCTACTCATGCTTCCCAGCCCAGAACCCCGGAGAAATCAACGCCCGGAAATGAACAAGCGAAGCAGGATATCAATAGCCCTGTAGAGAACCAGATATTCACGGATGAAACTCGGACATCACGGTCTGACAACATGCGTCGAAAGGGATCACAGGATGTCGATTCTCCTTCCAGCACCCCGACTTCGTCGGTGCTGCAGCCGAGACCGAACGGTTCAAGGGCGGTGCCTGGCTCGCCAGAGAAGAGTTCGAAGCGCAGGACGTCGTCCCCGTTGAAGCACGAGTACGCCCCCTCGACAACCTCTGATAGCGCATCCGACTATGACACAGAGAGTGTGAGCGATTCGTCTTCTGACACCTCGGATGCGTTGATGTCTGAGTTCGGCGACAAGCCAACCCCACTAGTGGCCATCACGGCCGGTGGGCGACGTACGTCGAAGCCAACCCAGGTTCGAACGTCGACGTCGATCCCATCAACAGGGACAAGAACGTTGGCGCCGTCGGACTCAGCATCACAAGGGCCCTATCGAAGGGTACCTTCCTCGGCTGCAGTGCCAGGGCATCGGAAGGGTAGGACGATTGCTCTGATATGCTCCTGGTCCGACAAAGGCATGTGGGAGCAAGTTCATCCGGACGAGTGTTCGATCGTCGTCTCCCCAGGCCTGATCGAGGCGTTTGAAATGTCGGCAGCCCATTCCGACCCGCGGGTGGCCGCTGCCGATGGACCAGATTCACGAAACTCTTCATTGACCGACCAGCCACTGGTAGCCTTTGAGCTGACACCGATTGTGGCGCTTCGAAGAGGGACGGCCATAGATATTTCCATCAGGTCGCCTCCGACACCAAACTCACGGATCAAGACGACAAGCATTGTGATGTTTCGCTCCCGAAATCCCGAGGAATGTGAGGCATTGTACGGGATGATCAACTGGGCGCGATGCAACAATCCGACGTACATCCAACTGCAGAACGCCCGCCCACGAAGACAACCATCAGTGACCTTCAATGTGGGTCAAGACAATCACAGCCGTGGAAGGTCAAGCTCATGGTTCAACTTTGGCAGCCGACAAAAGTCGAGCTATCGCGCGTCTTCTGCTCCCACGCCGGCATCTATTGACTTTTCGGTGGAAAGTTCGGGAACAATGGCCAGTGCATTTTCAGCGTTGAAGCGGTTTGGCGCCAGTTCGGCGTTCAATCTGAATCGGTCGTCGGTCATTCGAAGAGATGGCGGCGGCGGAGGAGGCACTGGTGGTTCTTCGTTGTACTCGTCAAGCAGTGGGACCGGCACAGGATCGAGTTCGAGCACACCAGCCCCGAGTCAATTGGGCTTTGTGCCCGGCAAAGATGGGCCTAATGTTCCCTTGACAAGTGCAGCGGCGGCAAATGGAGGAGGAATGGTCAACAACATGAAGATCCGGCTGTATGTCCGCAAGGGACAACATTGGGAAAACCTGGGCGCCGCACGGTTAAGTGTGTTGCCGCCTACGGCTGCTGTCACTGCTACTGCCACTGCTACCGCCGAAAGTAGTCGTCAACCTACTCCTACTCAGGCGACTCAAACCATGGGAGGGGATTTATCAGCAGCCTCGTCGCCCCCAATCACGCCCACACATAGTCGAACGCCGTCCAATGTCACTGGCACGCCGGTAATCCTAGGTCAACCAGGTGGTCAAGGCGCTCGAGGCCCCCGACTCCCCAGCTCCAGCCATACTCCGCACCGTGTCCATGGCAACGGATTAGAAAAGAGACTGCTCATCACGCGCAACAAGGATCCCGGTATTGTGCTGCTCGATGCCGTTTTGGGAGAAAGTTGTTTCGAACGTATCATGCAGACGGGGATTGCGGTCAAAGTGTGGAATGAGGATGAGCAGATTGGACATACCGGCGGCGTCACCATGGGTCGCGAAACGGTGTATATGTTGCAATTCCCGGGTACGAAGGAGGCACAGTGGGTGTTTCAACTGTGCGGATCGTATAGATATGCGGTTGGGGCAGGTGTTTGATATGATTGAGGTTAATGAGTGGACTGAAGACATGAGGCGAACGGGAACTGGGATGAGAACACTGAACACTACGAATCTCTTGGGTTGTCTTTCGTCCCATGTGGTAAGGAAAGAGCAGAGCGTCAGAAGTCGCCTGAAACAGGGAAGAGGAAATTCGACAGGGCTGGGCTAGACATGGTCACGTCGTCTCGTCTTTCTCAGCTGTTGTGTTCATAAACTGGCGGGTGTTACACGGTGTGAGTCTTTTCGAGCTGGATGGATCAAAAAAGGGTTTCTTCTACTGAAGAAGGTCGGTGGTTGGGTGGATGGGATGGTTGCAAGTTCTAGCATGGAGGGAGCAAGTTTTGTTCTGCACATTGTTCATCAAACCATAATTCATCAAGAAGAGTCCACGAGTGTTATTGTTGCTCGATATTAATGAGTGGAGGTGGATTTCATATTCCCAGGATAGTGTGTCTATCAATCTAGTCGTATGATGGGGAGATTGGTGCATTTTTACTGTGAATGGAAACCTTAGGTACGAGGCTGAACACCCTTTGCTTGCATCTGTGGTAGAGCCAGCCAAAGTAAATGAATAAATGAACCTTGCCTAATTTCCCTCCCTTTTTCCTTTTTATCACAACTCATCAATCTTCAACACATACAACCGCCTCCTTTCCAGCTCGCCTCTTTCCGCCCTCTGCAGCACAACCTCCAGATCTTGCACGGCATCAACATACTTCCCCGACAAGACTGATCTGGCTCTTCGGTCTGTGATCAACTTGACAATTGTCCATGCGACCAACTCTGGTGTCTCTGTGGCGCACCCCTTGGTCGAATTCAACATGTCTCTCATTCCAGCTACCTCGCGCACGGCGGTCATGTTGATCGCTCCGGGGACATGGGCAATGGTGGTGGGGACGTCGCCTGGATGGACTACGAATGTGGCGATACCATTAACAACACCACGAACAGAATTGCCGATCTTGCCGTGGCTGTTGCCAGTGCGGACTTCTTCATCACTGTTGTGAACTTCATCGTCACTGTGAAACCCACCCCTCCCTAGTACATTACTGCGAACCTCACTCCTTCGGAGATCGTTCCTGTCCCTCAGTTCCAGATCCAAATCATGATGGAATCGCGTCAACGCTGCCTTGGACGCACTGTATGCCGTCATATAGAACACCGAGTGCCCGGCGTTGCGAGAACCGAGAGAAATAATTGTCCCGCGGTTTCGAGCCATCATGCCCGGTAGGAACGCGTGGATCAATTGTACAGGACCCAAAAGGTTGGTGGAAATGACGTTGGTCCAAGGCCAATCTGACCACAACGAAAGAGGCGCAGACTCAGTGGAGGCCGAATTGGAAGAGATTCTTGCTTCTGGTTCTGCTGATTCCCTCAACGGTAACCTTGAGTGTCAGTCACTTAACCCCAAATCGTGGGCTCTTGGCTCAGCGCATCATGTCCCCTGTGCCCCCTCCCTCAGCCGTTTTTTCTTCTTGCTCTTTCAATGCCCAGCCCAGCCCAGCTCATATGACTTACGTTCTAAATAGAATGGATTAATCCGATCAATTGCCGCATTGTTGATCAAAATATCCACAAATTTAAAAGTCGGCGGCTGCTGCTGCTCATTCTGTTCATGCTGCTGCCGCTGACGACCATCATCATCGTTATCATGTTCGTCAGCAACTTGGTCTTCATGGTCTGAGCCGATCGTTGCAACGGCCGCCCGGATACCATACGCCGCCCCCGGCTGGCTCAGGTCGGCGACCACGGCCCACGCCCGGGCACTTCCTCTTCCATTGGCAAAGGTATTGTTCTCGTTCTCGTCGTCACGTTCGTTAATGTACGCCACCACTTCGTCCAATTCAGCCTTGGTGCGTGAGACACAAATGACATCCGCACCGGCCGCGGCCAGTGTGATGGCAATGGTGCGTCCAATGCCCCGTCCGGCGCCGGTGACGAGAGCTGTAGAGCCATGGAGCGGGCGTAATGACGATTGCGACTCCGAGTCCGATCTACCGAAATATTGGTCTGGCGCGATGAAGGGGTATACGTCCGAGTAAATAGGAACAGGTCCTTCCTCCTGCATACTTGTAGTCATAGATAAGGTATACGGAGGAATTTGTACCATTCAAATTTAACATGCCAACCAAGGAACTGCAGTGTGAAGGAGGAAGAACACGATTAGAGTGTATAGGGAGTAAATATACCTACATACTTTATGCCATGTCGATGATGTCCTCCTTCCTTACATCAGGAGCGCTGCAACCAACTTGAACAAGGCAACAGGCACCGGACCTGGTAGATGATAAGAGAGCTGCACCTGCCCGTGTGCTGGCTTCCAGATCGAGTACTTTGCATACATAGGTCCCAAGACGGGCAGGCCGCAACCGGTTGCACACTCCGTCAGCGTGAGATGACCATATATTCCAGTCCGGAGCGAGGAGCCATGCATCACATGCCGCAATGCATTGGGCTGTTCTCAGTTGTTGAGTAAGGTAGGTGGGAGCCAGGAGTACCGTACCTTACCTTGCTGAGAGGGTTGTTGGCGAGCCTGGGACACGCCCCGTTTGCCGATGAGAGGGTCTGGTAAGCTGCTCAGCTGGCGTCTCGTCTCTCCCCTCGTTAGGAGTACATACTTAGGTAGGGTAGTGTGAATACTGTACCATCTTGATGAGTATCTTGACTACGATATATACGGCACGGTGGTCTACCGTACCAACGAAATCTGGCTCGACGACACAACCTACACAAGAGCCTACATTACAGTCTATCTACTAATTTCTGGCTGGCACAATTCTCGTTCTCACTACTACATCAAAGTATAGGCACTCCTATGCCACCAGCCCTCCCATCCGCAATACTACCACTACCACCAGAAGGTCGCCGGGCACCCATCTTCTCACTCTTATCACCATCACCCAGACTAGCAGGATAGGGAGGGAGTTCCAACACTGGCTTGCACGGCCCCTCGGTCCTGCCATGCCAGATCGACACCTCGAAATCATATTGGGCCATACGGTCCTCCGGCATGACGGCAATACCGTCACGGATAGCTGGAGGAATTGCCTCCTCCGGGAACAGGTCCGGATCATGTTCGACATCATAAGCAGCATCATAGCGTTGTTGGGCATGCAGGACCAACACCAGGCGGTGGGCAGTACGGGCGACTTCGATGGGATGCCAATTCGCCCGGGCTCGATGCTTCAGTGCTTCGCGGAGATTCTGCTCGGCTCCCTCATGTTCGCCCACGTAGTACAGCAACGTGCCGACCATGTAGTAACTGAGCAAAGTATCGGACATAGTCTCATGTAGGATCCGCAATCGATCCCTCAGCACTTCACGATGCATTCGGAGGCTTTCGATCAGATGGCCCACACTGAACAGGGCACAGGCCCACATGTATCTGAAATTGATGGTCCAGACACTTTCCTTGCCCAGCGCCTGGCTTGACAAGACATATGATCTCTCGGCGCACTCGAGTGCTTCGGGACCCCGTTTCTGCAGCACCCGCAACCAGGTGAGGTCATAGTACATATGGGCGAAGCGGTAAGGGATGGTCTGTTCCGTCCTGATTTTCCGGTAATGTGCCAATGCGCGTTCATACAGGACCGCGGCCTCGTCGACCTCGTAGAGCCCGATCAGGCTGGCGGCTGTGTCGCACCAGGATCGACATAGCGTGATTTCGTCCGTTTGCGTGCGTGAGGTGGGAGGAATGCGGTCGTAATAATCCCGTCGTAGTTTCTGCACCTTTTTCATCGTCACGACAGATTTGCGCCGAGGTTCGGAGCCCAGTAGATCCTCATACACTGCAATACTCTCAAGGACCTGCGCAAATACGGGGTTCGGGTCGTCGGGCCCAACAAGCTCCTCGCATATTTGCTCCGCCAAGTAAAGCATGGGCATGGAGTCCTTGAAGATGTTCTGTTCCCATAAGAACGTCCCCGCGTCACATAACAGGTTGGCGAATTCGATGCTGGCCGTGATGCGCGGTTCCGAAGCCACATAGCATGATTGGAGACTGAGAACTTGGGGGAGGTATTTCTGCACCAGAGGCCAGCGATCTTCGGTGCGCGAGGTGAACTCGATCCGTGGGAAGACATCGCGTAGCGCTGTAAACGCCTTGTCGTATGCCCTTTGCCGCTGGTCTAGGTTTTTGTCTAGACGGTGCAGCACGCTGCGGCGAAATGACCGATGGATACGCAGAAAAAAATCGCCGCCCCGTTCGTCGCGCTCGACTAGATGGCGCTCACGGAGGTTGTAAATGATTTGTCTCAACCTGGAAAGTGATCAGCTTAAACAGCTACGCAACACGGGCGGTTTCAAAGGACAACGCCTGTTGCGGGTGGCTGACGACTTACCGTGCTGCCCGGATTTCCAGGTCATGACCTAGTCGGAGGACATCGCTGCGGCCCAGAATGATGGCTTCCGGGACAGCGTCAGGGTCTAAAAAGGCCAGCACATCAAGCAACTCGACTGCGGACGGTGTCAGGTTGGCCAGTGCGAGATCCCACACCGTATCCAGTTTCTTGGAATAATACAGCTTCACGGGCGCATTCCAAAGTTCTTCTGCCATAGGCCGCTTCTGTCGCAGTGTCTGAAGCACGTCATGCGCCCCCAGATTCGTCCTGAACGCGTACCCAGTGATAACGGAGATGGCTAGCGGCATCCCTCCCACTTCTTCGCTGAGTAGCTTCGCAGATGGACGTTCACTGTCGTCTCGCCGCAGGTTTTTGAGCACAAGGTCGGCCCCCTCGTCCTCTTTCAGTTGATCGATCGTGATATCCCGCGTCGTCAAGTCGATGAAGTCCAGGTTCTGCGTCGTAACGATAATGGATCCAACCTGAGTCGATGGCCAGTAGTTGCGGACCAGGTCGACGCTATCGGCATTGTCGAGGATGAGAAGCCAGTCCGCTGAGTAATACCTGTTAGCATATTCCAGACATTGTGAAGGATGATCTTTGCTTGCCATTGGCTTCCAGCCAGTCTTTGACCGCCTCGATTCTGCCACGCGCCGTCTTTTCATTGCCACCCACGCCAAGTTTGCGTGCAATATCGCTGTACGAGTTGGCGATCACGATTTCACTCTCGGCTGACACCCAGAGCACAGCAGAGTATTTGGAAGTGTACCGGAAGCAGTACTCGAGTGCAATTTGGGTCTTTCCGATTCCTCCTAGGCCGTGGAGCGTTGCTGATTGTGGTCCGATTTCGCTGAGAATGTCATGAACTGCTGAGAGGATGTCATCTCGCCCGGTAAAATTGGGGTTTCGGGGAAAAGGAATCACGACGATCGGGGCTTGACGGTTCGTGGACCGAGGCGAGGGCGGCATCATCAGGTAACGGTTGGCGCCGGCAGTCGGCGCAGTATCGACGTAGCCTGCCTGATATACTGCGCTGGTGAATGTCTGTTTGTGATAGACTAGACGTTTCAAGGTGTTTGCATAATCGCCCCTGATCTTCTTCCAACGCAGGCTGACCCACAAAGCTAGAGGGTATGATTAGAAGTCGAAGTTTGGAAATCCCCGTGTTATAAGACTGACCAGGTGACCGTCCGGTACGGTGGTTGAAGAACTCGGCAACGGTGATACAAAAGTCCACATAGTCGTCATAAATGTCCTTCAGTGCTTTTCTCACATCAGGCGTCGCGTAACTTGCATTGTAGAGATTGAGCTGCGGCAAGGCTTTGGTCAACTCCTGAAGCATTTGAGTGACATTGTCAAACCAGTCAAAGAACCGCAAAACGGACTACCAGAAGGAATGTTAGCCAGCGAAAATGTCTATTCCGCTGGAATCTCATCAAGAAGTGACACTGACAGAGAACACAAACTGAACCGCTGCCCAAATTAAATCGAGAACCGATTGATTGACGGGCACGAGCGTGTAGACCCCGCCGGCCAAGTCACCCAACCGTCGGAATATATCCTCCACCGGAGCCATAGAAGATGAGCGACCGCCATCTGAGAACAGCTGCTTGATGTTCGCAATAGCTTGGTCAAAGTTGTGGTATTGCATCAGATTCCGAAGAGCAGTCGCGTTGGCCTCCTTCATCCCATTCAGCCTTTCTTTGACCTGTTTGTCCCATTGCCACGCCTCAGCCATATATTTCTCCAAGGAGATCGATTCGAAATCTTTGGTGTGGAACACTTCAAACCGGAAGATCCATTCCTTGCCGCCAGGGATGGGTCGGAACAACATTAACTTGCAGCCTCGCATGTCGTGATGAGACAGTGGTGATGCTAGAGTCACATCCAGCCTGCTCTACTGATGAAAGGTTAGCAGAGCGGGCAGCCCAATGGTCATGGCGAGAGGAGCGGGCTGGAGGAAGGCGTCGAGGCCGCAGGCGAGACTGGAGCACGGTGAGGCTGGCGCAAGGGAATGGACGTCTTCGGATGACCTCAGCCACTTCACACCACAATCGACTCGGGTCGCCTCTCGCCCGCCGCCATTGATGGTCATGACTGCAAAGCCGAAGGGCAGCCCATGTCAGTGTCGATGGTGACACAGGCGAGTGACAGACTGGTTGGCCAACCAGACCAAGTGTGTGCGACCTCTGCATTAGCGATGTCCAGAGCTGAACAATAGAGGGGCAAGCAAAGGTGTTTGCTCCCTTGTCAGGCTGAATTCTGACACGGAACCCGTACATTCCGAGCAGGAATAAAATGGCGAGCCAGACAATCTATGGTGACACAGAGCGGCAAAGACCAAATCCCATGCAGCCACGTCCCCTTTTTGTCACCCTCACCCTTGAAGAACAAACACCATCGGCAGATGAAGTGCCATCGCTATCGGTTGTTGATGCAACACTTCGGTCTGCTGCACAGCGTGTTAGGTCTCCATTGGCCTCCAGCAACAAGGGTCCCAAGTGTGCATCCATGCAGTGGCCGGTGAGACGGGCTGTAAATTTGAAGTTCGAACAACGAGGTTGGATGAGAAATACGGCATGCGCGGGATCAATGCAACAGGAAATCAGCAACCACGACCCGCACTTCCGTCTTGTCAAGTTCTTGCTCGAGAGTTGAGGCTCTGCCGCCCAACTTTCAAGGTATATATGGAGTGAGAATAACTCCTGGAGTCTATACCGATGGCAGTGGTGCGGACAAAAAGAAAAGTATAAGCCTCCATCCCCACAAAATACAGTATGTGTACCGCCCCATTTGGCCTGTGGATGGAGGCCGCACAGTGTCTCCCCACTCGTATACCAGTTGTTGACTTTTGTGGCACAGCAGTTCAAACCTTCATCCTCCCATTGGCCTTGATAAGGCTCATTCCGCTCCTCGCTTCGAACCGGTTAAATCTATCGAAAATGCCAGCATCCTCCAAAAAGGTGGCGGATGGTCCTGAGCAGTTTTTCACCGCCCCAGCGCAGGACGAGAGGGAGCAGCCATGGAAGAAATTCTGGCAGGCCAAGGGGTCTGATGAGAAGGACACGTTCGTCGTGACGGAGAAGAACAGAAAAGCGTTGCAGGGTGGCCATGTCGCAGCTTGAGTGCCAGATAACCAAACGACCAGGCTACGAGTAGTGGAAGCAATGTCAGTCATTACTACTGTATGAAGTAGTAGACACGTAGACTACCAATTTCCCACAAATGTTGAATGTGCAGACATCGATGCCGGACTAGATCCTCACGTCGTCGCCCGTAGACTCATTAATAACCATGTTTCCAAGCATCCATGGCCAGAGATAGACCTGATGGATGGGGTCCTTAGGGTGACTTGACTTACCCTGTCCGGTCAGCCGCTGGCCACGACTCGCCTCGAAACCAGCAGCCAAGCGACCTAGAGCTGTGCAGATATAGTATGTCAAGATAACGACTGCTGACTCTTTGCCTCTCATGCATGACAATCAGCTTTTGATTAAATCCGAAATGGCATCATTGGCGCCGTGTGAACCTCTGGATGTCAAGACACAGCTCAACTATTTTGTGTGGAACGACGAGTTTCTCACCACCAAGCCTTATATCGCACTATTCAACGTCCCCGAAGGAATCGATGAATGCAACTTCGAGACTCGCCCAGGCCCAGAAGAGACCATACACGATATGCGAGGAGCCGAGCCCAACTTTACCCTCGACCGCCACGCATTCTGCATCCGGCGGGCTCGTCTGGAATTGGACAAGTTTGACCGGGAAACCGTCAAGCGAGAATACCTACCTTGGGTAGAGAGGTTTTTAATGACTGAAATTGAGGGTGCCTCGGAAATCGTCATCTTCGACTGGAGAGTATGTATGAGTTGTCAACAAACCATCCACAAGCCACTGATGCTCGTGTCATGCAGCTCCGGTCCAGCATGGACCGATCAGATTTAGCGGACGGAACGCAGGTCGATTTGGACGACACGTCGGTGTGTCTGGGCCCTGTCGGCGCCGTACATATTGGTCGGTTGCCGCCCAGAAAACACGAAGCAAGCGTCGGTCAGTGCTGATTGGGAGCGATAGACCAAAGCGACCAAGCCGCCGCCATACGCGTCCAACGACACATGGGATCCCGTGCCAGCAATCTCTTGAACAAGAAGCAGCGATATCGCATCATAAAGTGAGATCCTGATACTCCGCAAGTGGAAGCAAAGTTACGTGAGTCCTGACCGGTTGACAGTGTCTGGCGGCCCATCTGTGACCGAGTGGAGGACTGGCCGCTTGCAGTCTGCGATGGGTCGACGCTCAGTCCGCCCAAGATGATGGTGGTCGACCATGTTCGCCGTTCACATATCGGTGAGGCGATATACCCGATCTATGACTCCCGGTATCGGTGGCATTATTTGTCTCAACAACGAGACGATGAAATCCTGGTAATGAAAATGTTTGACTCGGAACAGGGAGTTGCTGCTCGACGTAAGTACAATTAACAATGCTCAGCCACCAACCTGGACTGGCAGCTAAGGTACTTGGTGACCAGATTGCGCTCACACAGCCTTTCGTCCGCTAGGGAAAGGGTTGCCCAACCCTGCACCGCGCGAAAGTATTGAGGTTAGGGCGCTGGTGTTTTGAAGGCGACATCTGAATTGAGTCTGCTGGGCTCCGTTGGGGAGAAATGCTTTGCTTTGGTTTTCCGCGTTTGTGTATTTTCCATCTTTCTATTTTTAGTCTTCAAAAAACAAAAACAAAAATACATGGTACAACTTAATCCATACCTTGTAAAGCAACCACAACACATATTATAAGTACTGTGATGGTCAAACTGGCAGAAGTACAGAATGTATGTGGATGCCTTCCCGAACAACCATAAGAGGGTACAACATATGATTGTTGGGCCTTATCACTCCAGGTAAGAGGATGAATCCCGATGTGACGAAACTTGTGCTACGCGAGACAAGGTGCAATGGGGCCAAAGACGCTCGCTCAGCCTCAGGCTCAACAGGATAACAGCCTGACGGTGTAATCATGTATCTATGATCATCGCAAACTCGCCTTGCTCTTGTTTTAGTCGAGGTGGTCAATTCCGCGGATTATACTGCCACTGCCAGCCGAAGCTCGCGCTCAAGCACCCAGAATGACCAGAGCGGTTAGTCACGATGATATGCTCAGAGGCAGCACGGCCGGACAGGCCCATCTTAGAGATAACGACTTTGACGCGGCCGTCGAACCAACTGCATCCAAAGACGGTGCATTCACCTTACGCGCCGTGCTCATGGGCTGTCTCCTCGGCATCTTCGTGTGCACGACCAACATGTACTTTGGCCTGCAAACCGGGTACACGAACGGCATGTCGAGCGTGAGCTCATTGCTAGGGTTCGTGGCCTTCAAAGGATGGGAGAGATACACCAAGCGGCCCGTCCTTGTCGGCGAGACAGTTCTGTTGCAAACCGTCGCCAGTGCTACGGGGTGCTTCCCGTCGACAGCGGGACTGCTCGGCGCGATTCCTGCTCTGGAGTTCCTCACCCCGCCAGCGCTTCAAGGACCACTCAAGCTCTCCTGGGTCCAATTGTTGCTGTGGTCGCTGGGCTTGAGTCTGTTCGGTCTGATCTGGGCCTTGATGCTACGCAGCCACTATGTGGACTCGGACAGACTGCCGTGGCCGGGAGCAAACGCGACGGCCATTTTGATCCGAGTGCTTCATGGTCAAAGACAACAACCTACTCCTCCTACACAGACGACGTATCGGTGTTCTTTGTGCGCCCTGCCTATAGCACCGGTAAACGTACAGGTGTCGGAAGATATGGTGGGAACATGTACGCATACGCCCACCCGACCGGCTGAGCCAGACCTGCTGGTCCCCTCCTCCTCTTGCAAGTCTCGGCGCGAGAGATGTAGGGAAGGTTATGACTGGTGGTCTCAGGCCAGGCTTCTGGTCTACACCGGCTTGTGCGCGGCTGTTTATGTAATGCTATACTCTCTTATGTCTTGCTTCTCTGTCTTCTATGCTTCTTTATCATAATACCCTATAGGGCTTGTCATTGACACATCTAACGCTCGTCGGTCATAGGGCCAAATCATGTACCTTTTCCCAATACTGCACGACTTGCCCGTTTTTGGCCAGACGGCTGCCACTGAAGGCCTGTGGACCATGAGCACTTCTCCCGGATATTTTGGCACCGGCGTCGTCACTGGACCAGAGATCACAATGCACATGCTTCTGGGTACCATCGTCGGATGGGGTGTTTTGGCTCCCTTATCCAAACGGTTCGGGTGGGCGCCCGGTGATGTCGGTGACTGGGAGAATGGAGCAAGAGGCTGGATCATCTGGATTAGTCTCAGCGCCTTGTTGACCGATTGTGTTGTCAAGATGCTTTGGACTGTTGTTGCTGAGCCGCTCTTTTCTCTGCCCTGGCGTTGGCATTGGCTTACTACACCGGCAATCTCTATCGGTGCCACCAGGCGTGACCACGATTCATCGGACGGTTCCACTGGCATTATTACTGACGACAATGATATTGAGGATACGCGACCATTGTTGGCCGACTTGGAGGCTTCCCAGTTTGGGCCTGTACAGGCGCCCCGACCCACAAGTTCAACCTCGTCTTCAACACCAACATCCACATGTACCACTTTGTCTCGAGCAGAGAATCAAGCAACTCCAGGCGGGCAACGAATCTCAATCACATATCAGGACGAGGAAGAAACTACTAACACAAAGACGGACATAGCGACAACAGCCCCCAGAAATACCAACTCTAAGCCACTACCCTTACCTATACTCTCCATTTGGACGCCATCCAGGCCCGCGACCATTGTGGCTCTCGTGTTTGCCATTTGTCTCTGTCTTATCTGCACGCGCCTGGCACTGGGAAGTACGATCCTCTCTGCTCCACTGGTGCTGCTGGCCGTCATGGTGTCATTGCCTCTGAGCGTGCTAGGCATCCGCTCTCTCGCCGAGACCGATTATAACCCCATGTCGGGAATTGGTAAGTTACTGCACCTATGATCACGGAATACCCAAGATCAAATTGAATAAAAGTTGAAATGAGATCTCTTCCAGTGGGCTAAACTAACTAACTCATCTTGCTTATCGCACTGCAGGCAAAATCTCTCAAATTCTTTTCGCCTTCTTCATCCCCAACTCCAACCCTTACCGGTTCATCATCAATATTATCGTTGGCGCCATTGCCGAAGCTGGAGCCAGTCAGGCCGGCGACATTTCATATGATCTCAAAGTTGGACAACTCGTAGTGGCTAGTAGCGGCAGCGGCGGCGGCGATGACACTTCCTACGGCTACTACTCCCAGGTGTCCCAAACTCACCCGCACCCGCAACCGCAACCACTCTCGCGATTCCTACTACAAGAAGCCCAACTCTACGGCCAGATCATAGGCTCCATCTTCGGCGCTTTCGTCTCGGTCGGCTTGTATAAACTGTACACTGCCAACAACGCCCTCCCGAGTCGACGATTTCCGATGCCCGTGGCCCATGTTTGGATTCTGGCCGCCAAGTTGGCAACCGGTATGGGCAACGACAACGACAACGATAACGACAACGGTGCTGCTTCTGGTGCTGGCTCAGCAGGGTTTCCCGAGAAATCAATCCAGTTCTCGATTGCCACGGCCGCCGTGTTTGCACTATTGACAGTATTACGGATAGGATCAGACGCAAAGAAAACAAGATGGAGGCACTGGATTCCAGGCGGCGTGGCGTTTGCCATTGGTAAGTGCTAATTAGGTTTTTTCTATCTTGATTGCCGCCAGAGCAAAAAACCTGAGAAAACTCTCCCTGTCACAACAGTGCCTCACCCACGCCCTGCAAGACTGACAAAGCTCTACCCACCCTGGCAGGGATTTATAACACGCCAGCATTCACCATCACGCGAGCTCTAGGCGGAATGTTCAATTGGTACTGGTTGGACATTTGTGGCAAGGATCATGATACATTGATGATCTGGGCCAGTGGTTTATTGTTCGGGGAATCGATTGCGGGCATCTTTGCCCTGCTTGTCACAGCTTCAGCCTGATACGGTCAGAGTGGTGGTAACACTGCTGCAGCAGCCCTGAATCTCACGGTCTCAAGGTCTACCAAAATTGAATGCATGTGGCCCTGCGCTCTTCTTCCGACAACATGCCTTGGATCTTGGCCTCGAGTGTCTTATGACGCAAATACTTGGCGCACAGCTCCCCGCCCAATGCTGTATACAGGGCCTCATCTTCGTACAGCGCACTCACAGCCTCGAGGAGTGATCGCGGTAGTCTTTGGGTGATGTTCCGCTGCAATCGGATTACCTCGTTTGTTCCGGGAGCTTCGGTGGCGTCTTGAATGGTGAGCTCCAACGAATTTTCCAGTCCCAACTGTCCTGCATGAAGAACGGCGGCAAGGCCGAGATACATGTTTGCGGTCCCGTCGGCACACCGTATCTCCCAATGCGTGGCGTCGGTTTTCCGGATCGGCACGTCTCGAAGTTCCGTGCCCCAGCTGACCCAGGTACCGGTCGCCCCGGCGAAATCTTCGACCCGACCATAACTATCAGGATTGGGCATGGTGAAGGCACAGACCGCAGGGAGATGAGCGAGTAGACCTGCCAGGAACTGCGTCTCGTGATGCGGCTTGGGATTCTGGATGGAGAGGTGAAGGTGCTGTCCTGTATGGCCGCTGCCGCTTTTGGGGAAGAATGTTGCCTTGTACCCGTGTGTCAAAAAGGTAGCCTTGATCGCTTCCGTGGCAAATACTAGGGCATCGACGGCTTCCCTGGGCGGCAGAGGACCGGTGACAATCTCAAACATGCCCTGAGAGCTTTCGGTGTGGAATTGGCAGACGGTGATGCCATTGCCGGCGTCCTGCAGCTGATGACAGATCTTTTCGAGAATGGGTGTGATCTCGCCGTGCAATGCGGCAGCCGTGGACCAACCGGCCACAGCGTCTAGAGTTTCCCACTGCTTGCTGTCATCTTTGGACTTCTGCAGAACCACAAACTCCAGCTCGAAGCCCACCAAGTATTCGATACCGTGCAATGATTGAGCCCGCTGAACAACTTCGTCCAAGACCGAACGGGGATCACGTTTCATCTGCATATTGTCTACGCCCTCGTGCACGTAGCACATGACGGAGGCGTGAGAAGCATGAGGATAGTAAGTGCATGGCAGGAGAGACCGCCAGTCCGGCCGAATGGTGCTGGCTGCACTCCGAGGAGTCGTATCTGGTTCATCGACGTAGCTACAGTAGAGGGCGGCGGGCCCAACAGACAGAAACTTGGAGTCATGTAGCATTTTGGAAGCATAGGATTTGGACAAGACTCGAGTGCGAAGGATTCCAAGCAGGTCCAGCCATTGATAGCGGATGAAGGACACGCCGTGCAGCTGCTGCCTGTTGGCAGCATCATCAAATGCTTTGGGGCTGCTTGCGGTAAGGGACAGTTGCTCTTTCATCGTGGGATGCGGTGGGATGAAATGTTGCTGTTAGTGGTGCTCTCCTGGAGGCTGGAGTCCAAGGAATTGGTGAGGTCAATTTCGACGACCACGGTGCTTAGGCGCTTTAGTTGAAGCAGATTGAAAATGGGCAGAGCTGCTACCTCGATGAATCCCATGGGTCTGGCCAGACATTAAACTAGGAAGGTTGCACAGCAGCTCCGTGCCATGGCAGTTCAAGTTCAGTCATAGCAGTGTCAGCCATGGATCACCGCTGCTGCTTCACTCACCGCACGTCGCAACGCTGTCACCCGGCAGTTGCAAGTCACCAGACGTGTGTCTGTGAAGGCAGTCCTTATCCACCAGTGAAATCAGTCTATCGTTGGGCTGCACTGCATGCGCTGGCCAGGCAATACACTGTGAGGCTGAGGCGGACAAGGGGAAGAAAGGCAACGGCCGTGAAGTGGTCCCAAGGTAAGGATAACATTCAAGAGCCCGGCTAGAAGGTGACAAGGCACACAGTCATGCACGCGCCAACCGTCCCAGTTTGCAACTTGAACCTACCGGGATCCCGGCCACACTGCTGGACCCGGCACAGCAAGGTCCAGGGATGATGGACCAGATCAATCGACTGTTCCAGTCATCACGCCCATCAGCGCGGACATTCTCTCTCTCCAGCCATGCCACTTCGAGAGCCGCCTACATTGAGACGCATGGCTCGGTGTCGTCCATGTCTCGAATCCCCTGGGCCCGTCCCTTGACGCCTTCAGGCGTCCATGAGGCTGAAGCCTAAGATCGGCTACGTTGACCTGGTATGCATAGCACTCATGACGGGCTTCGCAAACTTGCTTCCTCTGCAGGAGCCGCTCGGCCACAGCCTCACCGTGTCTTGCCACCCCTAGAAATGGCCTGAAGAAGATAATCAAGTCCACAGCAGATGTCCTTTGTGCAGCCGTTCAACTTCGACTGTTTACAAAGTCTATGACGGGCTCTAGAGGACAGAGCTGTACTCAGGACATTCAAAGCCTCCGTCATTATACTTCTTGTCTCAGCCCGATCACGTCAAAAGTGACCATCAGTATGCCAAACAACACCCCCGCCGGCGTTGTGCTCAACTGCGGTGATAGTCCACTGGCAATTGCATCGGGCGTCACTGGGTTCTGGACAACCTTCGTTGCATTTGGCGTCGCATATTACGCATTCTACCGCGTTGTTATCTCGGCGCCCGAGACGTATGCCGCCTTCTGTTCCGACGTCAGTCTTTTTCACTGGCAGTTGCATAATATCCAAAAAGACTTGGAATACTACGAACGACAGCTGAGCGGTGACCATCAAGAAGCCCCAGATCATGAGATTCTTATGGTAAAGGGGCGATTACATGAGGGGTTCCAGACATATGAGAAGGCAACGACGTTCCAGCAAGAACTAGCTGCCTCCGTGGGTGCGGCGGTGCGAACAAACAGGCAGTTTTCAGTCACTCGACTCCGGGTTGGATTCAGGTGGTGGTGGTCACAGAAGGCTCAAGCCACCAGCCTGGCGACCGAGATAGCTAGCCATCGCTCTCACCTGACCTTCAGGTATGTCACAATAACAGAGAGAGTATCGGAACTGACGGCAGATTCCAGCCAGCGGCATCTGACAACTCGCTATATTGGCTACTTACACCGCCACATATACCAGCTCCGGCAGGGAATCAAGGGCACCTCAACTGACTCATCAAACAGTGCTTTGACATTGGCCCAGTCGAATGGCCGAGCCAGCATGCCCCCTCCAGGACATGATCATCCTCCTCGGAGACCGATCAGCAGGACCCCGAGCCATGTGAGCCAGGGCTAACCGCACAATAGAACTGCTGGTCTAGTCTCAAATGCAGAATTCTTCATGTTCCTTGGGCTCATAAGTCGCGTAACTTTCCTGTGCAATTCCTGAGACCTCTAAGAACAGCCTGAAAGCCAGGCACCGAAGTCCGTTCCGGCCTTGCTGGTTATTCGACAATATGACCACGGCCACGGGAGAATGTCCGGACGTGAAGAGGACGACGGAACTAAAACCGTTGATGCTGCCCACATGGGAGTATACTGTCTCGTTACGGTACCGTGTGACGACCCATCCCAGTGCATATTTCACGGTTGAAAGCGGGTTCCATGGTGCCCATGCGCTTTCCGAAACCGTGATTCGTGGCGCAGTCAGGTTCAGATGGCCTGATGGAGAGATTGGGTTTGCTCGAAACATCATACTGCGCACGAACCTCGCATAGTCAGAAGCGGTCGCGATTATTGCACCCGCCCCGCTCACTGCAGGTTCATTGACCCAGCGAACTGGCAATAACTGACCAAAGAGCCACCTGTACCCACGCGCCAGGAGCCCCGTCTCAGCATGTTGGGAAGACGCCCCGCGGACGCAGGAGGATAAGTCGCAGCCGGCAGCTTGCAACGACGCATGACTGCTTTTCATACCCAACGGCCTGAAGAGCTTTGAGTCCAGGAGCTCCGCGTAGCTAGACCCGGTCAGTCGCTCAAGAGCCAGTGTTACCGCAACATATCCCGCATTGCAATACTGGAACACCTGACCAGGACGGTGGTGAAGCGGCCAGTGCCAAACTTCTTGGACAAGGTGGTGTGGCAGGAAAGGGGTAATTTCTCGGTCCAGATAGTACGACTCGTGGCTCGGTAGACCTGAGCTATGCGACAACAGAGACTCAATGGTGATGAGAGGAGTAATCTGGTCATCCTCGGTGGTGAAGATATCAGGGAGCAGCTTACTCATAGCAGTGTCCCAGCTGATTGAGGGTGTTTCGTCGATGACAATCGCTGTCAGTGCAGCTGTCAGGGATTTTGTCAAGCTTCCCAGATAATATAACGTCGAAGTGTCGGCAGCGACCGGGGGATATAGATGAGAGTATCCATAAGCCTACGACGCTGGGGTTAGTTACGGCAGCAGCGCAACTTCGTTTGGCATGCCACGAACAACTTGAACTCCTCAAGCAGAAGCTTGTATCCTGCGATGCTTCATCTGGCTTACCTTGCTATGAATTATACCGTCCTTGTCCACTACCGCAACCGAAAGTCCAGGGATCCGCCACTCTTCCAAAGTCGCAGAAACGCATGCATCAAATTCTTGGTGGAAAGGCGAGTCGTGCGCGTGTACATAGGCAAAGAAGCCACAGGACATAATGATGAAAGTCCAACCCCATACTAGCACCACAGGCACCAGTTCCCCAAAAAGCTGCTCGGTACGCATAATGTCGAGTTATGTCGTGCAATGCGTCCACAACTTGAAGGTGACGGGGAGAGCAGCTGCTGTGTGTAGGATGTAGACTTCTCTTTTTCTTCGCATTGCACTTGAGAACTTCCATCATGGTCCCACTTGCGAGATAGAACAGCCAGCCACCCTCGGTTGGCGAAGCCAGGGTTGGAACGCTGAGGAGGGGGGAAGGACGGCGTACACGTCGACATTCCTGGCGTTCAGGTTGGGCCTTACAGCGATCGCTTCGAGCCACTGCACGCTGTCGATAGTGATTGAAGACCTACCTACATCATTGTGACCTGACCTCCCTTCCTGGCCGCCTGGAAGGGGGCGCATCGTATGGCCGTGGTGGCCCCGGCCCTTGTGTGTCGGGTAGGAGGCGAGCAGGCGTGCGGCATTGTTCTATGCTGCAGCCATATGACCTACCTTCCATCAAGCTGTAATATTCGTAGCCGAAGGTACCTAGGTAACTAGGTAGTAATAGCACCTGGTAGTTCACAATACTAATGATGTTGTGAAACATTCAAGTTGTAGACGTCCGCCGGTGTGTGGGAGCAATTGAGGTCTGGTGGAGTGGCCGCTCTAATTTGAGTCTAAGTCGGATTCGGGAAGAAGAAGTTGCCTGATAAAGCGGCACAAACGACGTGCCGGAATGAAATTCTCCAGTGTCCGGATCTCGAACGGCTGCAGTATTTATACTACTACACTGGCACTTTGTACAACTACAAGATTTAAAGTGGTGCCGATTACTACCTCCCGGGTGGTAGTAGGTAGGCACTGTAGTGGCCATCAATTGTATGCACGTCGAGTTTCATTTCGCCGCTCAACAATAGATTACGGAGGGGCCCCCCTCTCTTCCGATCCTGCAACAATGCACTGACAATATTCCAAAACTTCAGCAAAGAACACAGAAGGCATTCACTCCACCACCCTTCGTACCCAAACGCACGGCCTACCATTGACTGCCTGGTTCTTCTCACCACTGTTGTCATGTTCGTGTGCGCCGGATGAAGCCTGATCGTTTGTGTACATCACGAACTGCGCGTCAACTCCGCGATCAATTGCTTCGTCTCGGGAACATCTTTCTCCAGTGCAGCGACGATTTCATCCCACACCTTATCCACAGCCGGCTCGCCCTTCTCCGCCGAGAGCAGCGGGTGTATCCTGACGGAGGTATCAGCCTAGGTACCTTGCCTTCCATTCCGAGAAGTATCACTCAAAGGGAGAAGTATGGGCAGAGATGAGAAAGGAAAGTTTACTTACAAATCGTGAAGATCGTCATCATACCAAAACCGACCATGAGCCTCGGGCCCAACAGCAGCTCCTGACACAAGTGCTCTAGACCCTTCTTCGGAAGTTCGTAGAACGAGCGCGTTCAATACTGCTCGAAGAAGATCCGCCAGGATTCCCTGATGGCCTCGACTGAGATTAGACTGGCAGAAACCGGGGCAGACGGCCGTGACGACAACGTCCGAGCCTGAGTCTTTGACCAGTGAAGCCAGCTTGCGCATGACGCACATGAGCAGGAACTTCGAGGTCTGGTATTGCTTGCTCGAATTGTAGTTTGTAGCTTGGTTGAACTGATCCAGAAGGCCATGGTCCGGCTTCTCCAGAGCTTCCTCCGATAAAGCGACCTTCTCGTGTCGTCTGGACGAGACGAATTCCAACAGGGAAAATGAGCCCGACTGGGACCGGGACTTCCGAGCAGTGTCGCGCAATTTGGGGAGAAGGTACAGAGCCAACAATGCCGTGGAAAGCACGTTGACTTGGAGCGTTTCCTCCCATCCATATGTGGATTTCTCATAGCCGACCATAAACACGCCCGCATTGAGGACAGCGATGTCAAGCCCGTCGGGGTCAGATGAGATCCGATTCGCAAAATCCCGAATGCTCGGGTACGAGTTCATGTCGAGCTGCCAGACTTCCAACACGTCCTTCTTCCCCGTTCGGGATTCAATGGTCGCTTTGGCCTGTTCTCCCTTGGAGACATCACGGACAGCGAGAATGACTCGTTTGGCGTCGAGTGCTGTGAACTTGGTGGCGGCCTCGAACCCAAGCCCGGAATTGGCGCCCGTCACCAGCACCGTCTTGTTGGTGAACTTGGTCTGTGGCTCGGCCAGCGGTTTCTGTATCAAGCCGCCAGCCATGGTCGCTTTGCGCGCGTGAACAAGTCCGAGTCCGGAGTAATGTTGCTTCAACAGTGTAGTCTGCGGCCGTCTTCTCGCGACCGTGTGAGGGATTGTAGTATAAAGCCGGCCCGTGGAAAAAGCAGAAGACGAGGCGATCACTGCTCGAAATATTGCAGGTAAGCGCCGGGACGGCTCCAGGGCCGTGTTTAGTTTGTACGTAGATATAGCGCCGCGCAAACCACCGGCCGATCGGGCTGGTGCTGCGGAAAGAGATGGAAGATGGCGAAAAGAAGAAGAACTGCTCACCCGCATCAGACCTTGCGTTGAACGAGAGCCCGGGCCCCAAAGTGGTAGTAGCAGAGGTTGAATGATGGACATGCCACGATCATGAACCTCTGTGTCAAGTAATGGCCCTAAAGTCCACAGATAAGACGGAAGCCCGGCTCCTCTTGGCTTCTCAGCAATTTTCTTCCCAGTTCTAGTGCATCGTAATACAATAGAATTCTCGCCTACCAGTGTCCGGCCTTTTCCATGGCCGGAGGTCAGTAAATGTATACCGTCCCAACCGGCGTCAACATCCCCTCCGGTCAGGGTCCAAACCGGCCCGGCCCGGACTTTGTTGGGTACCTCAGACTACGTAGCAGCCACCATCACCACTAGTACTACTAGCAGTGTCCTCATACCGGGCCTTTGCTTTTGAGGTATGGGACGTGGTCGGTTGAGGCATAATGTATGACAGACACCTGTAAAATTGGTTTGCAAGATAGTTTGATGTCCACAAAGGGTTTCGGGCCTGCAACTGTCATCACTGCATGTGTCGGCGTGCTTGTCTAGGTGCCGTGGTCAGCGTACCCCGCCTTGCACCACTGCAGTACTACTACTAATACTAGTAGTTAGTTGTATGCTCACCGGCGTGTCTCCGGGCCGGCTACCTCCAGCTACTACGCGAACACGCAGCAGCACGGTGGTATGTACAACGTAGGTATCTTGCCTCCTTGTACCTCCCTCCGTCGGTACAGTACCAACAAATTGCACTACTAACGATATTGTCGATTCGAGATGTCTCGAGCACAGTTTGATCTGAAAGAATTGGCTGCTGGTCCAAAACCAGAGTGTCGATCGACCACCAGCAGATCACAAGTACCATTCATTCTCTTGAATGGCCATTGGCCTGTCTAATCGTGGAACCCCAAATACCGAAGCCGATTCCCGAGCCTGAAACCCGAGGCAAGGCTGAAAGCTTGTCGGCACTGCACACAATGATATTTCTCCCACAATCCTACAAACTGTCGCCAATCATGGTCCTGCAATGCAGCCAATAGTCAGCATGACTCCGCAAACCCCAGAGAAACCTGAGGCAGGTAAGTAGGTATGGAGGCTCTAATGAATTGACGCTGCTTGTGGGGTATTTGACTTTGTGCGTAGTGTGGAACCTGGAGAGCTCCAGAGCTACCACTCGTGAGATCGTGGGATCTTACATATAAACATCGCGGGATTCAAGTTGCTGCCATGCTGCTCGAATCTTTTTCCCTAGTTCCGCCGTTTCATCTTTGAGGAGATCCGCTCATCCACGATTCCAAGTGTCCAGCTCACTGGCAAGAATCCACAAATGTACGAGGACATGACTGCTGGAACTTTGCCCCTGGAGCCCACTTTCGTGGATGACCCTCACACGGCTTCAGTACTACTTCGATACAGCATATGGCTCATTGGCGTCCTGTGCCTCACCAGAATCGTGCTGTTTCTATATCGCTCTCTGAGTTCCCCGCTTCGCTCCGTTCCTGGTCCATTCCTTGCCCGCTTTGGCAGGATATACTATTTCTGGAGAGTTAGTCGTGGCCGCTGGGAACATGACGACCTGGCCTTGCACCGCAAATATGGTCCCGTCGTCCGTGTGGCATCTGATATGTACAGCATCGATTCCCCGGAGGTCGTCAAAAAGGTCTATGGTATTGGCTCCAAGTCCCCAAAGTCAGATTGGTACGATGCATGGAGACATCCTGATCCCAACCGCTGGACGCTGTTCCCGGACAGAGATATGAAGAGACATGCCGAAACCAGGAAACGATTTCAGGCAATGTACTCCATGTCGAGCTTGGTCAATTATGAGGGGTATGTTGATGAATGTGCCGAAATCTTCTGCAGAAGACTGTCCGAATTTGCGGAACGTCGCGAAACCATCGACATGGCGCATTGGCTGCAGTGTTATGCTTTTGATGTGATTGGTGATATTACTTACTCTCAAAGATTTGGCTTTCTGGACAAGGGCGAGGATATTGCTGGACTGCTGAAGGCATTGAATGGAGTGTTGAAATACGGTGCCCTGGTGGGCATATACGCATCTTGGCATCCGATTGTGTACAATGTCTCAAGCCGTCTCGGGTTTGGCGGAGCAGCTGGTCGCACATACCTCATGCAATTCGTGGAGGAGCGCATTCGACAAAGAAAAGAAGAAGCCAAGGCTGGAAAAGATGTAGAAAAACTGGGCGAAAGGGACGAAAATGCGCCCATGGACTTCTTGGAGAAGCTCATGGTGGCTAACCAGAACGATCCAGAGAGGGTCACGCCATATCATGTCTTTATGATGGGGTTGTCGAACATCATTGCAGGATCTGATACAACCGCCGTCAGCCTTTCGTCCATTTTGTACAACCTTTTGAGGCACCCAGACAAAATGCTCAAGCTTCGACAGGAGATTGAGGACTTTGAAGCCCAAGGCCGCTGTGGTAGCCAAAACGTGGCGTTCAAGGAGAGTCAAGAGATGCCGTATCTGCAGGCTGTCATGAAGGAGGCACTTCGGATGCATCCAGCCACTGGCCTGCCTATGTGGCGAGTTGTACCCGAAGGAGGTGTCGAACTCTGCGGTCGGTATTTCCCAGAGGGCACTATTGTGGGTATCAATACCTGGTGTGCTCATTACAATGAAAATGTCTTTGGGCCAGACGCCGGCGAGTTCCGACCTGAGAGATGGATCGAAGCCGAGAAAGAGGGTGGCGAACGGCTGAAGAGCATGGAAAGTTATTACATGCCGGTGAGTAACGTGACGATGCGGACTACAATGGAGGAACGTCGGTGTTGACTTGTAGCAGTTTGGACTGGGATCGAGAACATGTCTCGGCCGTCATATCAGTTTTCTGGAGATGTCGAAGTTGATCCCCCAAATCGTCAGGCGATTCGACTTCGAGCTCGAGCATCCTGAACGGCACTGGGCCACTGACAACAACTGGTTCGTTAAACCGACGGATTTCCATGTGAAAGTAAAACGTTCAGGGGAATAGGTAATGGGATTGTAGGGTTCCAGCGTCCAAATACACCCTTCGCATCCACGACCCCACGATTTACCTGGTGGTATTTCCACGGCACAGTACAACCAGATTGCTGCTCAGGGCGTGACTGAAGGACATCTCGATAAATTCTATGCTCTATGGCGTTTGGCTTTTCATTATTGGGGGCAGCACACTGAATACCGCGGTCGGAACCACGCCAAGGTGGATAATGATGGCAATCTGATTCAGAAGCGGGAGGCGTTGACGCCACCATGTGTTTGGCATGAAGAAGATATCCATGCAAAGGCCTGCCGCTTGTCCTTGACCCAAACCGGTTTGGCTCTCGAGCTCAGTTGGAACCCGTCGCGCTCTGACACTCGCTCATGGCGAAGAGCGTATAGATAAAGTCAGGCTCTTTGTTTTAGCACTGACCCCTGTCCATCATAATTATTGGAGGTTCTCGTCTGCTTGTATGCCTTTTCAAAAAATCGAGATCGACTCCGGTTAAGTATGAAGAATTGCAGAGAGATTCCTCTGGCAGCAACAGAGCAACATCGAGGCCATCGCGGGCTAGAGCAGGTAGCGTGGGCAGAGGTCAAGATTGACAACCGGGCGATTGACGGGTAGATGGGAAAGATGGCTGACATTGATGACTGTGGAGCCGAGCTTTGGGGGTTTGAGCCACAGCTCTACATTGTACAGCGCTGCCGTCTCCCTCAGTTGCTCAGATGGTGCTAGCCAGTCCGGCTCGCCCGTGGTGTTCAGAGATTGCGATTCGCAGTCTAGCAGAATGGCAGTCCCACTGAACGTTGCCCAATTTCCGTCCGGGCGTTCTCGCCAGTACTTTAGCCAACGTTTAGCCCTGAATCGAGGCTACCAGGCTGGCTGGGGAGGCCTGCTGATGGGGCAGTATGATATGTACGGACCGGGGTGTGGTAGGAGGTGCGAAGCCAGAGCATCCGACGACAAGGCCCTGGGGCAACTTTTACGGGGACGAAAGGGGATAGTGCTGGTAGTCCGCGGGGGGTCAACCGGAGGCAGATGCATCAAAAGCGACCAGAGGAGTGCCATAGAAGACACACTGGCAGAGGGCAGCAATTAATGGAGGATGCTTTGAGGATGGGAGAGTGAAGTTACGGGGATGTCTGCAACCCCGGAGGCATGAGGTGCTCGAGTCGAAGAGCGAGCGGCTACAACTTCCCACCATCGCCCTGCAAATGCTTCCTACTGGCTGAGAGGCTCAGTAGGCGCCCCAGAATAGAGTCCGTCGCTCGCCCACTGTGACCAGCAGCACCAGCACCAGCACCAGCACCAGCACCAGACTGCACCCACGCCTCAAGCCTAAGGGTGCCCTGCTCCCTGCTCCCTGCTCCCTCACCCACACTAAAAACTGTGGTACTGAATTGTGCTGTGGCTGCTACTGCTACTGCTGCTGCTGCATCCGCACAGTCGAGGGCTCATCACTGGCCGATGCAACTGACAGACTGCGAACTTGCGCCTCCCGCAGCTGCGCTTCTCGCCTTTCCGCCTTCCCTGCCAGTGTCAGTGCTCGGCCATTCTTCCGCGCTGCCCAGTTTGCTGCTGATCTCGAAGCCCGATCGACGCTGTACAGACGTGAATCTGCCTGACTTCACGCCCACAATCTTCAACCCTTCTTCCCATCTCCTGCGCCCCGACTTACACCGTATCACTCGCATTTCATCTTCAGTCGCTTCATCCCGCGATATCTATGCGCCGCTCCATCTGAGACTCGACCTCGATCGCCTGGCCATTCAACAATCGCTTGTGCCCGCAACGCCCTGACCAGCCACATCCTTCCTCGATCTTGTCATCTCGCTCCTCCCAGTTCAGCCACCGTGCTCGATTGCTACCACCTGCGACTGCGTCCGATTCGTCTTGCCTAAGCATTTGGATCGCTATCTTCGACTACCTTGGATGTATTTCAAGCTGTCCGTCTCTTCTCTCTGCGCCCGCGACAGCAAGAATAGGTCTTCGTCGGCCACCGCTCGCCCCACATGAGTGGCAGCGCTGCCGCTCAGCCCTCGTCAGGTATGCTCCGATAGTCTTCATCTTGACGGCTCTATCAACCCTCGCCGGATTTGAGTAGGCCCGTTCCTAACATCCTCAAACTCAGGCCTATCTTCGCAAGATACCCGTTCGAACAGCGCCTCAATCGATCCAACTGTCGCCCCCTCAAGCCAAACACCCCAGAGCGATGAAGCGATGACAGAGAAGCCCAAACAGTCGTCGCTCGTCAAAGTACCTTCTCGGAGCTCTTCTCACCAGAAGCTATCCGAACCGACGTCCACCGCCTCCACCTCGCCTGCCGCGCCGATCGAACAAGCGCCCGCTCCCCGACGGGGGTCTAAGAGGAGTCTGTTGAGTAGGAGTAGGAATGCGAGTCGAAGCAGTAGGAAATCAGCCAGGGCACCTCAGGCTGCTGACACCTCCAAAGAACCAGTGCCGCCTCTTCCACAACCGGGCGCTCACAAAACCGAAAAGAAACCTCGGAGCGGCTTCTTTGCCATCCTGAATTGCTGCTTACCTCACGAGACTCCCGACGACGTCAGATCGGACGATCCAGACGTCTCGGCGAAAAAGGTCAAAATACAACCAGCGCCTCAAAGGGCATCTAGATCTGTCGAGCGGACCGAAGCAGTTGAGAACGAGAAGCCTGTGGCAACAAGGCCGGTTGGCCAGGAGAGGGCCCAGGAGGGCCGCGGTGTGGAGGACGAAAAGGCTGCGTGGTCGGACAAGCAGAAGACGGCCGAGGACACCAAAACAAGTGTACCAAAAGACCAAGCGTATCATGATATGGTCACCATCCCGCCCACAGCTTCGAGTTCGACACCTGTCCCGGCAGGGGCGAGTCAGGAGGATCAGAGCCCGATCACCACCAGCCAAAGGGACCAGGTACCGGCGATATCGGCTACTGCGCCCGAAGCTCCATTCCAGCCATCATTGAGCGTGACGGCGGCAACGCCGATTGAACCTGAATCCCACGCAGACGAACAGGCCTTCGCTGCTGAGAGCAACAGAAATAGCGACGTCGAGATGGACGACGCCCCTCCCGCAGTTCCAAGCGTCGATGATGAGCCCGTTGATGAACCTCCTCAACCTGCTGAGCTACAGCCCCAGGTACCTTTACCTCCGCCACCGCCGTTAGAGAAACGCCAGGAGCAGATAGCCACCAAAGAGGTTCCACCCGTTCCCGAAGCAGCGGCTGAAAAGCAGACATGGCTCTTACCTCCGGTTGAGCCTCATCTCAAAGGACGCAAGTGTCTGGTCCTTGACTTGGATGAAACCTTGGTACACAGCAGCTTCAAGATCCTGAACCAGGCCGACTTCACGATTCCTGTCGAAATCGAAGGTCAGTACCATAATGTTTATGTCATCAAAAGGCCAGGTGTGGACGCATTCATGAAAAGAGTGGGTGAGCTGTATGAAGTGGTGGTTTTCACCGCCTCTGTGTCCAAATATGGTGATCCATTGTTGGACCAGCTAGATATCCACCATGTGGTCCACCACCGTCTGTTCAGAGAGAGCTGTTACAATCACCAAGGGAACTATGTGAAGGTAAGCATCCCGTCATGAGGATCATCCCGGCACCCACTGATATTAGACACAGGATTTATCACAGGTTGGACGCGATCTGAAGGAAGTCATCATTATTGACAACTCACCAACGTCATACATCTTCCATCCACAGCATGCCGTTCCCATAAGCTCGTGGTTCTCCGATGCGCACGACAATGAGCTCCTCGATTTGATACCGGTCCTTGAAGATCTTGCCGGGCCGCAAGTGCAGGACGTGAGCCTGGTATTGGACGTGGCTCTGTGAGCAGGGGTGCCTTGTTTTACGTCTGAAAGCATTTGTTCGGACCCGGTGTCCTTATTAGAATGGCATAAGCACCAACAAAAGTCTTTGGCATTTTTCTAGCGAGGCGTCCACGATCTACTGGGCTGATGCTGGGGGGGTCACCGAGGTCAATTGGACCTCTTTGGACTTAAGAGTGCCAGGCTCGGGGAAAAGGAGGATCAAGGAACGGCATCAAAGCGGGAAAAAAACAAACCGATTGTAATACAACTTTGCAGGCTATTGCCAGTCCAACTGTCTCTTGTGCCTGTTTTCACAAGATTCCAAGGTCAAGATACCCGGTTCAGCCACCCTTTTGTGGTGTTTGGTGTTTTCAATTTTTGTGGGCGATTTGCATATGGCACGGATGTATTCGACCGTGCAGGATCCAGGAGGTTGCGAAAGAGGATAAGAAAGCGAGCAAGCGTGACAAAGTCTTTTCTTTGAAATGTACAGTCTTCTGATGTGTACTCAGATACCCAGAACGACACAAGGCCAGGAGGAGGGAGAATCAAGGCAGCAGACGACGGTGGTCCGATCGCAGCAGGAAAAGAGTCCGAATTTACATTCTTACAACATACTAGTAGGGAAATACTTTTGCGAGCGGTCATAGTCCAAGGAAGCAGCACACACACACACACAAATCAATCAATAAGTCTTGAGCAAAGATATAACGGCTTTTTTCAGGTTATTTCTATCTATATTGATGCTTTTGTGTGACCAGGCTTCACTGGTGCTAGTACGCGCATGGTTTTGCAACATTTGTCTTGCAATTGCCATGCAGTGGCTCAGCACGGAGGTCCAGCTACAGCTGACCCATTCAGTATGTACGAGTACCAGTATATACACTTAAGTACTACCAACGTACGTGATGAAATCCATCAATCACCTCGTTCTCGTAGAAGTTCACTTTTTTGATCCACCCAATAAGGACTTTCCAGATGTTATCTGATGTATGTCATACTCACTCCAGGTTTGCTACCTAGGTAACAGGTTAAGGTACAGTAGATACTAGCGATATACTGGACGCTCAAGTACATGCAAGTAACATATTGCATACTAGACACCTGTAGCTAACTATGATTGTCCAGCCACGGCGGGCAAGGCGCGGCAAAAGTCACGAATCAAAGGCCCAACTTGATCAGGAGCCTCGACACAATGCCAATGGCCGACGTCGGGCAAGACCTCGAGTCTTTTCCGAGTGTGAGAAGAAGTGCCCAAGGACTCGTGGATGGCTTTGCACCCGGCCAGCGGGGCACTCTTGTCGTGGTCGCCGGCGATAATCAGGACGGGACATTGGACTTTGGCGTAGTCGGGCGGGGTGGCGGCCGCGATGGCGCGGCAGTTGGCGATGTATCCTTGCGGTGATTGGCCGATGATCATTTCGCGGATGAAGGATTTTTGGAGGGCGGTGGCTTTGGGCCCGGTCGCGGTGTTGGGGATGGTGTTGGCCATGGTTTCGATGCCGCCTGTTTTGTTTTGGAGGGGTTTGGTTAGTGGTTGTTGTTGAATAGTAAGTAGAATGGGTGTAGACAGAGCGTGGATTCAGATGACAGAAAAGGGGCCTTTTCACTGTTCACCGACCTTGTTCCACAGTGGCAATACGTTGCTTAAATACATCTCCGACGCTCGGGTTGGGATTCACGGGACCAATGCAGATCGCAGCAATGACTCTTTCGGGCACAGTCGAGGCCAGGTAGGTCGGCACAATGGCGCCCATGGAGTAGCCTACCACGACGGCCTGGCGGACATTGAGATGGTCAAGGAGACCGAGGACATCTTTCGCGATCGAGGGGATCGACGACTCTGCATCCCCTTCGTTCAGCTTCGAGCGACCGGCTCCGTAGTTGTCGAAGACGATGCAGCGGTAGTGAGTTAGGTACGGAAGGATGGGGTAGAAGTAGTTCTGCGTGGATCCGAGGCCGTGGCTGAAGACCAGGGTCAGAGATGATTCTGGTGTTGCTGATGATTCCGCGCTGGGAGATATGTCTGTGTAGTGGAGCGTGTGGTTGTTGATGGTGACGAATGGCATTTTTTGATTTCTTCTCTTTTGCGTCAAACTTGGTGTTCGTCCTTTGTCTTTTGTGTCTTAAAAGTTGTGATGGATGAGAGTTGGGTATGTTGCTTAAAAAGTTGTACAGTTGTTCTTGATCTATAGCCAAATGCTTGATGCCAAAAGCTGGTTGGATCGACTGCTAATGACTGAGTCTGCAGTGATTCACACGAAACCGAGGATTTTGCCAGAGATGTATGGAAGGAAATCACAGAAAATGGAAACACTCAGTCACTCAACATGTACTGTATAGCTTCCTTGTCTTACCGTTTCGCTGCCGCGGGTAATAGAAGTACCTACCTGGATCCGGTGTTGCGGAGTGCGGAAGAGGAACCGGAAGGGGGACAGTTAGTGAAAGGTACTGGAGTCGAGTAGCAGTGCGTAGTGGTCAGCATGAAGCTAGTAGTGACACGTTCAGTGGATCGGCCCGAGCACGATGTCCTTGTGTCCACCGTCAGTTCCTCTCACTGAAGTGCCACTGGCATTGTACACCGGTAGCCTGTAATCACGACCTGCGCTGCAGTTGCCAAGTTTCGTAAGGAAATGATGGAGGCGAGGTTGTTTATTACTTGTGAAGAATCGCTGAGCAGCGTGATTTGTGATAAGCAGACGTGTGTCGCGAAAGATTGCCATATGCATTATCTTCGAGATTGTTGGTCGGATGCTCCAGGAGTGGAAGCACCTGTGGTAAATTCCGACTGGCAATTCGGGCAAGGTGTCACCGTACAAGTCTCGACAATTGCAAGTCATTAATGTTTGTCGAGGGACTTGAAGGTGGTAGTAATGTTTGTTGTTGTGGTCGGCAGAAATGTTATATAACACTGCATGGTCAGTAGTGGAGTCTTGGCCTGCAGCCGTGTTTCAAACATAGAGCAATGTCTCAAACTTGGACAATTGGCACGATTAAGTGCAATGTAACTCGACATGTGGAAGAAACTATTGTTCCGTGAAAAGCCGGGGTAAATAATGAGATGGTGAAGAGCAAAAACAATGTGATCAAGATACTATAGGTAGGTACCTAGTATTGCAACTGGGTAGCCAGTACTATAAAGGAGGCTCCACCACACAGCAGCTAATCTTATTCCTACCTAGGTACTTAGCCGCCTACAAGGCGCCCTCAATGTGAGTTCGTTCGGTGGTAGTACAGTGCAGGGCATCAAATCGTCTAGTACTAGTGGCAGTATTTTTACATACAGCATCTGTACTTCAGTTGTCAGGAGTCAAGTTGATGAGGCGTAAATTGCTTGGCTACCAGGTACAAGGTACAACTACCTGGTAGTATGTACGTCGGCAATATTTACTATTCATCCAATGGAGTGCATGTTAAGGACTATGCTAGTAATTCTCGACAGGGGAAACCCATTTTCTGTAGTTGTTTTGTTCAACCTACGAAAAAATCAGAGCGACGTCTGCTGAACCTTTGGCGCTCCTCGTCAGCCTCCGATCATCCTCGATTCCTGGTACCGGCGACATGTGTCTGGTGGGCCTGCGAACGTTGGCAGACGCGTAGTGCTGAGGTGGGCAGTCGATGGTCCACGCAAACTGCAGGCAAAGTAAGGCTGGCTCGACAAGAGTGTCAGGAGTAGCATTCGAGGCAGCCTACAGCACCATCGAGAAGGTTGACGGGGCTCTCTAGGCCTTCTAAGCCCGGAACTCCCCTACTGACTGCATGGGAAAGCTGCCTTTTGCAGGTGCCTGGGTGGATTGCTCCACCCCGAAAAGCCCCCTTCGGCCGCCGCCACAGCAGTGGAACAGCAGCAGTAGTAATAGAGTATAGTCCTCTAGGTCCAGAAGGCTACCGTGCATCAAGCCCGGAACCTTCTCCTCCGACTGCATCTCCAGATCCTCATCTTCAATACTACTACTGTCTGATACCTTCTACTCTTTCGTATCTTTCGTTTCATTCTTCCCCGCCGATTTTCCTCTTCTTCTTCTTTGCTTCTTGTGCTGCGCTTCACCCGGCTCTTGATGCCGATTCCGTTCGCTACGTAGCCCTAATTTTTTTGATCGACAGTATGGCCCCCGACTTCCGGCTCTCCGTCCCCTGGCTGAGCCAAGTGGTCGTGCTCTTTGCTTGCGTGTCCCACGCATTCTACATTCCAGGTATGTCATGTCGTGATATAGTCATCCGATGGCCACCTCGCATAACTAGATGGTCTGACCGGTGTTAGGGTATTCAATACGCAGTTACCAAGACGGCGAGAACATCCCTCTGCTTGTGAACAAGGTCTACTCCAGCACCAGCCAGCTTCAGTACGCTTACTTCGACCTACCTTTCGTCTGTCCTCCCACAGGCCACAAGCCGCATGGCTCGTCATCCGCCAGTGGGCACAGTGTGCCTCTCAACCTCGGAGAAGTCCTGCGGGGCGACCGGATTAAGACGTCTGACTTGGAGGTGAACATGGGACAGGATGATGAATGCCAATACTTGTGCGACCGCGCCATCGGCGCAACAGAAATGAAGTGGGCGCAACAGTTGATCGAACAAGAATATCTCGTGGAATGGATCCTCGACAACCTTCCGGGCGCCACCTCGTTCGTTACGGTCGATCGAAGTAAGAAGTACTACGCGGCGGGATTCAAGCTCGGGTATAAGGATTTCGACGTCACCACGGGAAAGGAGAGGTACTATCTCTACAATCACCACACCCTGGTAGTTCGCTGGCGCAAGGCGCCTGGCAAAGCCGGGGAGAACGGCGGCAAAGTGGTGGTGGGCTTCGAGGTCTACCCGAAAAGCATCAGTGGCGGCCACCGGAACGATACTGGCTGCCCGTTCGATGTGTCGGGTGAGCATGAACCGTTTGCTCTATATATCCCGTCAAACAAAACCCGATTGCAGGAGCAGTATCCAGACTCGTCCTACGTTCCGGCGGATGCCGAGGAAGCTATTGACAAGGATGCCACCATCACTATCCCATACACGTATTCAGTCTACTTCCGAGAGGCCAACGATATCGATTGGGCCAACCGGTGGGACCTTTATTTCAATGATCAGGAAGAGAGCACCTCGACCCACTGGCTGGCCATTGTCAACTCATTGATCATATCGGGAATCCTGGGCGCGGTTTGCGTCGTTATCTGGGGCCGTACTACGCAAGGAGATGTCAAAGGGCGAGGAGACGGCGTGCTCGAGGAGGCTAGATTGCGCATCACCAAGCGGATCGAGAAGAAACTGGGCAGCGGTCTCCTGGAAAAAGTTTCTGAAACCGGTCTCGAGGAAGAGGCATTGTCAGACGAAGAACCACTGGAAGAAATTAGTGGATGGAAACTTCTGCACGGAGATGTGTTCAGGCCACCGCCGTACGGGGGGCTTCTGGCGCCATTAATTGGTTCCGGCATGCAATTGGTGTTCATGATCGTGGGCCTCCTGGCGCTCAGCTGTGTCGGCGTGCTGAATCCCAGTTGGCGCGGCGGCTTCTGGAGCGTTGGAGTAGGTCTGTTTGTGCTGGCAGGCGGCTTTTCGGGATATTTCTCGGCGCGAGTCTACAAGACTTTTGGAGGGCAGGATTGGCGTAAGAACGCAATGATGGTAAGTATTAGTACTGCTCAACGGAGAGCGAGAATGGGTCATGCTGACTGTGTCTGTTCTAGACCGCCCTTCTGTTCCCAGGCCTGGTTTTCTCGCTCGTTTTCGTCCTAAATCTGTTTACTTGGGCACAAGCATCGTCAACCGCCCTGCCCTTTTCGACGCTGGTGGGCCTGGTCTGCTTGTGGCTTCTCATCCAGCTTCCGCTGGTCCACCTGGGGGCATACTTTGGGTTCTTCCGGTCACCCGCCTGGGAACATCCCACCCGCACAAATGCGATTCCCCGACAAATACCTCCTCAGGTCTGGTATACCAAGCATCAAATCACCCTTGCTCTGGGAGCGGGTCTGCTCTCATTCGCGGTTCTCTTCATCGAACTCATCTTTCTATTCAAGTCATTGTACCTGGACAAATCGTCCTATTACTACGTCTTTGGCTTTCTGAGCATCATTTCAGCGTTGCTCACCATCACCATCGCCGAGACTGTCATCATTACGACATATATCCAACTTTGCGCCGAAAACTATCACTGGTGGTGGCAATCGTTCTTGGTTGGCGGAGCCTCTGGGTTTTGGATTTTTGTTTACTCGGTGTGGTATTATGCCACTCGACTGCACGTCGAAGGCTTTGTGAGCAGTTTGTTATTTTTCAGCTACAGCGCGCTTTCGTGTGCGGTGTATTCACTGGCAACCGGGACGATTGGGTTCCTGACGGCGTACATGTTTATTCGGCGGATATACAGCGGAGTCAAGGTGGATTGAATAGCAGACGGGCAAACCATGCATGCGTTCGCCCTTGAAAAGCGCATGAGGGGCGGCTTGGATAAGGGCAAGTTGTATAGACGGGCGCCGAACAGGGTTGCTAGATTTGTAAAGCATAATAGCAAAGTACCATCCATCAATAGTAATTACGCCAGCTTTATGTTAGACCGCGTTGCGAGGGGTATAGCAAAGTCGTGCAGATCTGGGGATCCGTGAATCGACATACAGTTGAATCTGTAATAAGAATGTTGGACAGGGCGCGGTACGCAGCCAGCAATCAGAGTGCGAATATCCGATACCGGGCGGGTGACGCATAATGCATTATTAATGCCCGCCTTAGTCAGCCGCCGTCTACGACTTGAAGGTAGGTACACACGCGCCCGCTCGCACCTGGAAGGGCGTTCACTTGTACATTCATCAATTCTCCAAGGATGCATCAATCGTGTCATCGAGCAGGGTTTTCCTGGGCGGTCTCCGTGACCCACGACTGGAGCACATGCCAGTACTACTACTACTCACAGTGCTGCGTGTAATCATTTGGCGTAAAGAAAGTTCGCTGACCAAGAACACAGCTTGAATGCCGATGGCGCCTTTCTGCCCGTTCAAGTTCTCGTGGCTGACACGAAAGGTGGGGGACATGTCCGACGGACATCGATGCAACTGGCACTCGAAGGGCGTAATGGTGGGTCAGAATGGCACACTTGTGGTCCCCGACGACCAGCTGGGCACGGAAAGTCAAACCACGGGGAACTCCATAGTAGGAAAACTCCCAGGAAAACTACAACCGACTCCATCTCCAGGGCTGAGGGAGACTTGCACCACATCTCCAACCACAGCCGCGGGTCCTAGGCCTGCTGAGGACAAGAACATTACCAGTATTCGTGCTGGTATTGGTGGTGGATGCCGCCCCCTTGAGCCGCCCTCAGTGCTCGTTGACAGATGAGTCTCCCGAAAAGCCAGTCCAAGACGCCAGTGGTACCGTCCGTTGTATACGCGCCCACAGCAGTCGCTTTGCTCTGACTCACCCTCGCGCGCCTTTCGTCGACATGGTCAATGTCAACTGTGGACAAGCTTCTTCACACCTTGCCCGACACAGGCATTACTACACGGACCGCTTCGTTTCCCTAGCATTTGCCCTGCATGCGACCTACTGACTGTACCTCCCTGCGTACCTGCTGACTGACTGATCTTGGAGTCGGCGATCTGATACTTGGATGCATTGAAAATCTCAGGTTTGGCATGACTCGATCCCTCTTTGGTATATAAACACCATCCAGCCATCCGATGGTTCCACACTCGTCCCTATACTCACTGTACATTCCATCCCCAATATCTATCTCTGTTCTATATCCAACTGGCGGATAACTCTCCTGTTGCGCTCTTGTGCACGAAATAGGACCTGAACACCACCACTACAGACCCTGCCTTCTCAAACCCTGCGCCGATATCCAGCCGACTACCTTCCCCCATTTGGTCTGGGGAACCATCCTTGACCAGCGGCTACATCAGTCGCTGCCCTTGAATCTCCTCTTCTGTCCCCCCTGTCTTTGCTTCCACAATGCACTCTACGTGCCACCAGATATCTGGCGACATGCCTTCCTTCCACACCGCCACAGCGCCCTCATACTCTGCGCTGCCAAAACCGCTAGCGATTCCCGGCGTCATGGCAGGACGACGGGGGTCGTCTTTGGCCAACGCCATTGGACTGCGCCGGAAGAGTGAAATCGACATTGTTCTAGATGGCGAGGCCGAGTTTGTCCACTCGTATTCCACATTCGACGAGATCAAAGGTCGAGCGAATATCAAGTTCGACAAGGACACATCCTTCGATAACCTGTGCATCACTTTCGAAGGCCAGAGCTCAACCTACGTGGAGAGGATCACGACCACCACGCCTACGACGGGACGTACAACGGGAAACCAGACGTTTCTCAGAGTTCAACAGCCGATTGATCAAAGCTGTTTACCAGCCGACGGCGTATTCCGGGGCAACGTCACCTACAGCGTTCCATTCAACTTTGTCGTCCCGGACCGCTTGTTGCCCTTCATCTGCACTCATAAAGTGGTCGATGAAGACATCAGACATGACCACACCCAACTCCCTCCAAGCATCGGAGACCCCAATGTTTCCGGAGAAGGCAACACCCTGCTGGATGACATGGCTCCCGAAATGGCCAAGATCGTCTATTCTATCCGAGCCCGCATCTCCAGATACAACGCCGTGGGCCGGCTCCTCGAGTTGGCCGACAAGTCAGAACGGGTGAGACTGGTGCCGGCACGAGACGAAGCGCCGCCGTTGACCATGGGGGAACCACACCCTCTTGACGAACACGTCATGCGGCGCGAGAAGAGCGTCAAGAGAGGCCTGTTCAAGATGGGCAAGACGGGCCGTCTCACCGCGGAGACGAGCCAGCCCAAGAGTCTGCGTCTGCCGTATGCTGGACGACGCCCGACCGAGCCCGTGTCCACCATGGCCACCATCAACCTGCGCTTCGATCCGCAGACAGGTACCGACGAACCCCCTCAGCTCGACTCGATCGTCACCAAGTTAAAAGCGAACACCTTCTTCGGCGCCGCCCCTTACTCTCGGCGCCCAGAGCTGCGAAAACACGACAACTGGTCGACGCTGCACGGTGTCTACTCCCAGTCCATCACCCTGGCATCGCGCCGTGCGTCAACCGTCTCGTGGACCCGACACAGCCCATCTGACCGCGACATGAGCTTTTCTTCGTTGTCATCGTCATCTTCCCAGATATCTCGCCGGCCATCGTCGAACTCGACCTCGACAACGTTGTCGATTCCCGAACCCTCGTGTTCCTATCAGCCCGGATCGCCATTCTACACCGCCAGCGTGCTGGTCCCCGTTGCTCTTCCCACCACCTCGAGCAAGGTCTTTGTGCCCACGTTTCATTCCTGCATCATTTCCAGAACCTACACACTCGACCTCGACATTTCGTTCCGCGGCCCGGGTCCCAGCAGCCACATCAACCTCCGGACGCCGACCCAGGTGTCTGCCGAGGCTGGTGTCTCTCCCAACCCACAAGAATCCGACGATGCCATCCTCGCAGAGATCGAGCAGCAGTTCGGCTTGTATGAACGCGATGTCGTGGGACTTGACGACCAAACTCCCATTTACGAAGAGACGAATTCGAGTTCAACATCGAGCCTTCTGCCTGCTTTCACGGCGGTGGCCAGTGCTCCCTATCATTGTGGTGTCAACACTACTACCACCACCACCACTGCTGCTGCTGCTGCTGCTCCGCCAGAATATCATGCCGGATTGCCCGCCGCATACAGTCCTAGAGATGTGTCCGGCGGACCTAGGATGCAGACGCACACTCCCACTCTGGGCCGTCTGGGTATATTTGCCTGAAAACGTTTCGTCATAAGGTAGCTGGAAGGAATGTGGAGGGGCAGTCCGAAGCCCAAAGCCGTTTCTGGAACCGAGCGGCCGAATATGAACTCGGGCCTGTATCTGGAATGAACATGAACGAGGATGTGAACGTGAACGTGAATCAGGAAGTCAACCTGATCAGGTTGAAACAAAATTGGAGTTGGAATTGGGATTGGAACTGATATCAGACTGGAGTTGGCTCTCTTTACAGGCTATATATATACCTTACCTTCTGTTACTGGTGATATATTAATTATACTCAATACTGCTACCATGCGATGGTATATTATGATATACTATGCTACCTAATGTATATACCCAAATTCAACTAACCAGTTGCCGGCTACAGTAAGTGATAGTATCAAGAGCCTCCTGTACCATACGGAGTACTAGCAGAAGGATTTGATACTGTAGTAGATACATGTACAACATTGTACAGTATTGTAGGTATCTACATCGGTACCTACCAAGTACCTTGCTTGGCCGCGCGAGCTGCCACACTGCAGTCCACGTACTACCCCATGTACCACTGGCCACAAACCAGGACGCTTCTACTGTCATAAAAGTGCTTGAGTACAGTACAGTTCCTTGTACGTTATGCCAGGTCTTAAATGTTGTTTCATCGTCTTTTTCATTTTTCACATTTTTTTCTGTTTGCTTTTCGGTCTATGTAATATTTTGCAGCGAAAAATCGCTAAATGTTCGGTCATCTAGCCTGTTGAATGCGCGCGTCGTGGTTGTAGGCACGTCTCCTCGAGTTCCTCGCCAGCCTTGCGCGTAACGTAGACCTTGCGGTGCGTACCTGCCTTCACCCATAACCCACGTTTCGTCACTCCAGAGGACAGCAAGCATACCACTGCTCACGCGTCCAACTATCGTGACGGTAGGCCCATTCGAGTTGCGCCTCACGTTGCTTCTCAGACATATAAGGCTTGCACAAATATTGCGACACAGTTCCGGGGTCCTGGTATTCCATTCTCGCGTAGAATGCTTGATTGGGTGGCTTCCCGCCCCTATTACGCTCTTCGGGAGGGCGCCCCTTGGTTCTGGGAAGGATGAGCCCCTGACGAGGCTGCGGGTGCCTCACTAATCGTAGCCTTGGTGCAACCTCCGAAGCCTGATCAGACAAGACCACGCTCGCGCAGAGACACACAGCCAAACATCAGAGAAAATGTGCACTACTCGGTAGGCACACTTCCCGCGTCTGCGCTGAAGAATACGCTGCACTGGCGCCGTCCACCAGACTGGAAGAGCACGAATCACCTGCATATCGACAACTCTGAGCTTGACTCGGAGTCTGGACCTGACAACGACGTGAAACCGACTCCCAAACCAATTCCAAACCGAACTCCAAACCCGAGCCTGAACTCCGCTCAGAAGTCAGTTTGAGCTCCGAAAATGCAAGTTTTCCAGACTGGAATACGCTCGAGATGGTCCATTGGGTCAACTCACGGGGTTATGATGATGGATATGGCGTTAGCCTGCAACTTTGGCAACAGGCGAAGGATTTTGTAGTGGGGGTTCTCCTTTAGTGTATATATAATGGTTCATTTGGTGCTGACGCTGGCACTGACGCCGACCAGAGCCGGAATAACCACATAGGGTGTTAAAATGGAAGTTAAGTGTCTCGTTGTCAGGCCTGAATACCTTCAGGAATGCCGGTGACTCTTGGATATGCGTGAGAACGTCCCGTGCAGTGAGGCCGGCTTGAACGCGCGGTGGAGCGTGCGGTGACCACCGGGGGAGATATCGATTCAGTCGCGACTACGCGGCCATTGGCCACATAGGTAGGATCAAGACGACCTCCTGCTTCAAAAGACATGTTTGCTGGCCCGAGGTACCTTGCACATTTGTTTCCTGGCTTCCTTCAGGGCGAAAAGCTCCTGCCAGCGACGCGTGTAACAACGTCTCGTCTGTTCCGCCGACTCCCCGACATCTCTGATGGTACTGGGCTTATAAGGACAGGATTTGGCTTCGCCTAATGGGGAATTAGGGTACTCACGCCCTGCACCACGAGAAGGTACCTGTCCATTGCAGGGCTTCGCGCCCAAAACAGCAACTCACGGCCGAGGACTGGAACTGAGGATGTACGCAGCAAATCCGTTGATTGACGTGACTCGCCGCGACTGTTTCCCCCTTTAGAGCTGATCCTGTATGAGCACCCTGTCCATATATCCGTAAAGCCTCCCAAGGTAGTGCGGCTACGACTCAGGTCTGTATCCCACGCAAGTGTAAACAGATGGACCTCGTGTTGAGCCGGTCGAAACCCCATCCTATCAACATCACGATGTTTTCTGTCTTTCTCGATCGCGTTCAGACGCAAAATCTGTCTGTTTCTTCCCATCTGCACTGTGACGATCGGAAATGGACGAGCGGTACATATCTGCCAAATTTGGCGGTGGTTGAATCGACCCAGCCGTGGAGATGACGTCTGCCTCGTCGTCTGTGTCAAATACCCCAAGTCCATCCATTATATTTTGCGGAGGTCGAACATCAAGCAGGCTCTGATACAGCCTCGTCTTGTTGCTGGGTGAAAATCCACCTGAGAGGATGGTTTGCCCAGAACCCAAAGACTCGCCCTGCTCTTGAAGGCGAACCCGACAGGTTACAGACTTCGGTTCGGGTCGTCTTCTCGATTGCAGGTTCCGCACGTTGTAGGGATCGACAACTACTGGATCTGGGAAGTCTCGGTCAAGTTCGACGGTGAACGGAGAGGCATCGCAGGCTTTCTGGGCAGTTTCCGGAGACGAGAAGATGACTTGTACTTCCTGGTCGGTACTGCCGGGGTCACGAATGGTTTTCGTAAACGATGTTACCGGACCAAAAGATTGGAGCCGCTTGAGGATTGCGGTGGATTCATGGAGACCGGCGGGCGGAGGAGAAATGGTAACACGAGCAGCCAAGTTCTTGAGGACGGTCTTTGTGATTGGCATGGCTTTCCATCTGCACGATATGCCGTATGACCTCAGATGTTGACAAGCAATCCGAGCGCAATAGCATATTGAACATTGAAACTGACGGCGAGACGAGGCTATCACTAGTAGTGTTGTGCCAGTGGTGATGGATGGATCTGAGGGTGGATTCGGGTTTTTTGGTTTCAAGTCCGTCGCCAAGGGAGCCAGATCTCCAAGTGCAAGGGCAGTGGCTGAAGATGAGGCGCAGCGCAGAACATTACAACGTTGTAGAAGGAAAGAAATAATGGAGCCGAACTTCAAATTGGCACTGCCATTGATGACGGGGCGGAGTTTGGCAAATAGTGGAACAGATGGGATACCTCAGGCACAAGACTGCACAAACAGCCTACTGTACCTGGTATCTTTACAATGTACGCAGTACACTATTAAAAGCTCAGGCTGGTCACATACGTTGTATCATGAATGGTCCCAACATTCGTCCCTTGACAGGGCTGCAAACCTGGCGTGAGACCCCGACCCCTTGCAGTGCTGCTGGACCAAACCTGAACCAAGCCTGAGACCCGGGAACTTGAACGGGCTGTCAAGTCAAGCCTGAGGCTGCTCTGGCTGCGGCTGCATCCCCGGCGACACCTTAGGTAAGATCCCTGATAAGATGTGCCTCCGGGGGATGGCTTTAACCGTCCCCTGCTCCAGAGGCGCCTGAGGCTGTGGCAATTGGGTCCCTTAGGCGTGTGACGGCCTGTGCTGGGGATCCATTTACGGGGCTGCCGGTGCTCTCTTCCACCCGAATCACTCTCTCGTCTTATCCACTCCGGCGCCGCACTGGCAGTCCAACAACACCAAAAACCCACCATCTTGTGACCCCTGTCCCTTTATTTCTCAGCTGCACTGGCACTGACTGAGATGAGACTGCAGTAGTAGTAGTGACTGCAAAAGTAACCACCATCCTCTCAATAGTCCTTTCTATTGATCCCTTCCTCTCGTTACCGATCGAATCACATTTATTAGTTGTACATTGACACGCTCTGCTGGCCGTCGTCACATCGACAAGACACGACACGAGACGAGACTTCGAATCGCTCGACCATTCCCTCGCTTACCACTTTCACGTTACTTCAAACGTCTCACACGCCAATCCTCAGCTGCCATCCCCTCTCCCGGCGTTTCAGCTGCCAGGCTCTGACCACCGCACACCTCATTGCCTTTTCCTCCTGCCTCTGTTCGCGTGCCCTGCCGTTTTCGCCGGTTCTCTCAACCTTCCTCGCGTGGCACCGACGTTCTTTACATCCTGTCGACGTCTACACGTCGTTGAGCCGTGCCACGACCAAAGAGTGGTGGTATACTTTACCCAGTCGTGCAGCCTCGTCAATCAATCACACCGCAAGTCGCCAAAATTCGCTCTCACGAGGTCCGGACCTCCCTCCTCGGAGGTCAAGCCGAGTCTTATCGACCCTTACCCGGGGGCTTTCACCAACGTGAAGGATATGTGGTGAACGACTTCGAAAAGCGGAAATCAAAATCCATCATGTATACACCAAATTCAAAATGGACGTGGGCCTTTACCATGGTCGCACTCGTCCAGGCCGTTATCATTCTCGCGTCTGAGAGGTAAAGAAAGCGAACACCGCACTTGTCTCTGCTTCAATCTGACGGTGTTACCAGTTATGTTTTTGCGCACTTCCAGATACACCTTCGAGGAGCCGCCGCAGGTACCACTGCTGCGCGTACGATCCCCACGTTTTTGACGCTGTACATTTTCGGCTTTATCTACCAGTTGTTGTTGGTTTGGGACGCGCTGCGCATGAAGAATACCATCCAAGTCATTGGTCTGGTCGCGTACAATGTCGGCCTTCTCATATACGGCTCCGTGCAGATGGAACAGATCAAGGACGCCGTATTCGAGCTGGCAGAAGACAATTTTGTTCGTCGCGAGATCTGGCACGATACAAAGCCGTTTTTGATCGCCATCCCCTGCATTTTGGCATTGGGCACCATCCTCATGGCGGCCTGCGCTTGGAAGTTATACGACGAATTCGCCTGGACCATTTACAAACGCATCTCGGCCGATCTCCGGATGAAGCGCCGATTTCTTCAATACCAGGTCTACATCGCTTTGTTGAAGTTTGACTTCTTTTTCTTCCTTGGATTTACCGTTCAATTCGTGGTCATTGTCACGCAGCGACAGGTGGAATTCGCCTTGACGATCGCCGCCATTCCAGTCACCATTCTCATTCTTCTCGCTGCTGCTTGGTTTGTGCGGAAGGAAAGTCTATGGGGGACGATTGCAGTCATAGTGAGTTTGTGTCGGATTCAACCTCGTCAGCCACCTGCTAACCCGCCTGATCTAGATCCTCTATTTTGGTGGACTCGCCTACTTCGTCTTTAAGATGGTCCGGATGTACTCGCCCTCCCACTCGGGCGCATATCTCCCTGCAAGAAAAGAGCTCACTACTTTCGCCGTATTGACCATCATTCTTATCATCCTCACCATCATCAACGCATGTTTGTGCGCTCACAACTACAACCGCGGTCTAAAACCTTATGTCAACAAGTCCTCGACCATTGATGACGACGAAAAGCCGATGGGAAGTGCTTACGCCCCCTACGCCACCGAGATGGAACCCGGAGTCAATGGCAAATTGCCAGCATTCCGGCCTTCAGCGAATAGGATTGAGATTGATTGAACATGGATAATTTCAACTCCCGTTGGCAAGCGGTGGTTCGAATGATTGTCTCATACATCTTTCCCCCCAAGATTTATGCCCGTTATGAGGCGTTTTGAGTTTTGTTTGTCTCGGACATGAAGCATAGGATGAACGGTTCGGGGATATATACGCGACCAAATCGCCGCTGTATCCCAGCGCGGTGAATGAGTGGGTGGCTTGGATTTACGAGGACCTCTCTTTACACATACTGCGCTCTGTAACATGGTCGCAAGACTCGTTGCCCGTCCCTGGTGGCTAGGGCAATTCCAATGTCACTAACTGGGTTATCCCAGCAAATTATTTGCTGGATGGTCATGTTCCGATTCCTAGGCCCCTGTTCGTCTGCTGTACGACGTGTTTTGGATGCAGACACATATCACATATGGTAACACTCAGTGCTTCGATTGCCATTCGTTGATTCATTGTTTCGTCTATCTCGTACAAAAAACATGCACGCATAAGGTATCCAGTCAGCCAGTCGACCAGCCAGCCCAAAGCATCTCCGACAGCGACAACGACAACGACAAGAAACCCAGCCCGTTAACTCCAGTGCCGCGAAAAGAAAAGTAATAGCATGCAGCCGCCAACAACTTTTTTATGTGTGGGGCACAGTACCAACGTTGGGTCGTAAGATGACTGATAGATTGCTGGACTTGAGTCGACTTATTCGACGGATCGGGTCACTACTCACTCCAGCCGGTGACCTAGAATTGGTCGACATAGGGATAGCACCATGGATGGGTCAGGAGGTTTTGATCTCGGTCGATACTTCTGGTCTGATCTGATCTCGGTCCGGTTGCGTTCATGCCAGGTGAGGAAGCAAAATCCAGTTCAGCTGGACTGGTCACTTTTAGTCACTCATTCGAAACCTCCAGTCACTTAATGTTGGCCTGGTCTGGGCTGGTGTGGTCTGTTGAGCGAGTCATGGGATCAAACCAAAATCGTTGTTTCCTATTCAGCGAGGAAAATCTGCACGAGCTGAGAAGGCGATCTCTTATCCTCGACCATGTCGTCGCTGATCTTCCAAAATGCCGTAGGACCAGCGGGGCCGTGGAGGTCGTAGTCCTTGTCGAACCAGTTGCCGAGGATGCCACGGGCGGAGCGGAGGCCTCCTATCTGGACGCCTTCGCTGCGCCAGCGCTCCTCGCCGTGGAACAAGCTGAACGAAGTCCAGCGGATCGCGCCGCTCGGGGTTTGGCGGACGGTTCCTAACAAAAAAAAAAAGTGTAAGTGTAAGTGTAAGCGAAAGGCAAAAAGAAGGGCCCCGACACCCCGCTCCAACTCACTCACCTTTAATTCTCGAATTCGCATTCGGATCCCAAGCCATAAACGTCGAGCGGCTCGTGCCCTCGAAATGGACCACGGGCAAATCCTTGCCGTCTTCCTCGCCGGGGTCTTGGATGGCTTTGACGCGCAACTGCAGCCGGATCAGACGAAACGCTTCTCGTGTCGTGATGGGGTCGCGCTCCTGGTCTTCGGGAATGTCGCCGCTTTCAAAGTTGAATGCGTAGAGGTCGTTGTAGTCGAGGAAACAGACGATGCGCATCCATGTCCCTGTGACGCCGTAGGGGTCCAGTGCGTCAAGATCAGGTCGTAGTCCGGAGGTCAATGGTGTCCCTGTTAGAGAGCACGATTCATAGCTGTCCCGTGCGATGCCGGAAAAGGGTTCTTCCCAGGGTCGTAGGATTGAGCCTGTCCCGCCTAGGCCGGGAGAGGTTCTTTTTCTCCTCTGTCTCGTTGTTGATGAGGTTGAGGATGATGGTACTGCTCCTGCTGCTGCTGCTGCGGTAGAAGGAGATGAAGAGGAAGATGATGATGATGAAGGTGGTGATGGGGCGGATGAGGACGATGACGACGATGCTATCCCGGCGAAAAGCACGGCTGGCAGAGGACCCGCCAGCCCTCGTCGTTCAGTGTACAGTCGGTGGTTGTACGCGATTACGATCATGATGGCCTGGACTTTTTCCCAGTCGACGCGTTGGCTGCCATCGTCCATGAACGGGCCCCACATGTTGCCGTCGGTGTAACGCCGGAGATCGTAGACTCGCGATCGCGCATACGGGTGGACGTGTCGGATCGGCTGTGGGATGTCCAGCACGGTGCCCTCCTCGTCCACGAAGCGCGGACATGTCATTTCCTCCGGTATTGGCCATAATGGCTCTAGATTCATGCCACCCAGCACGTGCAGTTGCGCAGAGAGCTGGCGGAGAGTCTCGGAGGGGGCGGCACTCCATACATTCGGCCGGGATCGTGCGGAAAGGCTGGATCTGCAGAGAAAGGCGTTGACATTGCTTGGTTTCTGGAATAAATCTGCCAGAAAGTCGCTGTTGTTGCTGCTCGTCGGATCGGACTGGTATGCTAGGTCCACGGCTTTGGTGAGGACCTCTTCGAGAGCAGCTGTCTGTCCCGGTGATTAGTTCTGGATTTGCGACTAACCTCGACTCCCTCTTGGGGAAAGCATTTCTCAGGGCATCTAGTTGATAGTTGTCCGTAGGGAGATGATAGATGCTGAGTGGAACAGAGATGGGTAATGAGAGGGGTCTGCATACTTTGACACCAACGTTGTCTGACTCGAGAATCTTTTGGATGTTCACGAGACGTGTTACCCTCTCTCGCCAGGTCGATGAGTCCTCCTGGGTAGGAGGATCCTATGCTCGTTGTCCGTCAGTGGTCGGTTGACCTCTCGACGGCCGCTCAGGGCAATGGGTGGGTGTCTTACAAATTGGGACAGGTACTCGGATTTCCACAACAGCTCATCGTCCCAGATTAGTTTATGCAGGTATCGACATGTCCTGGACAGTGAGGCCAGGTCGGTGGACTCGACGTGGAGGAAGATGTTGTGCAAGACCTCTGGCGCTTGATCAAGGAGTTCGGTCATGTTGCATCGGGGGAGATGCTCGATTACGGAATCGGGGGATCCTCCGGCAACTCAGGGCTCGGAGATTCAGTTTGCTTTGAGCTTTCAACACGACGACTTTGAAAGAGCTAGCAACTCTTCGAAATGCAAGATTAAGCTGACCTCTTCCAGGCAAGAGATCCCAAGATGGAGGTGTGTGTGGTGTGTAGTCAGAATGGTGATGCCGTGATGGTGGTTCACCGTCCGCCTGCTCCGCTTCGGGAAGATGCCTCGGAGTTAAGATCGATATCATCCGGCTTCCAGTTTGGGTCCATTTTATTGTCCGGAAGTTAATGTTCTAGCTACCTAGGCATTGTTATATTTACTGGGCAACCATCAGGGCTTAGTATGCCGTCCCTATATCCCAAAGAGCTGTCGCTTGTGATATAGTGAAGCTGTCAAATAAGAACATGATGGCAGCCCCCAACGTTGATGGCCCTCTGGCAACGGGTTGCATCGAGTCCAGCGACACTGTCCGCCACTGATCTCATATCCATGGTGGGTTCGACCAGCAGGCTGTTGATGGCTGCCATCCGCTACTACACGTGCAATAGCGAGGAGTGAAGCTCTCTATGCACAACGTGGCCAGATTCCCTTCGCTGTCTACAAGATCCTCGGACGCTTGAGCGGCCCTGACCATAGATCTGAAACTTTGAGCGTCGGTCACTCGCCTCAAATGAGAGGAACATAATGCGACTCGCAGAGAACTTGAAGGCGAGGCCTTAGTTTCTCGAGTCGCCCTCCGACCACTCGATCACCGTGGCCGAGATGGTGCGCACCGCCAGCATGGCCGCACCGGACGCTCTGATGGATCCCTGAACTGGTGCAACACCGACCCGGACTGCTTCCTCTGGCGCTGGGAAAGCGCTAACCCGATCGCTCCCATCTACCAATGGGATCTCCTTGTGACCGAGAGCAACCGTTTACCCAGGCTGGCCGCTTCTTGACGTGCCAAATGGAGCGAAACCGACGGCGACAACATCAACAGGTACCCGTTGGCGGCAATATGCGGCACGACAGTGATGGGCTACGACATCGTCGCCAACACCGTCAGCCGCCTGGCCGACCGAGCATTGGGGTCTGCAAAATCGAAAGGGGAGGTCTCAGCCTTGCCGAGCCTTGTGGTTTAGCTACCAGGTAGAAAGGCCCGGTGAGCCTGTCGTGTTTAGTCAATGCTCTCTCCAGGCTCTGTGATGAGACAAGAAGTCTTTCACACATGAGCACTTATGGCCGCCTTGATATTCCGGGTATTTCTTTCTCTGAGCTATCATCTTTGCCAGTAACCCCAGCCTCCCGGGCACGGATGCTAGGGGGCAGCACCCTTTCCTGACTTCCCATACCGAGTAGTGGAATCGGCAAGTCGTCCCATCTCTTTCCTTGTTCGAAGGTGTAACTTTTATTAGTAAAGAGTACCTAGGAATTGACCTCACATTCACAACCGAGAATCTTGTGCCTTGGCCTCAGTTGATTCAAGTTTCACCTTGGCACCCGAGTCGGTAGAGCTGATTGAGTCACGTGCCAGTCCGGTTCTCTGTGAGGCTTCGGGGTTGAAGTTGTACAAGGCTCAGCACTCGAAGCACCTCGAACAGTCGGAGTCACCGGCGGGGATTGAACAGTGGAGACACGTGACAGTCAGGTTGTCACTCAACTCGGGTCACGCGTCAGTGTGTCACTGTCTGGAGTCGTGCCTGATGCCGTGCCTGGCGCAGTGGGCTGCGTTGACGTCATTCTGTTCGTGAGGCTTCTGTGTGTCCTTAGAGACGTCAATTCAAAAAGGACACACACTGCCCATTGTAGCTACCTACCATTTCAATTCCACAGCTAGTTACAACAGTTTGAACAATCAGTACAAGCAACACTACGACTTCTAAACCTCCAATCTCCCACTCAAGGTACGTTCACTGTCGTTCCTCTCTTGCAGAACCCTCCTGACTGACTCCTTGACAGCGATACCAACTCACCGCTTACTTTACTACCTGCGAACGACTTCCAATCCAGTCTTGTGACCACCTACCTCAAATTATCTCTACATTTCTCAGTCACACACCAGACATCATGACTAAGTCAAACACTGCTCGCGGAAACCTCACCAAGGTCTTCTACAAGGGCGAGACCGACGACTTCATTGTCATTGTCGAATCTCCCGAAGACCTCGCCGCGTGGAAGAAGGACAAATCGATTCCACTGGCACAGGTCGTGAACTCATTCAAGATCATGGTCACCCACAAGCACGGCGCACAAGGTCAAATGGACGGAGCTTCCAAGGCCAGTCTGGAGAACGAATTCGGCACTTCGGACGAAGACCAGATCATTCGGAAGATCCTCGAGGAGGGCCAGCCACAAACTGTTCCGGTAAGTACCTAATCATTCCAGCACGACGTAACTACTCTTTTCCCCTTGTCGTCAACCAAAACGGGCCTCAAAAAGTTACTTCAGTGGGCTGACATCTTTGCGTCTGTTCCCAGGTCTCCGAGAAACCAGGCACGCGCAATGAAACCAAGGGTGCAGGAAGACAAGGTCACCCCAACGCATAGACGCACACGGCTCATGACACGGCGCTCCTCCGTCTCTAAGTCTCGAGGCTGTCTCGTGTGCTGTGCTTAGGTTGAAGCCACTGCACGCGACAAAAAAGGAGAAAAGTCATGCGTTGCTGAGGTGGAATCCTGGAGCAATGGGATCATGCTGCTGTCGAGAAGAGCTCGAAGAGACGCATAGAGACGGAATGAGCCCCAATGATGCATCGACGACCAATATGTCTGTGGCGTTGCATGCATGCATTGCTATCATGCACTGCCCACAGGAGCTGTGCAGTGTCGTATGAACCAGTCGCATGATTGACGAACACCCTTCTTCGGACCCATCGACGTCCTGAAGTAAGGGACACAAACAGCTTAGCTGACTTTCGTAGCATCAGCTGAATACAACTGCATAATTGCACCCTCAGCTGCCAGTATGTCTAGTCATTTTTGATGTGTTCTGCACTAGCATGTTTATTGTTCTCCGTGCGCCTGTGATTTTCCCCGACACTCACCCTGTGCACGCACGGACACGCAGTCACCAATCCCGCCAGATAGGAGCTATGTGCAGCTACCCCTAGTAAAAGAAATAGAAAAGGGAGTTCGGCTAAAGATGGTTATAGTTTTACCGGGTGATTACGCTGCCATGCCCCTTGAACTTATGGACTTACCCCACATAACTAATATAGGTCAACGAGTAGTTCCAACGAGACGGGCTACAGCGTCGCGAACAGCAGCGTGTGAAAGCAAACAATGGCATTGGCATTTGGCAGCCGTAGCAGTAGCAGCACAGCACCTTAACTTGTACATCAAATACTATCTGGTCAACATTCCTCTAGAAATGCTCCTTCCAGAATCTGAATCTGACCAGCTCGTTGCTGGTAGCTTTACAGGCCGTCTTGATCTCTCTGGCAGCGGCACTGGGGCCACAGAAATACACGCCGACAGTGGCCTTCATCTGGGCGGTGATGCTGGCTTCCTTGCCCACGTCCAGGTAAGTCTGGTCCATCAGACCATCCCGCATGGCGCCGAACAATCTCTTAAAGTCCGGTCGACCATACTGCGTCTTTGTCCGCAGCTCCGTGAGCGGGTCGACCACGTTCCCCACGGTGTTGAGGTAGATGTTGGCAGCGGTGTTGGCATCCACCCGTTGCGTCAAGTACGTGTGAATCCGCAGAAACTCGGGCCCGCCCACGGACTCGGCGGCCGCGGCCGACTGTTGTTCCAGCGATGACAGAAGAGTCTGGAACCACTCGAAAGATTCAATGCTGCGGGTCACCCAGAGGAATTCCACCCGTTTCAGCCGGCGTGGAGGATTGGGTCCGGCCCGGATGTTGTAGATGTGTTTCAGCACCGACGCCCATGGCGTCACGCCAATGCCTGTGCCGATCAGCACGGCGATCTCGTTGTCAAAAACGTCTTCGGCCGGTGCGCCATAGGGTCCATCTATCCGAATGACCGGCATTTCTTGACCTTGTTGCAGCGCGATCTCGTAGATCCCATTGCTGTCCAGGCTATCGAACTCTTTGGCTTGAGCCGGTCCACAGCCCAGTGCATCACCCACGGCTTTGGTCCAGTCGCCTACTTGGCGCACGTGAACCGAAATGTATGGGTCGAATGGGCACGAGGTGATAGTGAAAGGGTGCCATTGTTGACTCGACACTGCTGGGATGTTGATGAACAGCCACTGGCCCGCCTTGTATTTCATGCTGGGTTTCTGAAACTGAATCTCCATCGCGTCGTACGGGTGTCGGATCACTTTGTAGATTTTCGTTTCTCTCCTTGCTCGGATCTCCCTCCAGAGGCGTTCACCTAGGTAGATGCCGCCAGACACCAGCTCCCATCGCCAGCCTTCATACCCCAGGCAGTGGTTCCAGAATTGTTTTCCCGCGAATGGGGAGAATGGAGCGGGCGTGTCACGGACGAAGCAACCCACTGCATGGGTGTACATGGCGAGGAAGAAGGGGATGAATAGGTGATGGGTGTACCAGAAGGTCTCGAATGACTGTTGCCGGATCCTATGATGCGCAGTGGTATACATCAGGAGCATGCACAGAAGCATGATGTGGCCTGTAATGCCGCCTGCTTGGGCGTAATGGATCTGTATCGCCGTGACTGGACGGATTTGAGACCTCTCAACGTTGAAGAAGTTGACGTAGTGAGCTAGAACATGTATGCAGGTGAAGACAAGCATTGCATAGGCACATTGTCGGTGGAACCAGTGTGTCTCGTCCAGAGGAAGCCATCTGAACTTCGGTCGGAGGAAACGCATCAAGTTCCTGCACATCGGGAGGAGGATGAGCATAACGTCCACGGACAAGACCAGTCCTGCACCGCGAGACATCCATACTGAGAAGGTGAGAGTGTTTAGGCCTGCCAAACGAGGATCGGATGCTTGTTTCCACCTGTGTTGCTGTTAGCATTGTGCACAACTCGACCGGTTAGGAAGGTCAATACATACCAGCCGAGAGCGAACAGCCCCCAATGAAATCCCCACCAGAGAACATAGAATAGTATCTTGCTTGGGGCGAAATGAGACTTCAGCGTAGCCATGGTTTAATGTGTTGCGGCGCAATGTGTAGAACTCCTCCAACCCAAACCGGAAAACTGATAATATCGAAAGTGTACCACAGCTGTCACAGGTGCATTTCTTATGTTCTTTCGCTAATCCAAACAAACCACAATATCAAAGGAACGTCGGTGTCCTCCAGGGAGCTATGAAAAAGATCGATGTGCAGATTTCGAGCACAATTCAACGATACGGGCAAAACAAATCCAAGAGAGAGCCGAGAAAGGAGCCTTTTGAGAAGAAAGGTACAAGACGACGTCAGAATGCCGGCAAGCTGGTGATCCGAGATCAACTACTTCCTCTGTCGATCACACGCGGGATCATACGAGCAAGAGGTACTGATGGCAAATTGTGTGTTTGGATGATTTTGAGTGTCTCGCAGGCGTTGCAGAGAAGAGTTTATGAAGCAGGAGATCAAACAAGAAAGTGCTGAGGTGAGGAAGGTCGAATGTATCAGTATGGTATGCTGCTGAGGTCGAAACCGACTCTAAGTGGGACCTGGCACAGGAGTTGTAACAGGAGGTCTTGACGATTCTGGAGTGGTTCTTTTCGTGTTCTCAATTCTGGTGTGATAAGATAGCAGAACTTCTCCTCTGCTGCTAGAGATCACAAAAAAGGAAAACCTGTAGAAGACATTTCCATTAGACAAAAAGGGAAGAATACATTGTCGTTAGACAATTGCTCTGTTGTAGGAATACATCTCGGGAAGAAGCGAATGGATGGTCGGGTCGGGCGAGAATGTGGAGAAGGCGAGGGTCGAGAGATGCACCAGACCCATGTTCCTCCAGTCTGCTCTGGCTGGTGTCGCTTCTTCTTCTACCCCTGGTTCAGATACAGCGTCCGTTTTATCTTTTTGATGAGCGTGGCGGCTATTGGGCGGTGATGAGAGAAATCCCATGGGACCGGGCCGAGACTAGGCGCTGGCTGCCCAGCCACAGTAGGAATAGAACTAGGGTTTGTGAAGAGGAACATCTGATTCCTAGGCTATTGGATTACAGTAATGCTCCGACAGCTCGTGGGCGTCGAACCCAGTGCTTGTTGCGGGTGGGATGGAAGAGCGGTGACGGTGACAAACTGCAACAGTCACGCAGGTCCTCCATACAAGCTGGCACTCGCATTAGACAGAGACCATGGTGTACGCCAGCAACGGCTGCACTGCAGCGGCAACGATAACTTGGACCTCGTGGGAACAGGACGGATGGGATGAGAATGGCTAGCGAGGGAGCGCAGAGATGGAGAGATGCAGAGTCGGGATGAAGCAGGAAAAATGAACCTGAAGCAAGCGAGCGTATCAGAAACATGCTGCAGCCGCCAGCCAAAACCGGCACCTTCTGACCTGCGCTGCCACCTGCGTCTCCGTCGAATCCTCTCTCGACACTCCAACTCCCTCAGAAGACTCGATCCCTGTTTCTCTTGTTTCTTTCGTCTCTTCTGCTCGAACCACTCGCTTGTCATGTTGAGTTCCCGCCGCGGGTTTCACGTCACATCCATGTCTTGCCTCGCGATTCGTCTCGCAACCTCGCCAGCATCTCGCCAACCTCTCGTCAAGCGGAGACACAAGATCGGCCGGCATGATGCCAATGGGACTACAACCTCTCGGTCGTCGAGTCCAGGCCAGTCGAGCTGCTCTCTTCTATTTCGGGCGCTTCGCAACCCGCCAGGCTCTATGAGGGGGATACCCCTCCAGCCCAATCATCGTCGTGATTCCCGCTCGACTTCACACAATTGACTGCATCACCTTTTACTACGCCGAACAAGTTTAGATCTGGCGAGTGCACCGGGACTATTGGAATGCGGAGATTCAAGCGGTAAAGATGAGCCTACGGCCGTCGTCAAAGGTAGGGTTTGTAACATGGTCGACTTATCTCGTTTATGAAGCTATACAACTAGACGTAGGGCATGTCCATGCCTTTTCAGTTATCCATTCCTCCAAGTACAAAACATTGATTTCGGACTGCTCCGAGAGAATCAGCCCAGCAAGCAGTCAATGCCCTTCCACAGTTCTTGAGGTTATTCTGCTGTCTGACGTTATTCTCTGCTTGATACCTCACCTGTGACACTAGGTGTCTCTGAAGCGCCTCAAACACTCTGCGACAAATCGACGTCTGCGACCAATCTCACACGCGCCAGCGCCACCCCAAGAATATTTTTGCCGTTGAGACTGTCGCAGCGGGCATTCTCGAGCAGCCTGATACCATGCTCTGATTGTGAATTCTTGACGTGGACCACTTCACCCAGCAACCTGTCTGATCGGCTCACTCTATTCCCGAAATCACCTGTTCCTTTGTGGTGGGGGAAGACAGGCTTTCAGTACACGTGCCTCCCGACTCTCTTCAAATACCTGCCTTGTCCGGCCCGAGATGCACTGTTGAAGTTCGGCAGGCACAAGTGGTTGGTCTTGGGGACTCTCGGAGATCCCATCAATCAACTTGACGGTTGTTTCTGTTTGCTGTTGCTTTTCCTATCGATCAATATCACAGTACATTGAAGGACTCCTCCATAAACCTCAGGTCACTTTCGGATATTTGTTCTCCTTTATCGAAATGGGCAAGCTCATCAAGAACCACTGGGGCCGTCTCATTGTCCTCACCGCTGCGACTTACCAACTCGCCGCCGCCATTGAAGGGTTCTTCTGGCCCAAGATATTCTGGGATTTTCTCACAAAGAACCTCGACGGAGCAGTCAAGCCTTTCCCAGCATTACAGATCATCAATGTCGTGCTCAGCATATTAATATTCGCGTGGGAGTGGCCTTTCAAGCCGGTGGTCAAGCTGCTGCCGGGTTTACACCGGAGTATGGAAGCCAGGCTGGTGGTCTATCCTCTGGCAGCCCTGGCAGGAGTCTTGCTGTATCAAGCCACCAACTCGTCACTATACTACATTATCGGCGTCATTGTTTACTTCTGGGCCTACTCGGAAGGAGAGGTAAGATCGTGCTCCTTTTGCTTATCCACCGTTGATGATAGTACCCCGTCTCCGCACTACTTGTTCATTGTTTGCTGACTCAATATTGCCTTCCAGACCGTCTGTCCCGAACCTTGGACCGTCCCCAAGAGGAATCCAGCAAGGCCAGGGAAAGTATGAAGCCACAGAACAGAAAGTGTTATACCGTTTACTGTATGTGTGATGAACGAAATGAGACAGTCGGGAGGAGCTTGCATTACAGATACCTATACAGATATGTTATCTTTGTGACCGGATGTGGTGGTGATCTATATAGGACCAACGGCACGGTCGGCTGCAATGCAGCTATGTAGCTACGTTAGGTAGCTACGTTATACATCTACCGTACCCAGGTATGTTTGGATGCATTCAACTCGGACTACAGCACCTAGGCCCAGTATCTCCAGCCAGGCCGTTGTTTAACTTTCAATCTTTTGCATTTCCTTTCCCCTGAAGGACGGACGGGTCATGGACCTCGCCATCTGGGCGACTAGGTAGACGCCATCATCATCATCCTCGTCACCTCACTCACGTGCTCATCTTGATACCTCATCATCAATATCCTATGTACCTAGGTAGGCATCTAGTGGAGGTTGGAACAGGCGTCGATTCGGCAGGATAGAATTAGAACGGGGTTCATCCAAAGTTATCGATAGCCCCCAATACTATGGAATTGTGACTGCCGGCTATGACCACAGAATACTAGTAAGGGGCTGGCAAGCCATCAACTTAGAGAACAACTTAGGTACCTTGGGTACTGACGGCGAACCGAAGGCACCGCCCATTTCTTTTCCGCTAAATAATGATGATAATCTATTGAAGGTAGATGGGGGCTCCCAGTGATTCGATAGGCAGGCAAGCATCAGAACTCTGTATCTGCACCACCAAGTCACTCATGGCGCTCGCTTTCCATCAAGTCTGTGAGTTCGTTTCTTTTGAGAAAGCTCAATATTGGGTGTCTGGACATGTGGCAAGCAGATACTGTAGCCCCTCAGCGATGTAATGTAACTGTGACGATGGACGTGTTTGATGCGCAGAATTGGAGATGGTGGCAAAAAAGAAAAGGAAGCACCATCATTCTCACTTGGTTATCATCACACTCATGGTCGGCTGCTCTGATCTGCTCTGCACTATGAGGACTCGGACGGAAATTAAAGGACAGACAAAGGATACGCGGGCACTGGTTTGGGTCTCAAAGGGCTCTTGGGGGGCCCGAGGACTGTGTTGTCCTCTGATTCTGATAACAATAAAAATTCGCCCAAGATTAATACTCTTTGCTTTCCAGAGCCCCCAAAGGCAAGTCACATCTCATTCATCATGCAAGCGCCTTTGCATTTGTAATCGATTTGGTATGACATATCTATCTGTGGTGGGAGGGAGGTGCGGTAAGGAACCATGGGCACAACCAGTCGGATTCGACTGGGCCTTCATGGTATCTCAGTCCGAAACCCCAGATTTGTACCTATGGCCTCAATCAAAAGCCATCGTCAATCTGTCCCGCCGGCTGTGGCGGAGAATCCAACGACGCAATCGGCTTATCAAGGTTCTCGCCACATTGTGCTTTCCAGTTTCGGGGCACATAACCATCGGCCACACGCTTGAACGCTTCAAACGTGCACATGGTCTCGTCGCCTTGGTAGTTGTTTCCGGGTATGGCGCAGGCGGGAATCTTCATGACGCGATCATTGAAGCGCACACGGACGTAATAGTTTTCCAGACGAGCTTTCTGGGATTCCGAGAGGTCTTTGTAAGGAGTTCGGGCAATTAGATCCTTGGGAGGCATTGAGGTGGATGCAGTCGAACGAGGTGATTTGGCGGGAGTTGATTTGGGTTCAGAGTCGGAGGACTGAGATGGCGATGTGGGAGAGCGTAGACCCAGGAAGGAAGCGAAGAGGCCTGGTCTGTTCGCATCACTGGAGGCTTTGGGCTCTGTTGAAGGTGGATGGGCGGGTGTGAGGAAGTCTGCATCGGCGTCCGAGTCCGAGGCATTGGGATCTCTCTGCCGGAACAACTCGAAGGCGATGTGGCTGGTATAAGGAGGCCACTTCTCGCCCTGGAAGGCCCCAAGACTTGAAAGAACACCAGCCAGGGTAGTATCATGACATCCTGACATGGCAAACCGAATGCCCTTTTCACCACCTCGGCCGAGACCGAGACGACCATTCTCGCCGCCGATCTCATTGATACTCAGACGTGCGCCTTCAATCTTGGAAGTCATCCGCTCGACAATGTCGCCAATCAGGCCTCCTATGCCCAACATGCGATATTCCCGATTCTCCTGGTATCCCGAGAACCACTCTTCCACACCAATGCGGTCAATGATGGCCCGTGCCTTTGCATCATAAAACTCCTTGGGAAGACGCGTCTCTGGACCATGAGCAAGCGTCGAGTTGATCGTGTCCATAATGCCAGACAACCTGGGATGAGAGTCCACCGCAACTCTCTTATTCGAGTTTTCGGGCATCCACTTCCCAATGAGCTTGGTGAGGTACTTCATGTCGTCGGTGTCATTCCACCTATCTGCGGTCCGCTGCGCGAAGGCTCGAGACAATTGGGCAAATCGTCGACAGTTGCCGTCGTTGGGAAACAAGGTCTCATCTGCAGGGGTTCTTGTGACGATAGTAGGGGCAGGGAACGCGGCCGTACGGGCATTTAACGGGTACATCCCCCAGAATGTTTCCTGGAGGGATTCGAGAGCACGAGGTAGAGGAGTGGCTCTGAGGTAGATCAGGTCGGCGTTCGAAATCAGCGCCGGCATGAACTTCAACTGGTCGACGTAGAGATGCCGTAGACGCCTTCCAAGCTCGTAGGTAGTCTCTCTTCCTTTATCGGTGAGTTCGCCCAGTTGGCTGGTGGGAGATGATGTTAGCTTGCGTTCACCATGTCGCTTGTGACCCAGTAGAGTATGCCTACCAAATACCATCCACCTCACCAACTGGTCCTGCAGCAATGACTGGACCGTCATCGTGACCGAATCTCTCCAATCTTCTCCGCCACTGTAGGGAGTTCCATCGCACATCGTCCTCGGGCGTCAAGGCGACCGACCGCAGGCGTTGCGCAGCGTTGCAGTATGGCCAGTATGCGGGGAGGCCGGCCTGTACAGAAAGTCAACAACGAGAACAACCCTCCAGGGTCTTGACATATAACGCACGTTGCTGAACCGGGCAGACACAGGAGCACGTTCTCCGTGACGGAGGAGGACTTGCACGAGGCGAAGCTCCAGGTCTTTGGGGTAGAGTCTATCGAGCTCCTCCTGCGAGTAGGGAGGGCGGAACTCAATGGACGTCATGTTGCGAGTTGTGAATCTTGGTTAGCACGCCGGATACAAGTGCTCTTTTAGGAATATCATAGGAACGGCAAGAGAAAGAAAATCTTAGGTCAAAGCGAACTCCGGTGAAGAATGCGAAGGTAAAGAGAAAGAGTCTAGGGCGAGGCTAAACATTGTCGTTGTAGTCCGTGAAGATGAGGCAATCTGGCGGTTGCTCTGCCTTATTTGGTATATCGCAATTGCGGCCCCGTTACGGCAAGACAGCCACTGCAGTCACAGAACATTCACCTCTCAAACATTACAGGCATTCACAAGACCGGACTGCATCAGGAGCTACAGATACCATGTTGAATCAAAGGGTATCTCAATTCAATCTGCTAGAAAAATGTCCAAAAGCTAGCGACTCCCTTTATAGCAACCGATGCGTTCCCGCTGATTCATCAAATATGCATGTCGTTCATCCTCCGTCCGGTGTCGTCTACCGGACTCATGAAATCCGTTGCACGTTCATTACTCGGCTGGTCTTGATGTGCAAGGATGTCATCAGCGCCTGTTCCGTGTATTGCCCCATGTGCGGGAGGTGAATCCTGCCGGTGCATATAACCTGATGTCGTACCGTAAGGATTCACCTGGTGCTGCTCCCTACTGTTCTCGGTATCATGCCGGAGCGGAAAGCTGTCTTGACGCTTAGGTGACGGTGTGTCGTCAATGTCGACGAGGTTGTACGATGTATTCGATTTGTTGTGCTGCGGCGAGTCAGGCCCATAAGCATCATCTGCAAATGGGTTATCTCCAACTCCGTATGCAGCGGCCTGAGATTGCGGACGGGCGCGTGTCGGCAATGGAGGCGCTGTCTCCGTGGCGGAGAATAAGCCTGAGTGACTGTGACTGTTTGTAGCCTCTTGATTTCTAACAGCGCCACGAGCGGCCGGAGGCGGCCCTGGAGGAGGAGCGTACTGTTCCTCGTCCCGTTGTGGATTGACTGATGGAGGAGTGGCGTTCTGTCCTTGGTGGGCTGATATCGAATATGCCTGTGGGCCACCTTGACCACCTGAAGCGTACACATTTTGACCTAGAGTATGTTGAGGCATAGAGAGCGGGTTGGGCATTGACTCAGTTTGTGGTCCAGGACTGGGAGTAGCAGTGCCCTGGGCCTTTCTCGCCTGCAGCACGGATCGCTGATGTTTGGACATGGCAATGTTCAGTTGATCGTTAGTCTCAATCAAGGTGAGCATGGTGTCTGGGTCCGGAGCCGGGTTCTGGCAATTCATGTACGCCTGGATACTCCTCTGGGCGGACTGGGCTCTGCCTGCAAACTCCTGCACAAGATCGTTGGCCAGCAGCTCCGACTGTGGCGTTGACTGGACCGTTTGCACCAAAAGTCGAGCAGTGGTCTTTGCTTCTTCTATTCGGGAAGCCAGCTCTTCTGGAGGAGGAAGGACATCAGTTCTCCGACTCGATTGATGCTGCTGTCCCATAAATGGGGGAGGGACTCGATGCTGTTGCAGTTGTTCAGTCTGATGATCTTGAAACAAGGCTTTCACAGCAGTTGAACCTACCGTCTGGCGAAGCGTGTTACGCTTTCCCTTCTCCTTCCTCCACATTTCAACCAGCGGGCCGAGCGTATCGTTTCCTGGAGCCTTTTCCACCTCAAAATAATCCAGTGTCTCCCTCAAGATTTGCTGTACACTGCCGTCTTTGCCTTCTCGGAGTAGTTCCTTGATAGTTGACAAGAACTTAGCGTCGAAGTTTTGTGTAAAGGCCTGCCCGGGGTTGTCGGTCAAGATGCGCAACAACATGACTGCGTTATATTGCGCAAAGCCTCGCTGGTAATGGTCTTTTGACAGATAACGGCGAATGGTGGCGGCGGCTTCTCTGGCCGCAGTAGGACTTGATTCGGCTGCATCCACAATCGCAGGAAGATGGAGGTACTCGTCGCCGGCGGCCGCTGAGTTGGGTGCACCAGATTCACAGAATGCAGTCTGTAGGTCGGTCAGTCTAGGAGTTCGTCCTGTGCATGGCAGCCCGCAGTCCTCACCACTTCGCGCACAACAACAGCTTCAGGAGCGTCACCCTGAGGCAGCACAACCGGCGCACTTCCATTCCGCTCGGGGCCTGCGCTTGAATGTCAGCCTTGTTGAGGGCCCAACCGGGACATCGGCATGCATACTGCCACTCTTCTTTTTGATATTCCCAAGGAATTTCTTCATATTGACGGTGCACCTGGCAACTCCGATCGAGGGTGTTGTCGTCGGTGTAACTATCTATAACATATAGGGATGGCAGGGATCATTCAACTGCCAGCCGGTTGGTAAACAGTCCAGAATGAGCACAGGCGATCTGACCGGTGGAGAGACGGACGAGTTGGCTTCGCAGGGACCACAAGGACGGGAAGAGGGCTGGAGATCTCCCGCCTTTCATAGACCAGGGTCTTTTGGGAGCCTAGCCGTAGTACTACTAGTATCTTCTCCTCGGCGGTGGAGGTAAATAAAGCGGCTATGTGGAGCAGGACACCTGGGTTCGACTTTGGGGAGAATCGATCGTGAGGAAGTCAACACCAGCTCGGTCTTCGTTGGCTATTTGACTGCGACATCGCGGTGACAGAAGTGGCAAACGATGGCGTGTCTGAGTGACGATGTGCTAAGCGCTGCCCAGCTCGTGTTCAGCTGCCACTGTGTTGGCGACGAAAGCTGCCCTATACTTCCTTTCCTGTCCCGAACCAGCCGCGCATCCCGTTTGCTTGGCTGTGTCGCTTCGTCAGCACAAGCCTGAGGCAGTCGAAATGTACTGCGACTCGACTCGCTATTTCGATGATGCCAATGATGAATGCACATTTCAATAATGCGCATCCACCGCCTTCCGCGATACTACTGTATGACAGCCGGGCCTTTTCTTGTGCCAACGTGCAGTGAGCCGTCGTTCTGGTTGCGTGGCGCCCAGCGTTGGTGACGAGGCTGTGCCGCGAACAAAGCGTCCGCCTGATCACCCACCTACGTGTACAGCAACTGGATTTTAAGGCAGCAATTGATCACTTTTTTATTCCCCAGACCTAAACTGCAACTCTGCTACAAGGATATCAGCATCTGTGGCTTGCGTCAATTCCCTCTAATACAATTTGAACTCATTCTCATAGTGGAGTACTACCGGTTCCAATCGCTTACGATCTAAAACCCTTTCCATCTAACTATGCAGCAATCCTTTCCCAGACCACTCGCTCCCACATCACCAAGTGAAGCTCTCTTCGTTCATGTCCATATTGGCCTTGTGCATCCTCTTACGCACGGCCGCTCTGACCTCATCTGCCAATGCACCAGGCCCGCAAACGCTGACCATGGTCGCACCAATCCTGGCAGGTATCACTTCATTCAAGATGGTCCCAGGGTCTACCCGTCCTTGAATGAGCTGCAACGTAGGCTTGTTCTTCTTCGGATTGATAGGAAGGCTGGGTTTGCTGACGTAGACCATGATCTTCAAGATCTCTCTTCGGCCTTCCATATGTAGAATCTCTGTCATCCACGGTTTGACCCATTCCATTGCCTCAACATCTCGCACCGACCAGACCAAAATGATTCGCCGTGTGGCCACAGTCTGTGCCTGGGCACCTGCCAGCAGATGTCTGATTTGTACGAGGTGGTGAGTGATCCCGCCTCCTCCGGCAAACATGATCACTGTGCCATAGCTTGCAAGTGAGTCATGGCCAGCGTAGGGGCCTTCGAGAAATCCATTGAGATGGAGCTTGGCCTCAGGACTGTCTCGGGCCATTTGGTAAAGCTGTCTGGTCATGCCCGTGCGAGCCACCATGATGAGCGAGACACTGGTAGGCGCTTTGGAAACAGAGAATCTCCGACCAGAAGACTGTCTCTCAGCTGTATTTGGAGTCAAAGGTTTCATCAGTAAAGGAGACCGAGCAACAGGTGGCTCGGATACAACGTTGGTCCATGCCACGGAAAAAGGGTGCGACATCCACAGCGATACCGCTGGAATGTACGCATAGACATGACTGCCCGGCCGGATCGTGATATGCCGTGGTAACTGAAAGGTGACTCGGCACGCTTCGCCGGGAAGTGCCTCGACGAAAACTGTAGTGATACCGCCATCCCGAGAGTAATTCAGGTAGGCCAGTCTGCCTAGGCGCCAGAGTCGTTCAATAATCCACAGGAGTACCGCTGCTAGTATGGAAGGATAGGCAGGCAACTTTTTCAAATCCAGGTGGACGTAGACTCCTAAAAGTGCCATGAAAGCTAGGGACTGGTGGAGGTGCAAAAACGTCTCGTAGAAGGCATGCCGGATGGGCGAGAGGGAATGAAACGGCAAGATGACGATGGCAACCATACCAACCAAGCCGAATTGGAGAAATGCGTTGTGGTTGAATATCTTAGGGGTTGCATCATCCCCTTTGGCGAGTATGTAGGCGGCCATCCATGCGAAGAAGTGGATGGTGGTCTCAATCGCCACGATCCTTCCAATCCAGCGGTGAAAGAGGTTGAAAGTGTCATAGCTTACCCTGAGAGTCGGTATTGCAATGTTGTTTCTTGCTGCCAGAACCACAAGTGGAATCAGGTTGACCGTGGCCAAGATGCCACTTCGGCCTCGCAGTTCGGCAAATAGTGCACCTTTCTCGGGTGCTTGCCAGTCCAGAAGCAGGCAATACACCAGATTCGATACAGCGTAAATGGTGAGTAGCAAAAAGTGGATGCGCCCTGGCAAGGTGCCGTAGTTGACCGCACTTGACATCTGCAATTCTCGGTTATGGCGTTTCTTGAACAGAGGGGCAAAGACAACGTGCTTCTTTAGCCACGGCCATATCCAAAGCCGGTCGACGGTGTAGTATTTCTGCTGTGACGGTGTTGCGGTCATACAGTAGATGTTCCTGATGTAGGACACGAATAGCTGGGCCAGCCGTAGAACGAACACGACGGCGACGGCGATCAGTATCGACAGCCAGAGCATTTTGACTAGCCGAGAATCCATCTGTAGATTGACGCCGTGCAATCCTGTGTAGAATGGAGTGGTGTTATTGGAATCGGTACTGTTTCCTGCCACGTTGGAGGATGTGAGATTCTTGAAGGTGCCATTTCCATGAGGTTGAAGTCTGAGATTGCTAAGGGGCAAGTTGCCGTCTGCCAGGTCTCTGATCCTGGGACCATAATGACGGTTTGTTTGCTTTCCGGCATGGCGTCCAATGTGTTGGAGTGCTCTAGAAGTTGTGTCCAGCACAACTGATGTTGAGACCTTCATGTTTGCAGTTTCTTTCCCGATCAGTGGGTTCCCGATGTCCCGAAACAGGTTTAACCCGCACTGCATGGTTAATCGAGTCGAAAGATCTTTCATGTGCTGATATCTCAGACGTGCAGTCTTCTTTGTCTGAAGGCAATGATAATCACAAGGCACTTGCTTTGTCTGAACCGAGTCCATCCACAAAGAGGCACAGCTAAGATTTCTTTGTTGTCGAACAGGTTTTGGGAAGCAGTCAAGACAACAAATAGATATGGACAAGAGCAAAGTGCTTTGTATAGCAGGTACCTGGTGTGTCAATAAGCGAGACCCAATGCCATGGGTCAATAGCGCCTCAATAAGGAGCGCACACCACGTGACAATAACATTGGCCTGGTACGGCAGCGGTGATGCCTGTGAGAAGATACACTCCACCGTGATGGAGACTTTTTCAATAAGATAGATAAAGCATGTATGCCGATGCACATCAGTGCCAGTACTAAGCACACTTGAGCTTCACACCAGCGCTGATGGCAGCCCCGCATGACATAGAAGCACATTCATGTTTCAAGAATTCGGCCGGCTGCATCAAGACAACCTTAGCCATTTCCCCGTGTCCCTTTGCCTACCATGTGTGCTGAACAGGCTCTCATGTCTCCATATTTGCCCAGATTCAGGTGAGGAGTACAGGGCAGCTGTTGAGCTCCGAGCTTGAGGTCATGGTTCCTCGTCGGTAAGCATATTTTTGCCCCTTGACAATGCTATGACTGCTATCGCTGCTTTCCATAGAGAGAATCTGCAAGCATCAGCGCCGTACTCGGCAGGAAGGGAGAGGTCGGGAAATAACCGCAACATGACATCGTTCAAGTTGTCGGCGACAGCGTTCGGCAAACCTGCCACGATCGCTCAATTTCAAATGACCACCGTTTATTCACCAAAAAGCAAGTCGTTTGATTCTATCTCTATTCCGTCCAACTTGAATTCTAGTTGTGTACTTGGATCAGAGATGAACTTCAGGTCCGTTCAGACCTGCAGCCAACCAACCTCAATACACTACCGTCCCATCCAGCCACCATCCACAGTCAACACCTCGCCCGTAACATAGCGCGATGCATCGCTGGCCAGAAATACGACTGGACCCTTGAAGTCCTCGGGCTTGCCCCATCGCCCAGCGGGGATTCTCTCCAAAATCTGTCTCGCCCTCGTCTCGTTGGCAATAAGCGCCTCATTCATATCGGTGTCGATGTATCCCGGTGCGATGGCATTGACAGTGATGCCCTTGCTAGCCCACTCGTTACTCAGGGCCTTGGTCAACTGGCCCACTCCGCCCTTGGAAGCCGCGTAGGCAGGCACGGTGATTCCACCTTGGAACGTGAGAAGAGAAGCCACATTGATAATACTGCCCCTTGAGGATCCCGGGGCTGGGTCTGGTTTCGACAAAAGATAGGCTCCAAAGTCTCGACATAGCGTAAACACGGTCGTCAAATTGACCTGTAGGACCGAGTTCCAGTCCTCGAGGGGAAACTGGTGCGCCGGATGTCGTTTCTGGATCCCCGCGCATGTCAACAGGATGTGCATGTCGTGGCCGGCCTTAGCGAGGTCCGGAATCAGCTTCTCTACCGACGACTGGTCGGACAGATCAGCCGTGACAATGGTTGCTTTCCTGCCCAGCGCCTGGATTTGCGAGTAGGTTTTCTTGTTGCTCTCGTCTCTCTGGGCGGCCAACGTCAGTAGAATTCTCCCAATATTATATTAATCGATGTGTTTGATCATGAGCTTTTCAGGCAGCCTCAGGCCATGGTCTGTATAGAACAGAACAACCAGAGAGAAGAAGAGATGGATGCCAGATCTTCCTTACCTGGACGAGGATAATGTCGGCTCCAGCTTCAGCGAGCGCCAGCGCCATGGCAGCACCAATGCCGCGCGTGCCGCCGGTGACCACGGCCGTCTTGCCAGCCAGGGAGAACATCTTCGTCAGGGCGTCCATTTTTGTCGTTGATTGTGCTCCGAATTGACAAAGACCCGTCGCGATTCTTCGTTATAACTGAGCAGAGAGATATATAGATCCGAGTCTGCGAACGTTCTTTCTTTTCTGGTGATGCGATGCGTAAATCCCGAACAAACAGGTCTGGCAATCTTCTTGTTGACACGATCTCCCACCTCAAGAAAAGAACATGGATCAGTCCTCTGGTAATAAAATATATCAGAACAAAATATTATATTGCCAAACAACGTGTCACCATCCCACACTGGCAGCCATCAGCAGTTCCCGGGGCACGCCAAAGCCCGCATCGAGTAATTTGCGGCGACAACTCCGGGCAGCGCCTCCAACATGTGTTGTCTGATTGGCTTAAGCCAGGGTCACTGTCCACCGGGTCTGGGGAGCGTCGGCTTTTGAGCTTCATCCGCCGACCACTCTTCGTAGTCCTCTTTCGAGTTTCGGACCGGCCAGACCGAAAACGGGTTGCTGTTAAAATTGTGCCCCTGATATTGACAGCCTCGCACGCTGTCTTCTGTGCCTTTGAATGTACATCTTGCCTCGCATTGACTGGGTAGCTACGCCCAATCACCAGTTCGTACTACTGCCTTTAATGAACCTGTCGATCGAGGCTGAGGCCTTTTGACCGCCCTGTGAGGCTGACCACGGTGCTGCACTGTGTTGGTGTTGACTGACTCCCAGCCCCAGATGCACGATAGTCCGCACGAAAAAGCGTGACATTACAAGGCCGAGTAGGCGAGGCTATCATTTGCGAACAAAAAATGCTGCGTTGACGACCAAAACCACCACGACGACTCACTGGCAATGTTTCTCAGGCGTACGGTATGAAATCAAAATGAGGTATGTTACTATTGAGAGCAATAAGCTCGTTTTCAAACTGTCTTGTAGTATGAAATGACTAAAATCGTAGCAACGCCTTCGCTGTGTTGGTCAAATGCTCCCTTGTATCACTATTGGTACCTATGTTCCAGGGGAAATACCAGCAAAACGTCAATCTGCTGCAGTGAGACGCAGCTCGCCTTGGATCAAGATCACCCTCTCAATGCAGCCCCCTGGAAGCAAGCACCCACCGCACGCATTTCAGAGCCCATGTCTCGAGACCTCTGCTGCACACTTTTCAGAACCCATATCTTGAGACATCTTCCTTGGTCTCATCAGCGATCCACTCTAGCACCTTGCCATCTTTCCAGTCTGCCATGTTGAAGTCCCTGTACAGCTCGACGTCGTATAGCTTGCGCTCGAGGAAAGGCAGTTTGTCGAAGTTGGATGCACTGCGCCGACTTTCGCTTGGTGGGGGCGGCTTGAGGATGACACTGCGAGTGCAGCCCGGTGGGAAGACATGGAGTCTGACACCCTTGGATTTCAAGAAAAACTTTGCGAAGCGCCAGCTGGAGATGTTCAGAACCCTGATGTAGCATGCGCATCGGTATTTGGGGTTGTCGGCCACCGCGTCGTCATCCATGTCCTGCATCAAGTTGGTAATGTCGCGGAATGAAGCGGCTGGGTAGATGAAGTTGCCAGAGGTGAGGCAGATGAATCGGTCAGTGGGGTTGTGGATGATCAGGTTGCTTGCCTGTCGCTCGGGGTCTGAGGTGAATCTGAGAAGGGAGCTGAGCGGGACACTGATCTGGAGGTCGTCGAGTGTGTCAGGAGTCTCCTCGACAGCGTCGGCCTTCTCCAGGGTGATCGAGTCCAAGGTAGCGGTTTCGCTCAGGCTAGCAGAATCATCATCGTAGTAGGCGGTTGTGGCTTTCTCCGAGTAATTCATCTTTGAAGTTGGCTTAGCCGTCAAATGAAACCTTGAGATGATCAGTTGTATTTGTATGGTTATAGGAAAAGCTTGTTCAGGTTGAGATTTGTAGTGGAAGAAGTTTTGAGGAAGAGAAAGAGAGTCGAGAAGAAGTGGAGGAGAAGTAGGAGGGTTTAAGTAGTTCACTGACCGCGACCGTTGTCACTCAAACGAAGCACAAGTGAAGTGAGCATTCACTTTTCGTTTGGCGCGATGGTGCAGTATATTGTCTGCTTATTGTGTGTTGAACTAGTACTGTGAATACTGCCTTGGTGGAATTGGAAGACAATAGGTGGGTGTGCGTGGTATTCACACTTCCCTGATTCACGTATTCCTCGCAGGCATGGCAGCAAAGATGATTGGCTGCCAGTAACAAGTCGCGCCCATTCGTACAATGGAGACAATAGGTCTCTCCTCAATCGCGAAGACATTGGCCTTGTGTTGGGTAAATGGGCATAATTGGATTGGAGACAATTCACCTACTTCACTTACTGGCACAAGGCGAGTATCAATCAGTCCTAAGCAAGCCTTTCTCAGAAAGCCTCTGAGCAAGCAACCCTCCCTGTAGAGTTGATACGGATCATTTGACGCCTCAGTAGAGGTTGAACATCCCTCTACCGATCTATCCCTACCATCCCGGAGTCGGCCAAATCTGTACTTAATGACCAGTCTCTCCCCAAACTCCTGCCTCAGCCAGTATTCCACGCCGCTACCAGCCATTTCAGCTGGAGCCAAGCAGCACTAACAAAAGATCCCGTCCAGAGGGATTGTAGTATTCGTCTCTTCTGCAGCAGCCATACGAGGCGACACTTGACATTGCGAGAGGAGAACGGGTTCGAGATGCTGAGACACCGCGTCGATACATGTTGCAAAAAGCAGTGCAATATCTCTTTCCAGCTGTTCAGCCGTTATTACCGGCTGCCCATACGACGGAGGCCCATAAGTTGTCGAGTTTAGGGACCGCGCCGTCCGTCATGGGAGGAATACCTAGGTAGTCTTGCGAACGCGGCTGGAGGGAGAGGTTTGGAAATGAAGAAATCCCCGGACGCGTGATGCCAGTGTGTCTGTCAATCCTGATTGGGAACTGTATCCGAAACTCGGTGCGGTAGAGTCCCAAAATGGTGCACGACTAGCCCAAACAAGACACTTTCCGGCGGTCAAAGGATTGGGGGGGAAGGACGACGTTTACACCACAAGAACCTCCGGAGAACGCGGACAGGCAGTGTTATGGCCGTTGAGAAAAGTGAGAAACATCAAGGCACAATCACCGGTAGTGGCATTGCCCAAATCTGCCTATAAGAGGAGTCGAGTGGCCACAATGGGCACAATTTGTTCTCTCCATCTCACAACTTGAACGTGAAGCAGTATTTATTTACCTTTCGCAGTGCGGCCGCAACTAGTTGATACCCCGCGCCCACACCAACGCAGCGCCTGCACCTTGAACGTCACCAATTTATTACCCGGCGGCGGCGCCAGACAGACGCAGACTCGGAGTACAGCGGCGATTGGAGCAAGCGCACAACTTTTCTCATATAGTAGTTCCAAAGATTACACCTCGTTCCTTTCTCTCACCATGCCATCCGCAACCTCAGCCCTCACCAACGGCACCTCGCACAAATCCACCGACACAATGTCCACGTCCACGTCCACCGCGACCGAAATCACCAAGCCCAACATCGGCGTCTTCACCAACCCGAAACACGATCTATGGGTGGCCGAAGCGTCGCCCTCGCTGGACGAGGTGAAGCAAGGCAAGGATCTGAAGGAAGGCGAAGTCTACGTCGGGGTCAAGTCGACGGGAATCTGCGGCTCGGACGTACATTTCTGGCACGCAGGATGTATCGGTCCAATGATCGTGACGGGCGACCATATCTTGGGCCACGAATCCGCGGGAGTCGTGTTGTCGGTGCATCCGTCGGTGACAAATCTCAAACCTGGCGACCGGGTGGCCATTGAGCCCAACATCCCATGCTTCAAGTGCGAACCATGTCTGACCGGCCGGTACAACGGTTGCGAGAGCGTCGAGTTCCTGAGCACGCCGCCGGTGGACGGGCTGTTGCGCCGCTACGTGAAACATCCCGCCATGTGGTGCCACAAGATCGGCGACATGAGTTTCGAGAACGGAAGTCTTCTGGAGCCCTTGTCGGTCGCCTTGGCTGGCATGGACCGCGCAGGAGTACGACTGGGCGATCCGGTGCTGATCTGCGGCGCGGGACCGATTGGGTTGGTGACTTTGCTGTGCTGTCAAGCCGCCGGGGCGTGTCCGTTGCTCATCACCGACATCGACGCGGGCCGGTTGAAGTTTGCTCAGTCACTGGTCCCACGCGTCAAGAAGTTCCAGGTGCCTATGGGCAAGTCGCCGGAAGAATGTGCCGAGGGCATCGTCGCCGCCATGGGAGGCATCCAACCCCCCGTGGCCATGGAGTGCACGGGTGTCGAGTCCAGCGTGGCCAGCGCCATCTGGAGCGTCAAGTTTGGCGGCAAGGTGTTTGTTATTGGGGTTGGCAAGAACGAGATGAAGATCCCCTTCATGCGTCTCAGCACCATGGAAATCGATCTGCAATACCAATACCGATACTGCAACACTTGGCCCAAAGCCATCCGGCTGGTGGAGAGCGGCGTGATCAACATGGACAGGCTGGTCACCCATCGCTTCAACCTGAGCCAAGCCACTGAGGCCTTCAAGACGGCCAGTGACCCCAAGAGCGGTGCGATCAAGGTGCAGATCAAGAATGACGATAGTTTATAGAGGATGTTATATACGGCTGCTATGTTGATCCAGCAACATAACGACAGACATCGCCGACGCTTGTATGGCTATTGGAGGGTGTTCTTTCGATGCCACATGTGTTTGTCTCATCAGTCCCCCTTTCTGGCTTCTTACTTGGCTCAGCAGTAGCCTTGTGTATCTTTTCAACGACGAGATGCACAGCTCTCATCCTGCCCAGTCATTGTTGCTTCATTATCCCTTACACAATCACCGGCCCGCTCTTGATGGCCGCAACCTCATTCTGACCTCCTCGAGCCAACCACTCGTCCACAACGCTCGCCTGGACATCATACCAATGATGCATAGTCTCCAGATCAGCATAACCCAAATGCGGACTCAGCAAAAGGCGGCTCCTGCCCTCCTTGCCCCAGTAATTGTCCTTACGCCACGGACTATCTTTCGGCAAGGGCTCTGTATCAAAAACATCAAGCGCCGCGCCCCTGATAGCACCCTTTTCCAAAACATCAACCAAATCCGACTCTGTAACCAGAGGTCCACGCGAGGTATTGACCAGTATAGCAGTAGGTTTCATCAGACTCAACTCGTGTTTTGACACAATCCCGCGCGACCGCTCGCTCAGAACGTAATGGACACTCAAAACATCCGCGCGGCGAAACAGCTCATCCTTCGAGGAAGCCACCTCAAACGAACCCGCAGGCAACCCTCGCGACGCAGCCAAGCTGTCGGCTTTGGCCTGCGTAAGACTGCTAGACCATGCCAGCACGCGCATGCCGAACCCTAGAGCACCTGTAACGGCCGCTTGGGTCCCCAGTCGTCCGAGACCGAGAATGCTCAGCGTTTTGCCGGCGAGAGTTGACACCAGGGCTGGGCTGAAGCGGTCGACGTCGAGGCCTTGGCCGAGACCGCTGTTGTCGTGGTCATTGTGTTGAGTGTCGTTTATTTGATCAGTCTGCCACTTGTCACTTGTCGTTTTCAACCTCGTATCGCCCTCCACCACATTTCTGAGCAAGCCCAAAATCAGCGCCCACGTCTGCTCGTTGGTCGAATCGTAACCCGGCACTGCATTGGGTTTGGGTCCTGTGCCTACGACTCTGATCCCTAACTCTTTGCATGCCTCCGTGTCGATAGCTGCGTTCCGCCCGCCTGTCGTCAAGAGGAGTTTCAAGGTGGGCAATTTCTCCAGAAGTGATCGGGGGAAACGGGTCCGTTCACGCATCGAAGAGATGATGCTGTACGGTTGTAGGCGCTGGACTAAAGCGTCGTGTTCGTCTGGATTGTGTATATTTAGTGTTTCTGGGAACGTGTGGATTTCCAGTCCTAATCTTGGTGTGAGACGTTGGAAATGAGCTGGAGCGATGCCAGCGTAGTCGTCGAGGATGGCGAGTTTGATGACAGCAGATGATGATGATGATGAAGACATGGTTTGTTGATGTTCGGGTTGATGTTGCTGACGATGTATGTCGTTTGTCCGAGATATGTGTACCTGTATCTGCCGAGAAGCGAGCCGGACTGCCCGTTGGTCGCTCGATCCCAATGATACTGTAACTGGATTATTGATATCGAGATTGATTTTCTTACAGAAAATAGTGATTCAAGTTGGTCCCCTGTAGGACTGCCGTTTATGGGAGGGAATAAGTTAGTGTCAACGATACCACCTCTGGACTATTTTTTATTTCCTGATGTCGCTCTTTGGTAAAGAGGTGTCAGTGAGGGACGGTTGATAGTTATTAGAGAAAATGGTGTAGACAGCGAAATAAATAGGGTTCCGTCCTTGTAAGCCCGTTTCCTGTCTTCTCCCCTGGCGTGTCGTTCTTTAAGTAGTGGGGAAGTCCCTGGTATTCAATTTATTTCACCTAGGTAGGTAGCCACAGCTTGCATGAGTGCAATCTTTTGTTTCATGAGCTTTGAAATGTGAGTACCAGTACCCTAGGTATGCAGTAAAGTACCTACAGTATCTTGTGCAATAATATAATCACAATGCTGGCGTGAGATGGTACAATACCCGCTGCTTCAAATGTCTCTTCGCTCCTCGGCCGTTCTCCGCAGCCCTCTCCTCGTAATTGCCGAAAGTTTGAGCCGGTTGACCTCCGACCCGGCCATTATTGCAATGCATACGAAGCCGCTTGAAACTTTGTCGAGCTGCCATCTGATTGTTGTACTGAATCGTCTTTCCTACCAGGTACATACCTACAGTATGGCCAAGCGAGGAAGTAGCTTGGCCGGGTGTCTGTCATCGACACAGGGTGTTTGAAACAGCCACAGCCTGTAGACGGTCTTCAGACACGCTCTTGAGCTCAATCAGACGCGTTTACATACTGTCAACCAAAGGAGCGGTCATCCATTCCTCTTCTAAGTACATGGTCTGGCTAGTCCGACCGTCCACCGTGTCCCAGTCCCTATCCCAGTAGTGTCCGGTCATTCCCACAGTCCGAGACCCTTCCTTGCTTTTTGTTCCTCACTCATCCTTCTTTCCCAGATACGTCAAAGCCGCAACAACCAAGGCATCCACGCCAGTTTTCAGGGTAGGCTGCAGAACAGGGGCAAAGAAAGGACTATGATTGACAGGAATATTGGCCTCGTCGCCCCTCTTGATCGCTTCCTGGTACTTTGTCTTCTCATGACCGCCAAAGAACCAGAAGCAATACGGCCTATCAATGGCCGACCCGAGGATTCCAAAATCTTCACTGCCGAGGACATTCTTGATATTCCCTTCGTGGTTGTCGCCGAAATAACTGTAAAACGACTTATTGATCGTTTCCGTGACCTTGTCGTTATTGACCGTCAGCTCAAACGAGGAAGTTGGCTCGATCGTCGGCTCCTTGGGACAATTGCCCGCCAGACACTCGGCCTTGACGATTCTCTTGACAGAGGCCAAGACACGGTCGCGCCATTCCGAAGTCATGGTACGGATGTTGATTTTCAGCACCGCCTCATCCGAGATGACGTTCTCGGTGCTTCCGGCCTGTAATGCGCCTACGGTGACCACGGCAGTTTCATCGGGCGGGACCTCCCGCGACACGATCGTCTGGAGTCGGACCACGATATGGCTGGCTATCACGACAGGATCGATAGTCCGGTGCGGCATCGACCCGTGCCCGCCACTACCGTAGATAGTAATCTTGAAGCTGTTGGCCGCCGACATGATGGGACCCACGCGGGTTGCTGTTTTGCCAGCCTCGAGAGGGAACACGTGTTGACCGAGCAGGACATCAGGGATAGGACATGCGTGTTTCGAAGTGTCATAGAGCCCGTCGTCCACCATGGCACGGGCCCCGCTGCCACGTTCTTCAGCAGGCTGGAACAAAAACACAATGGTGCCAGACCACTTCGATCGGGCGGCCACAAGAGTCTCGGCCGCCCCGAGGAGCGAGGTAATGTGGAAATCGTGCCCGCACGCGTGCATCACGGGCTTGGTGATCCCGTCGGTGTCAAGCATGGTTTTGGTACTCGCGTACGGCAGGCCTGTTTTCTCTTGAATAGGGAGTGCGTCAATGTCGGCCCGCAACAAAATCGTCTGGCCTGGTCCGTTCTTGAGAATCGCGATCTGGCCATGCCCACCAATACCTGTGCGAATGTCAAAGTCCGGTGAAAGCTTCTTCATGTGCGCCGTGATGAGAGCCGCAGTTTCCTTTTCCTGCGTCGATAGCTCCCCGTGCTGATGGCAGTGTCGGTACAGCTCTTCGTACGGAGCCAAGTCTGGCCGATATTGGTCAATGACCGACGAGAACCACGAGGAAGTCATGTTGCATGGAAATGAAATGAAAAGATCGGCGAGAAAGTAAAGTTGCCTATTTGAATGCAAATGCAGAGTCGAGGGAACAAATCCTGTATCTAGATAACGGCAATGCTGAGGTTGAAGTCGATGACCATTTGTTGCGGTTGTTTGTTCGAGGAGAAGTCCGCGCGTTAGAGTTGTGGGGGTGGATCTCAAGTTGCGCAATAACGCATCAGACACGCACCAAAACAAAGTTCTTCCATGCCTCGGTCAATTCGTTCCCATTCCCACGGCCGTTGCAATGCATGATAAACTGATAGACCTTCCGCTTTCAAACCCCGACAATCGCTCAATATTTCGCAAAGCTTCTCTCTTTGAAGCCAGGCCTTGCCCAAGTTCCCCGTATAAACACAGTCCACTCGCTTCGGCACATAGTCCCGCTCATCATTCATCCAGTTCTATTTCGTCCATAATCGGTCGAATGGTTCTGCTCTTGCCGCTCTGCGCTCCTCGCACGGTTCTGACGACGCGACTTTTCACGCTTGATGCCTTCTCCCGCAAACTCGAGGATCGGCTGAGCGGCTTCGTGACCCCTTTGTCGTCCTCCTTCTCAATCAACGCCGTTGATGAATTCGACGACACTACTCGTTGTTTGGGCGTTGTCCTGCTTTTCGCACTGGCGACTATTTTCTTCAACTTTGAAGGCTGACGAGCGAGGCCTGCCACAGGGCTGCTACCTTGGTTGCGAAGAATGGCCTTCTTCACCACCTTGATTTTGCGGACTTTGACCGGGCTTTTGACATTGCTCGCCGTGGATCTGTAGACCTTCGCCTTCGGTGCAACTTTGGCCTTCTTAGTCAGACGGCTGGTCCCCTCTTCGATGACTTCTGCGATCTTTCTCTTTGCTCCGGCCAGTTTGCTGGAAGTCTTCTTGGGCTCCTCTTCGGGGCTTTTTTGCTTTCGCTCCTCCTTTGATCTGGGTCCCAAAACACCACGGCAGTTTTCAGCTCCGCAACGACATACTTGGACATTCTTTTGTGAGTACGGGTCGAAATTGTAATCATATGTGAGTTCTTCTCCGGTCATAATCCCCCTATCACCGGCAAAGAGAGCCATACGCGGTTTTCCATTGACTGTCCATTTCTCCATGCGGCAATTGGGAGCACACGAGTGGTTGACAAACCGTGCAATTGAACCGCGAGTAGCGTCGATGATCATGTTTTGGTCGAACAGCATGAGATAGTAACACTACGATTCTGTCAGCCGTGGCCAGGGATATCCCGCCATAAAGTAACCAACTCACCTCGTTGCCCTTGTACATAGTATTCATCCGGCGCTCGCATTCTTCCTGGGTGATGATCTCGCCTGTGTACTCAACAATGATCTGGTTCGGTTCAAAGGTTCGGTTGCTTCTAACACCGTAACCTCGATCCTCTGTCTTGATGACTTCGACACCGACGTTGTATTTGCCGCCTTTCTTGACCCGTTGACGGAGGGCTTCAAACTGACGATTCCCACATAGTTCTTCTGAGAGATTGCAATTCCGGTCGTCACATTCGTAAAACATGTATCGGTTCATGCAGTTATGGTCGCACCCGGTTGAGGGCTTGCACATGCACCGTGAATGCTCCTCGAACTTGGAGACTCGCCAGGCCTGTGCCGCATCGCCGACAAACACATTCTTGTTTACCTTTCTCCATTCGTCGGGCTTGGGCTGGCCAGCCGGAAGTGGGGAGAAGACGTCAAAGGGTAGCTTGAAATCGCGACCTTGCTTGAGCAAACGTTCCCCGGCGTACATAGGCAGTGGCAGCACCTTGTTCTCGCGCACCGGCTGAACAGCACCACTACTACTCTTTCTCTTGTTCTTGCTCTCTGTAAGCCGACCGTCAAACATCCTGGGTTGACCGGCATAAAGCCCCGACGACAGCCATTTCTTTTCACGCCGTTGAGGAGTTTTCTGGTAGACGGGTTCCTGCTGCTGCGCCGGGATAACACTCTCACTAACACGTCGTTTCTTCGGTTGGGGCTCTTCAAGAGAACTGGACGAGGGGATACCGCCAGTACTCTTCCTGGAACGCTTGCTTGTCTCTGTGGCCCCATTCTTCCTCTTGCCTAGGACACTACTAGCGATCGTTGACATTATTTCTCCTGCCTTGTCGAGGCCTGGGATCCGCGATGATCTTCGGCTGGCTTGTTTTTCTGCAGCCTTGCGGCGCTCCTCCCACTGCCTGTTGTTCTCGGCCATCTTCGCCTTCTTAGCTGCTGCGTTGTCCTCTCGTGACTTTTCTTCAACGTCGTCGTCTAACATATCTTCATCGTCTTGACTATCACCGAAAACGTGCTGGCCTTTGATATCTAGCATGCCAGCCTTGCTCTCCTTCAAATACACCTCACTCATGTTCCATGTAAGGTCCAAAGCAGCAATGCTCTCTTTCACCAGAGTCGACTGGCTTGCATTGTTGTCCATGTTGACAAGCGTCTCACCACTGACTGTTCTGGTTTTAATGCTTTCTATTTCGTCCACAGCATCTTCAATCATGCCTTGTCGACTCTCGTCCTTTGCAAGGCGACGGCTGACGCGTCTTGCTCGGCCTTTTGGCACTTGCTTCATGCTTACCGCACGAGCATCCTGGATCGACACGTCGAGAGAACTTTCTGACGGCGTGGGCAGTTGCGTTGCAGGATAGGTCGACACAACAATCGTGTCGGGATCGGTGTCTGACGATACAGAGCTGGCGGTTCGTGTGAATGTAGGGCGTGACTTGGACGAAGTAGATAGCTCTGACTCGTTCTTTGAACTGTGTGAGCGATAGAAGCTCAACAGACTCTGCCGGAGCGGCATGTTGGCGGGTGAGGCAGGACAGTGGTTCACTGCGGAGGATTAGATATGGAACGGTCGACGCGTCGTGATCAGCAAGGCAACGTGTAATGTGCCCAACACAAGAATGCACGCCTTCTGAAACAACGAGAAGCCTCAAACGACGCGTGTATCGCGGTCGTCTCGACTTGAATGCAGACGCAGACTCAGATGCTGGCTGTTTGAGTGTTGGAGGAGGCTGGAATTCCGAAGGGATACGAGATTGGGAGACGGGGCCTGATTATTACAACAGGCCGATAATAATTATTTGACCACTGCAAGTCGGAGGCAGCAACTTGAACAACGTCCCGTTGGCACCTGGAAGGGATCCATTTCGGCCGCCCAAATGGCCTCCTTAGCCAGCGAACAGACCACGGACAGACCCAGGTCAACAACATTCTCCATCTCGAAACCTGCACACCGGGCAACTCGCACCACACTGACGCCCCGCTGGTCAGAGTGTTTTGAGGCTGATGAACATGTTCCACATTGGCCGTTAAGCGTCCAGAGACCCTGCAAGCAAAGTATTGATTTAAGTCACTTGGCCCCATGGCAGACAAACTCCTTGCTCCTCGCTGTTATACATAGGTACAGTATTACCGACTTCCGCGTTGCCCTAGGTAGCTATTACTCGTACAACATGAACCCGACTTCATCTGGCCTCCATGGCTAAGATCCTCTTGCCCGTCGTCGGCCCTTCAAATGACTTCTGCGTGCCTTGCACGGGTTTCATCTCCATCCCTCCATTCTGCGCCTCTCCAATCGGATCCGTCTGCCGTCGACCCCTCCTGGTCCCAAAGCGCTGATCGCCCTCTTGATACTTCTTCTTGAAATGCAAGTAGGTCGGCGTCTTGGGTCGAGCTAGAACAGCAATCCAGTTCTTGATGAAATTGCCCTGAGTAAACGGTCGATGTCTTTCGGCTTTGGGGAATCTCCGAGAAGCGAGATACTCTCTAGTTGTCTCGCCTTTGCCAGTAAGCAACAAGTGATACGTCCAAAGCGACAAAGGGTACGGAAACGCCAACAGGCCGTAGATGAACATGGCAAATGGTACACGGTTTTTGTCTATCGCTGTCCCAAAAGAAACATGTCTCTGGTTATGATAGGCAATGACTTGACCCAAGCTGGCAAATGCCAGCAGAAGTGCCAATATCGTCCCGGTACTGACAAAAGTGAAAAAGTAGCGGTAGTTGCGTCGTCCCACGCAATTATTCAGCCATACGCAGTGATGATCAAGAGTCTCGACACAGTTGTCACAGACTCGGCAATGGTAGCATCGCGGTGGCCGCCAAATGTTGCATGTCTTGCAGTACTTCACCGGGACATCCATTGCTGCTGTTTGCGAGGTCGCCAGTCGTACCATAACCCAATCGTTGGTAGGTGGGCCAATGGCGAGCGGATCGTCATTATTATTGGGTGGGAATGGGTGGATGTTTCGAGGGAATATCTGCAACATATCAGTCCAGATCGACCACGGTTCGCCATAAGGTGTCTTACTCCGGGGTCAACGAGCGAGGCATGAACGAAAGACGACAAACAGAGGAAGAAAATGTACGCAAAAATGATGGGTATCGCTGGCGAAACGTGGTGCCATAGCCACGAGGCCCTGGGCAAGCGTCAGTATGTTCCAGAACAAGACTTGACAATGGCAACTTACGAAAAGACAAAGAACAGCACTGATGGAAGGACCAACAACACGCCGGTTGCTATGTTGATGGGCCGATCTCGGGCGTTTTGAATACGACCACCCAGCCAAAAGATCGTATTCCCCTCAAAATACTCGTAATTCTTGCCCAATGCACTCTGAGTAGCAATCTGGGTGTTGGAGTTGAGAGGATATCGCGGAGACCCTGCATTCGAAGACAAAGGCTGATGACCAGGTCCAGGATGTTTACCACCCAGACTCAAGCCTGAACGGAATGAGAGTGGTGATTTCTGAGGGCGTTCTGGGGTTCGAAGCGTCGTCGATAGGTTTAACCGTGAAGGCCGCTGTGGTTGCTGTGCTTCTTGGTCGTTGACAGGCTGACTTTCGGCGTTGAGGTGAGCAGGGTAGTCGGGGAATCGCGCATCAACAGTTTCAGGATGTTCGGATTGCGAATAATCAGTGGTAATCGACGGCGCTGTACGATGGCTCCTGGGCATTGCATGAAACGGGCCCTGTCTACTGGATGATATGCTGCCTGCATCGTCCTCCACAGCTTTGTCGGGGATGGATGGCGGAGGCTGCACGCCCTTAGAACCCAATTGTCTCCCCAAACGTTGAGCCTGCAGTCTCTGCGAACTCATCGGCTTGAAGAAGCCTTGTGCAGTCAATGAAGGAACATGAGTGCGGCTCGCCTGACTGGCAGGACTCTGTGGTCTGCTTGAACCGCCAGTGCTTGATGCAGGAACATAACTCCTGACCGAGCGATTCGTGGGCTGAGTGATGCCTCGCAAGTGAGCATATCCATGTTGTGAGCTTGGAGGGTTTGGCAAAGCAGGAGGTTGTGCCGCTCCAGACTGCGGTCGTGAGCTGTATCCATCTTCTGAAATGGCCGACGATATCTCGCTGCGCGCCGTTGTAGGCCGGCCTGCCATTTGCCTGAATGATTTTCCGTCGCTGTTCAGTGCAAGCGGATCCTGTCACGAGTGCGACATCAGATGCATATCGTATGCGTAGGACAAAGGTGTGACGGCGCTGAATCTAGGATCGGGAAATGGCTTCGCGAATGTCGAAGTTGGAGGTACTAGTAGTAGGTCATAGGGAGGTTGTAGTAGGGCACCGCATTGAGACCGCTGGTTCTATGTCTATGATGTTCTCCAAAGGACCATGTGCAATGGGCAGACAGTAACGAACGACTGGACCATGATCATCTTTAGTGAAGCATCAGATCACTTCAAAAGTTGTGCGATTGTAGAAGTGAGGCTGCACGCATGAAAGGCACTACTAGTACGACTGCAGATCCCACTTTCAGGGGGCCGCGCCAGGAACATCATCTGGAGGCGACGGTCACGGTTCATTTCACAGCAGATCACGTGGTAATGGACAGTCACGTGCTACAGGCCAAGCTTGCAGTTGTCCAGAGCTTCTGATGCGGACCCACCGCAGTTCAGTTGCTTCAACATCATCGAATTTGGAACTCACACCACCACTACCACTGACTCTCAACTCCCGGAACCTCGACGACACTTCCCCTTCGCCATTGTTCGGACTCTAGTGTTCTCACCATGGTTTTCGTTGCTACTCTCGCACGCCGGGCGGCATCGTCCGCATCGTCAAAGGCTGGCGCAGCAGCAAAGGATGCATCATTGAAGAAGGGTGCCCGACGAGATCCCGAGCTCTACGTACGGCCTCCCTCAAGATGACACGAGCACGTACTTACAATGAGTAGATCCTTGGTGCCGTCATGTGCGGTGCTTTCAGTATTGCAGGGTTTTACTTTGGCCGCAAGCCAACTTCCGCAACCTCGGAAGCCGAAGTCTCGGTTGCCGAAAGCTCTATGCCGTGGCAGGTGCAGCAGGGAGATGAGGACGAATCCAAGCACTTCAAATACCAGTATCATCCCAAGGGCGACCGAAGCCAGAGTCCCAAGAATGCCCCGAGCGCCTTGAACACAGTCATCGTGCCGAACGTTACATTACCCAAGGTTCGCAGTTTCACCATTTTAAGAGAAATATGTTCCGGCTAACGGCTATCCAGGCTGTACATGACAAGTTGAACAAATGGGGAAAGGAAGGTTATTGAGCAGCTGGCAGGCGATCCGATGCCGTAAACCAGTTTGGCGGTGAACGGACTGAGAAGGATACCTCCGGGAATGTTGTACATATTTGCCGAAAGGGAGGGACCATGCACCAATACCATACAAGCATTTACAGTACTTTTGGTTGCGATCAACAATGAACCGTCTTCACCTTGCACGGACGGCCCCTTTCCGTGCAGCCCGATGAGCTCCTAGACGGAATCCAATCCATCAAACAGAGAAGAGGTGGGCGAGGCGCCAATGCATTAACATGTCAGAAGCACCGGGGGGTTAACCCAGGTACTAGTTTGCTTCTTCGTGAACAATATGTTTCTTGATTCTCGTACCGGATCTGCTTTCTGTCTAACCCCACCCGGAACTAAAGCGCCCAATCACGGAGCGACCAGTGGTAAGCATCATCCGTGATCTGTCTTCCAACGGCCCCAACGACCTTGCGTATAGAAAGTACCTAGGTAGGCAGAATCTATGCCTACTGCAATGATCCAACGGCAGACCGATGACAGTCCCCCGACGCTCGCCAACGCAGCAGAGCCCATGTCCGACTATGCCGTCCCCCCAACAAGGTTTGGTCTATCTACACCTCATTGTTTTATAATATACACATTACTTCCACCTATCTCGATCTGAAAGTCATATTTACCCATTATCTAGAATATTCCATGCGATGCTCATCAATCTCCGCGAGGTTGGTCTCTCGTGAGAGCAAGAAGTGCCTCTTCCACAGTCTTCATCACCGTGTCCATGAGGGCATCATCGACAACTGATTCCTGCCAAGAGAATCCAAGGACCAAACAGCCATCGGCTCCTGAGACAGCGGAGACCTCGAAAGCGCTCCCGGTCACGTTGGCGCTCTGTGTAAACACCATCCTTCCGATTTGGACAGTTGTTGCTGGAGTTCCCCTGTCGTTCTCAAGTTTGCCCTTATACACGCCGAGATTGGATACTTCGTAACTGGAATCTCGGTCTTTTCCAACTTTGGACAAGAAAAGCTCCTGCTGATAGTTGTTGACGTACCGCAACATGTTGGGTGCCGCATTCTTGCCCTCGAGACTGAGGACCTGCTCTATAGTTCGTCGGGACCTCCTGGCTTCATCCCAAGGCAAAATCTCCGTCTGGAACTTGTTCCTGGAATAGTCCTCGGCGAGATTCTGGACGTAGACGCCCATCGAGTCGTCGTCGATCATGTCCGGGAGCCATCGCCGCACAGAAATGGCCCCATTGCACTTCAGCGTGGTGAAGTTACTGGGAAGGTGAGAGAACAGCACCCCAGCAATAAGTGTTTGGAGAGCAGCTGTGACGGTGGTGTTGTGCGCGCGGCAGGCGACAATGAACCCACGTGTGTTCGATGCGGAAAAAGCCAGATGCCGCACGCGGGTTTTGAGTGGCGTGCGGATCTTCCATCCTGTCCATAGACCAGGGTCGCGACGGGCGGACCAAATCTTCTCTCGGAACAGGATACTGAGCACGTATAGCAACGAGACAGGCATTGGATGAAGAGCCTCGATGTTGGGAAGTAAAGGGATCGAGGGGGACGGGATGACGGAGTTTGTTTCCTGCTTGTCGAAGTCCGGGTCCGCAGACACGGCTTGTGACAATGCTTCGTGGAACGTCCTGTGAAATGCCAACCCGGAAGTTCCATCGCCAATGGCATGGTGGAACACAAACGCTGCTGTGAACTGGTGCGGCTGCGTGCTGGTCGTTAAAATACAGAGACGCCAGAACGGGTTGGGTGCTTGGAATGCCGTGTTATGCTGGGTGGTCAACAATTCGTCGAGGTCGGGGTCTCCGTTGGCATCTGATTTCGAGTCAGAGGAGCCTGTATCAGCTGATGATGGTGATTGTCCAGGAGCCTCATAACGACGGTCGTGGAAGGATACACATTGGTCAAGGTCAATCTCTGGTAAGCGCACGAGTTGCGGCTCGTTGGTGTTTTCACCGACGGCAATGGCGGAGAGAATGGGGTGTCGTCCCACTACGCTCTTGCAAGCTTTGTAAATGTAGTGCTTTAGCGGGAGAGTGCATGTTGCAGGGAGGGTGTAGGACGCTGTCACAGCAGCATTCATGTAGAACTTGAGGTCATGGCGAGCTGTTGACCAACGCTCCAGACGGCCTAGTGGTGAATCAGTACAAAATGCCGGAGTATTCTTCGAGCCTATACACTGTACCAACCGGGCGTAACTTTCCAAAGTCTTCCATCTTGAGGTCTTCTACCCTGAGTCCTGGCAGTGTGGGAGAGGCTATACAAGGCTGAAGTCTCCGCTAAATGGCAGGGTTCAAAGTCAGGGGCAGACACCCGTTTAAATTGGTTGCCTGAAAGCCTGCAAGGCTGGCGAGATTCTGCAGCGTGGATTTGACGCTTCGAGAGGGGATCTCGATGATTAAAGCGGCATGGCTTCACATCGGTTCAATCCCGTCAAGTGGTCGTATCAGGCAGTCAATTCCGACAACATACATTGGCAGCATATATTTTGAAATAGATTTACTACAGGAAGAGATTATATGTATCTTGATCTGCTAAGCAAAAATCCCAGTTCCTCTGGTGCCGACGATGCCAGAGGACCGACGTACAAGGGACATTATATGTAGCTGGTACTGTACTAACGAGTCCAGTTGGGGAACAGACACTAGAGGGGTGCTGGACCACTGCAAGAGCTCCAGCATGTCAACACCCCGATGTCGCTTCGGTTCCCACTACACCTAGTAGTACAGAATGCTGCACCGGTCCAACTCGTATATAACGCAGCGACCTTTGTCCTGAGGTAATATCTTCCCGGCCCACCCAAACAAGGACATCTACAACCGGCGCCTCTCGACTGAAGCGTTTATTCAGGCGCTTGGCCTTTGGTTCCGGTCTCTGCAGGCTTCTCGCCGGCCGCTACCTCCTCGATAGCCTGGCGAATGATGCCGCAGCCCTTGGCCATATCCTCCTGCGAGATGTTCAAAGGCGGAATGAATCGCAGAGTGTCATAAATCGAGGTGGTCAGAACGAGCATATCCTGCTCCATGCATTTGGCCTGCACTTTGGATGCAAAGTTTTTGCCGCCCACGAACTCACAAGCCAGCATCAAGCCCAATCCTCTGACGTCGTGGATCATATGGGGGAAGTCGGATTTGGCCTTTTTCAGCATATCCATCATCTCCTTGCCTCTCGCATTGACGTTGTCGAGAATCTTTTCATCCTTGAAGGCTTGAGCAACAGCGACGCCTGCTGCGCACGAAACAGCATTGCCGGCGTACGTGCCGCCCATGGAACCAGGCTTTTGCGTGTCCATGAGTTCCTTTCTCGAGACAATTCCGGACAATGGGAAGCCGTTTGCAATGCCTTTTGCCATAACCATGATATCCGGCCGGACGCCATAGTGCTCGATGGCAAACATCTTGCCGGTTCGACCAAACCCAGACTGAACTTCGTCTGCCACAAGCAGAATGTTGTGTCTATCACAGATCTCTCGAACACGCTTCAGGTACGCCGGGACCACCGGCACGTAGCCGCCTTCTCCAAGGACAGGCTCGATGAAGATTGCGGCCGTGTCTGACGGTGCGGTTTCGCGCTTAAGAAGGAGCTCCAACTGCTCCACAGGATCCATGCAGCAGTTTTCAGCGTTGTACTTGCCGTCGCAGCGCTTTGCGATCGAACATTGTGCACAGTAGGGGAAAGGAACGGCAAATACTCCGGGCATGAGCGGCGAGTAGTTCTCGCTGTAGATGGTCTTGGATCGTGTCATGGCCATGGTCCCGAATGTTCGTCCGTGATAAGAGCCTTGCATCACGATGATGTTGGGTTTCTTGGTCGCGTGTCGAGCAAGCTTGACTGCTGCTTCGACGGCCTCCGAGCCCGAGTTCCAGAAGAAGAACGTGTCCAGAGACTTGTGCGGCATGAGCGGTAAAAGAGATTTGATGAGATCCAGGTATGGTTTTTGGAATGCAATGTTGACCTGCGCATGCACCATCTTGCCGACTTGCGTTTGAGCAGCCTTGGTCACAGCGGGATGACAATGGCCCAAGTTGGCGACACCAATTCCGCAAGTGAAATCGAGCATCTTCCGCCCACTCGCCATCGTCACATAGCTCCCAGAGCCGCTTTCAATCACCTCGGTCGCCAGTCGCCCGATTCCTCGAGCAACATGGCGAGTACCGAATTCTGCGAGTTTGGAGAGACTCATACTGGGCTCAGGTGTGGTGGTCTAGGCTGCTGGCGTCTCTGGATCTTCCTTTGTGTTGCCCTCGACCCAGGAGGAATATTTTGACACACATCTATGGTTTGTTTTTCCAAACTTGAGCCTTGCCCGTTCATGACGTGGGGCGATAATAAGCAGCCTGCCATTGGCCAATCCAAGGTCCGTTGAGCTCCGGCGTTGCGAACATCTTATCAGATAATCTCCAAGAGCATCGCCGCGAAGTGGTGACAACGTAGGTATACTACAATGTTGTTGTTGCAGCATTTGGTCGACGCTCCCTGCCAGTACCAGTGCAGTAGTATAATAGTAGTAGTAGTGCCCAGCCGTGGAGAGGCAGGGGCCGCACCGGTGCTTCTAGCCTCGCGCGATCTTGGTTGATCGCACCAAATATAGCTTGTCCTTGGCGAGGCTGAACGAGGCTGCATCTCACGTCTTCTGCCGATACCGCAGGTTTGAAGTTTCTCCACCGCCGCGATCTGCTGTGGACACTGTCTCCAAATGCAACTTAAGAAGACGCTGAACCAATATTGTTCGTGTCAGGCCACTAACCACAACAGTGCTACCGTTCTAGAATTGTAGCAACATAGCCTGACAAAACTGTGTCAATTCGCATGAGGAACGGCCTTTAACACCAATGCAGCAGAAGTTTTGTGATCGGTGAAGACACGCTGAACATATCGGCCCAACATGAGGATATCACCCAGCAGACAACAAGATTTGCTCTTGCTCTCCTCTATACTGCGAGTTTCCCAGCCACTATGCGCCAGCTGTGCTCGTCCTCGCTCGCAACGAGATACATTGCACCCGAACTCAGCATCTCGACGTTCCTTCTCGGTCCTCAATCGTCCTCCACCAAACTACCCAGGCCATGTTCCTCTCACCCGCGTCGAGCGGTTAGGACTGGCGGTCGGCAGCGCTGTCACGTCGCTGCTAAACCCATACCGCCATGACATGATAGCTGCGCTGGGAGAGGCGACAGCTCAGCCTTTCTTCATTACTTGGCTACGAAACCGGATGCTCTCCGATCCCACCGGACGCCGAATTCTACGCGATCGGCCCCGAATCACGTCAACGACCATGCCTTTGGAGAAACTGCGGAAGTTGCCAGAAAATAGCGTGGGAAGAACATATGCGGCTTGGTTGGATCGTGAAGGCGTCACGCCCGACACAAGGGATCCGGTTCGGTACATTGACGACGAAGAGGAGGCATACGTGATGCAGAGATATCGGGAATGCCACGACTTCTACCATGCGGTGACGGGACTTCCAGTCTGGGTCGAAGGCGAGGTCGGGCTGAAAGCATTCGAGTTCGCCAACACAGGCTTGCCAATGACTGGACTGAGTCTGGCTGCCATCACCAGACTCAAGCCGGCGGAGCGACAGCGCATGTTTGAGATCTTCTTGCCTTGGGCATTTGCAAACGGCTGGCGGAGCAAGGATCTGATCAATGTATATTGGGAGGAAGAGCTAGAAACAGACGTCGCAGATCTGCGAAATCGTCTTGGGATCGAACAGCCTCCAGACCTGCGAGCGATCAGGCGTAAATTGAGGGATGAGCGTCGAGCAGCAAAGGCTGCGAAAGAGGCAGCTTTGATGAAGAGCAGCACCAGCACTGTCTCTGATGCACAACAGGCGTGATCGCGGATGTATTAATAGCAAACCATAATGTCAGGGGTATCAGTCGCATGATTGTTTTTCTTTTCGGCTGCCTTGTCCGACAACAAAGAGCTCTCAAGCCTCCTTTAGCAGGTCATCCAGATCATCGTCGTCGTCCCAGCCGCCTCTGCGCACCACCTTGACACTTTCCACGCCGTGCCCCGTCTGCTTCTCGTGCTCCGATAAACTGGCAAGCATATCCTTAAGCTGATCTTCCGTAACTTTCTGCCGTAACTGGCCTGACCGTGCCAGCATGATCAGTCTGTTCTCCACGTCGGTTGCTCGTGACTCTTTGACCATTCGTATTCTCCCCAATCGGTCGGCGGCTTCCGGTTCGAGAATCTGAGAGAGGATGGAGGATCGGGCTTCTGATTCTTGTTTCCTGCTCCGTCGCTATCAGCGAGGATGTATCGGAGAGGCTGGACTTGCAACAGACTCACCGCCTCTGTTCTTCCTCGTCGCCCGTGTCACCTGAGCCGCCTCGACCTTGCTGCTGCTTGAGCTGGGCAAGCCTCGCGGCTCGGATCTGTGAAATGGTCAGTAGCGGTGCGGACAGCTATCAATGGACATGCCTTACTTGTGCTAGTTCATCATCTGCCATTGCGCACTTTACCCGTTGCCAATGCTCAGCGAGAATGTGGCCGTGTCCAGGACGCTCGAAAATGCTGCGCGGGGAACGGATAAGTTCGATGTTCGCCAAACAACTCTACTGTAGTACGGCTCAAGCCTGAGATCAGTTAATCGTGTGGCTCAGTTATTTGGTCGAACTACGCCACAAGCGAACACTGGCACTGGCATAGCGTGGCGGCTGCTCCCCTATTTTTTCGTCCGGGCCGGCTTAATGAGGGCATTATACGCCCGCGGAGCACGACTCGAGGTCCCCGGATCACGAACGGGCGGGAGAAGTGCCAGAAATGTCCACGGGGTTTGCCTATCACTGCCCATCACATCACCTCACCCGAAGCTCTCTGGCAAAGCGAGATCTATTGCTACAATATCCTACAGTATACTCCCATCGAACACTTTTTGCACTCGATGTGCCATTTGCACCTGTCTAGATCGCCGCATACTCATCACAGTCCCTTCGTCGGAAGATAGGACCCAACCACCTGCCTGTGGCGGTTACAAGCATGCCTTGCACGACAGCTGCATGAGACACGTCGCAGTCCCGCAGACGTTGACAGCTTCACCGTGGGCTTAGACTTTTCGACCCTTGCGTGTCATCTTTTCAGATGCATGCCTGGGTACACCATGGCTCTCTGCTAGGAGCAGGAGCGCCTTCTCACTCGCGCTCAATATCTTTGGGGCCGCCTCTGGCTCAGTCGCAACGGGACCATCTTTCCAAGGCCAAATCAACCTCCAACTTGCACAAGATGGCCACTATTGAGGCTTCTCCTCCTCCCCCGCGACAAAATCAAGATGACTCTCCGGAGACGTCCTTTCGGACGATAGCCGATCCTCGGAACGCAAGCACAACCGACCTAAGCAGATCGGATTCTTCGTCCTCAAGGCACCCCGACCTGAACAGCGAAGTCGCCGCGTTGAGTGACAAGCTGATAAGTGCGATCAACCACCAAACGAATCTAGATGACACCCTCGCCCGAACGAGGCAAGAGTTGGAAGCGTCCAGGGCCAGAATCGCAGAGCTAGAGGCAGAAGCAAGGGCATATGAAGAGAGACTTGCCCGGGGAGACTTAGTTCCCCGAGAAAGCGTCGAAGAGCAGAACAACAAGTTGCAGTCCGAGTTGGAGGAGGAAAGACGACAGAAGGCACAGATCCAACAAGAGAAGCGTGGCATTGAGTCGGAATTGGAGACCCTCACGGCGTCCTTGTTCGATGAAGCAAACAAGATGGTGGCATCTGCCAACAGAGACCGAGACGCAACTGAGAAGAAAAACCAGCAGCTTCGCGACCAGATCAAAGATGGAGAGGCAGTGATCGCCTCTCAGACCGAGCAATTGGCGGAACTCAAGGAACTCATGCAGCAAATCGGGCCGAGTTCAGATTATCGTAAAGAACTTGACTCACCTCGGGTGTCCTTAGCACCTTCGAGCCCAGGTGCTGCACGAGAGGAGCACAATATCGCCCGTCTTCTGGAGGCCATGCATCTGTCGCCTGTCGACCCCGATCATGGCGAAATTACTCCCAGCCCCTCGAGTCAGCTTACTCATCTTCTCAGGACCATCTGCCGGACAGATATTCCTGCTTATGAGGATTTCAGAAACTTGGTGCAGACGTCTCATTTCCGCTCACACAATCCCTCTCATGCACCTTCCCGAGCCGGTTCAGGCTCGTACGGCGGCTTGAACATGATGGGACTCGGCTCGCTCAGCAACAACTCGAACACCAATCTCTCCCAAGCGGCTCAACCTGCGACTTCAAAACTGGCAAACTCTCCGAACCTGCCTGGCTCCTTTAGTCCCAACCCTGACAGCAGAGGACCCGTGCCACTCAAGGACACCAGATTCTACAAACGGATCTTGGTCGAGGATATTGAGCCGACACTACGTCTTGACCTATCTCCTACTCTTTCATGGCTGAATCGCCGGAGCATACTTTCGGCGCTAGGTGATTCAACACTAATTGTGGAGCCTATTCCTGAAGCCTCTCTCCGGCTCTATGGCAAGTACACTCCGTGTGCACTGTGTGGGGAGAGTCGAAAAGAAGGCGAAAACCCGCGCACTCACGCAATGAGGGTACGTGAGGGTGAAGGCGCAACAAAATGGTCCATTTGTACTTTATGTCTAGAAAAGGTGCGAGGAGTGGGCGATTTAGTCGCCTATGTACGCATGGTGCGTGAAGGGGTTGTCAAGGTTGGCGATAGGAAGGATGAAGAGGACGCATGGGAAGAGTTAATTCGTCTCAGAGAACGATTGTTCTGGGCACGGATGGCAGGGGGTGTTGTTCCAGCATTTCTTCCAACGCCCACAAAAAGCACACCGGTGGAGAATGGGAAGATGGACGATGAGGTGGCAGGTGTTGGTGGTGCTGATGCTAAGATGGGAAAGGTCAACAGTCCTTCCGACCCTGACAACAACAACACACCATCACATTCCGCTGCCGATCCGTCTGCGCAGTCCGCGCCCGACTCACCACTTGCTGGAATTGGAACGGTCTCCCCCGACCAGGCTGCCCAGCTTCAGCTCCAACAAGGCCTTGACGAGAGTCTCACAACCTTCGACAATATCAAGGAGAAGAGAATGAGCAATCCTGCTGGCCACCGAAGCTCGAGCACGCCACCAACAACGCCTCCTCGACAGCGACATATCAAGCGACAGTCATCCAGCGGAGGTGGCATCAGTTTCCCAAGGATAAATATCCCTCGACTGCCGGCTGGATTCTGGGAGGCTCAAGTCAATACCCTGACCTAGCCGGAATGACTTTTGGAGGGGCAAATCGAAAAGGTGGGAAAGTGGATTCGTTTCCATTTTCATTCCGCCTGTGTACAATATAATGCAACAGGATGCAGTGGGGAGCGCCAGACTCCAAAGAGGAACTTGACTATGACTGGTACCAGAACCAGAAATGGAAGGCTCCACAAGCCAACGGGTCGGGTCGGCCAACTTCAAATTACTGTCTGCTTGTCAGGCGTGACCAGTCTAGACCATCTGGATAGAAAACCTGGGGCAGGGATAACTGGTCTTTTTCGGGATCGGAAGGTGGTTGAAAGGGCTTCACGAGGATGGGGATCACAAGCTCTCCGAGAAGCTCCCAGCGAAGTGACGCTTTGTATATTATATAGCGATGATTTAGGTATTATTTTCAGGGTAATCCAAATGAGTTGGGCGGCGCGTCTCGTCTGCAGGAACGAAAGCACGTTCAAGTTTGGAACATTGTCCACTGGCATGGATCACTTATAACACTGTTCAACATCCTATGATTTGCGACACAAGATCTGACCATGTGGAATGGCAATGAAGGCATCCTCCTGCTCGCCCCAAGCTTTCCAAGCCAGGGAGATTTTCTCGATTTCTTCCTCGGTGGCAAACCCTTCTCGGACCGCAGTGCCCTTGAATCCCGGCTGGACAATCCTTCCATTCCAGCTCATGGCAAAATGCCTGACTCTCTCGCCGGCATACCGCCAGGTATCCCATGAGGCATCAATTTCTTCAGACCCAAACCCAGCCTGCCGCGCCCAGACATGACAGTACCTACCTGCGTTTGGTTCGCCGCCGTTGGCCCTGGCGACTTTCTGATAGAGCTCGGCCCAGCGGTCCAGCTCAGGGGGTTCCGGATACCACGCGAAAGCCTTGTAGTCAGCTTCGCGGGCGGCGACGATACCACCATCGGTGCCCCCGGACTTGGCCACCCGGCGCATTTCACGCAGAATGCCCACGGGGTCCTTGACGTGCTGCAGCACTTGGTGGCAGTAGACAATGTCGAAAGAATCGTCCGGAAAGGGTAGGCTGTTGGCGTCGATCTGTTGAAATGTTATGTTTGTCAACCCCCGAGACGCAGCGTACTCGGCCGCTTGGTCCAATACGCTGGCTACCGCGTCAACACCTATCACTTTGCCTTGTGGTACTAGTGTTGCTAGGTCCGCGGTGATTGTGCCGGGTCCGCACCCCACGTCTAAGATCGTGTCGGTCGGTTTGATGTGCCGTAGCAAGAATGCCGCTGAGTCTTGGGCTGTTCGGCGCGCGTGGTCGGATACCACGGATTTGTGGTGGCCGTGGGAGTAGGTGGCTTGTTCTTTGGGGGGCATGGTTGGTGTTGCCAGGGATGGTCAAGTTGGTAGGGTTCTGGAGTACTGTAGGTGTGTTTGTTGGTAGAGGGTTGGAGGGGTCGTGGCTAGGTTGATGCAACACCACAGACTTGAAGGCGAGAAGCAAGCGCAAAATGAGACTCGACTACTAGTAGTGGAACGAGAATATCTCAAAAACTTGGGTTATGATGTTGTTGGTTTGTTAAGCACCTCCATGTATGGCTTGAACCTCGTGTTTATACCGTCGTGCGGTGGTCATGTCATGGTCCCGATATCGGCCACATTGGGACATGTACTTGGGTATGCATGTCCGTCGGCAAGTCACAGCGAATGGGAGGTGCCTCGATACAAATGTGAACTTGTTCGACGAGATAGCCATTGAGGACGAGTACGCTCGGCTGTCGGTCGTTGACTGTTTGACGCTGCTGCTGGCCTGGACGGGTCGGTACTGTACCTACCTTAGGAAGTATTGCAGGTATACCATCTTCACCTGGGGCGGCAAAGGTTGGGGATGCCAGCGAGGTGGGATATACGGCGATGCTCTTAACATAGGTGAGAATATGTTAATGCTAGCAACACTAACTCAGGCTGTGGACATTTCTGTACATGTCCTGTCTGATATTGTGCGGTGCGGCGGCTTCCATTTCTCATCGAAGCAAATGTTTAGTCCTGTCTATTTATTCTGCAATATCGGACTCATCACATCCTTTTTGCTTCCTCTGTAAGTTCAAGTTCAACGTTAAGAGTCGGCTCCTTAGGCGCTGGCACCCATCAATCCAACCTAATCCCAGTTGTTTTCTCCCCCCTTGATTGGCCGGTGTTGTTGTCTGCAAGCCATCGACGTCGGCCGCTCATCCCTCGTTCGTTTTATCAACATGTGGCTGAGCCGTTTGTGGCGCGCGACTCGATCAACAAGTATGTCCGGTGACATCATATTCATCTGGATCGTCAACCTGGTTTCGCGGCACTGGCACTGGCACTGGCGGTGCCCATGGGGGAGACGGCGGGACGGGTAGAGAGGGTCGCTGGGTACAACCCTGATATATCCTGCTAGAGTACCAACCTGCTGCTCTCCTCAACCACTGCATATCTTCAGGCGTCATATACTCCCTCATCACACTCACCATCAGTTGCCCTGACCCCCCCATATATTAATACATGTCGCACTCGGCATCCGTCATGGCCGTCTCGCAGTCCTCGGGCGACGAAAAGAAGAAGTCTCGAGGGCTCAGCCGTCTCCTCAAGAAACGAGACAAGACCCCAGAGCGGCCCAGCAACTTGAGCGACTCCGCCTATGGTAGCAGCGAGGCCAACAGTGCGGATGGCGTTGCACAGGGCATGAACAGCGGCGAAATCGTTTCGGCTGAGAAGGACAGCGAGATTGCCAACATTGACCAGCACAGAAACCTTGCTCTGAAGCCCTCGACAGGAGAGGTCTTTGACGAAGACACTGGTGAAGTGGTGACGGTAGTGACCACAACTACAACGACTACTACAACTACCACCACAAGAGGCGGCAAGAAACAGCAAGAAGTACAAAAAGATGTCAAGCGAGAAGTCCAACCAGGTCGGGCACCTCTGTCCGAAATGCCCGGTGCCGAACCAGTACCTTCGCATACACAGCCTCCGAGTACCACTGCAGTCACATCCTCTTCTACAAACACCGCTCAAGATGGACGAATGCCGCCGTCGGTCAAGGCTGGGGCGGGAACGCTTCAGACCGATTCCCCGCCCATCCCGGCAAAAAGCGCCTTACGTAGGTCTGGCGAGATGACACGAGAATCACCTCGAGACAGTACTGTGCCGGGTGGTGTTCCTGTTGACCCCAGCTACAACTATAACAACTACGACCATGGTGGTTATAGTGGTTCCAACAACAATGGGCCCGTGAGTCCAGTTTATGACGCGGCATCCACGGGCCGCGCGGGCGCCAACACCAGCGCCATGGCGATGGGCACGGGCACTGGCATCACGCCTCCAGCGGACAGCCCCTCAAGACCCAACTTCAGCTACCCGAGCCGTTCGTCGCTAAAGACCGCCGACCAACCCATGCGCCATAATCAAAGCACCATTGACGATTTGAAAGCCGCAGCAAAGGGAATACATGTATGTATTGTCTTATATTCTTTCACCTTTGCTTCTACTCTTGCAACGCTGTGTGCTCTGTGGTTTGCTCTTCTCATGGATCCACCACCGGAGAACCCTATGGAGTTGGTTTTGTTCTTTGGTCGTCAATCAAACCAAAATATCTCGTTGTTTCCGCCCAATTTTATTCCATTCAGGACTTTTGATATAACAGTGGCCACAATCCCATTACGTTGAAACTCACAGAAACTGCACGATTGCCCCCTTCTTTTCCCGACCTGTTTCCCTTTTTAATTGTCAATTGTCTGGGTGACTAACCAATCTCTGGCTGTCCACACAGGGCGTCGGCGAAACCCTACGGGGCACATTAAACTCCACCATCGACCGACGGTTTCCATCCAAGAAGCCGGAAAAGGCAGCCCTCGTCAATGCTAGGAATCAGGAAACTCTACAACGAGGCCGTCTCGAAATGGAAGCAATCCCAGTCCCGGGGAGTTGGCCGGCTCATGCTGATGAAGAGGACGATAATTACAACCCCAACTACGACAACAGCCTCAACGAAGACCCGGTAACAACATCTCGGCCACCACCTCCAGGAACTTTAGACACAGCCAACCCTTCGAATCGACCCCGGGAGAAGGAGAAGTCGTCATCGGGGAGCAAGCTGAAGCTCTTCAAGCGGAAACCAGTACCGCCTGAAACGCACGAGGTGGATACGAGGCCGAGGTAAGATACTGAGCCTGTCTGCTTTGGTCTTCTCACACCTTTTCACCATGGCACGTGTTGTTGCTATCTTTGTCCTCGTCGAAGTCGTCGATGGGTTCTCTTTTTGATACCACTATCTCAATACTATGATGATCACTCTGGAGGACAAGGATATCCTAAGTTTCTGCATTTTGTGGTCGGAGCCATAACCCATTATTATTCAACATTGCTCCTCCTCACCCTTTACAATGGATTCTGGATATCTTCTTTTCCCGCGGGCATTCATGTTTCTCAGTTGTCTCTCTACCTTCTACTGACGGTTTCTCGCCCTCCAGGCACTATTAGATACCCGGTATCGTTCCACAAGCTTTACTACCTTACGGATTACCTCTCTTTGATCCTCCCTTGGGAGCCCAAACGTTGCCTTTGTTCGAGCAGAGCGCTACTGCGACAATTGCTACCACAGCTTCTAACATGATTCGATCGTACGACACCTGAAAATCTCATCCGGATAGGGAAACACTGCTGCCAGTTCCAGTACCGATCTTGCTGTCGTTGCACACCAGTACGAATACCATGTTATAACCACCACCACCACCACCACCACCACCACCACCACCACCACCACCACCACCAACGCCAACAAGTACGACGACTACCGGTATCAAAAAGGCGACGGCCCTTATATTGCTATCATCGATATTGATATCGATACCGTTACCAAATCCAAAGACGGGCCCTGAGCCCCATATTTGACCTTGACGAGTACACCTCCAGCCCTGCCATTTCACGGTGTTATGGTCCGCCTAAACACTCCTTCCGCCTCTATCTCCACCGTCTTCTTCCTCTTCACAGTCCGTCATCTTCGCTACCATAGCCAACCTTTTGTTATTCTACCAAGAACAGTGCTTCTCTCTCTTTTCCACCGATGCGATGACGTATGACATGTTGATATTTGGAATTGATATTGGGTGGTCAATTGCCAGTTGAGATTCAAGTTTGGCAACTGAGCCGTGTTGATTTCATATCGTTTGCTTGGACAGAGATCTTGATATTGAAAGGTCACTCTGCACCAGTGTACCGTCTCCACGGGTCTCCGACTCTCAGAATTCCGATCCCAGATGGACAGACAGAAGTGTGAATCAGGCGGTGGACCTTGCAGCTGTTCGATAATGATCTTGGGTATACAATATGCAGACCCCAATCTCTCTGATATTTCGCTTTCCCTCATTAGTCTTCGAGCCTTGTCCGTACATCTATCCTTGTCTCCCTTCCTTTTCAATTCTGGAAGTATTGCTTTCGATATCCTCGTTCTTGGCCTCTTATTCCTATTTCTTGTACTCATGGGATTATTAGCCTCGTCCATGTAAGCATGAAAGGTGGATAGGAACCAGTGTCTGGTGATACACTATCCTATCTACAGAGACTAGGTAACCTCAGCTGATTTTACAGAGGCCATTGCACGATAGATTTGATGCCCCGGATCAAGGCTTTATCGAAACCAACTCAGACAGCTTCAGCATTTCAATTTATGGAGGGAAAGGAGAAAACAATCAATGGCAATGATAGTTTCATTTGGTTATCAAGAGTAACGACATGCCCACAAGTGCCCGTGAACTATGTCGTCACTTTCCCACCACCAGCATCGATTTTTAATCAGCAAATTTGACACATCCACTGCCCATATGTGACTGAGCCATCTTGAACCATGATAGCTCCCAATCTCCGTCTGGCCCTTGGCTAACTTGGCCGACTGTGCCATAGACTCCTGTGCATCCCGTATCCCCGTGACATTTCTGTCCTATTGTACAATTGGTGATTGATTGGAGTAACCAGAACTCGCACGTTTACTGGTTCTGCTTCAATCGCTGGTCAGGTTGACCGTCCTTGCGCAGTCCATCACCGCCGAGGTTGGCTGAGCCTTGATTGTTGTCACTGCCACCACTGCCAGAAGAACCGCTGCCGCCGCTGGAGTGACCGCCTTGCTTGCCAGCCTCATGGGGGTCAACTTTGCCGTGAGCGAATTCGCCAGTTCCGACGCGCTGATCAGGTTCGCCGTCCTTGCGGAGGCCGTCGTGCTCTAGTGAAGTAAGAGTTAGCATTGCTTTCAATCTAGGATAAAGAAGTTCAAGGTTCTTGATGGATGCAAAGTCGAGCAAGATATGAGAGCAGGTCAAGGTCTTGATGGCAGGGCAGTTGACTGCAAAGAGAGATGGAGAGAACTCTTACCAGTCGGCTGGTAGTTCGACATGTTGGCAAGTGTTTGCTTAAAAGGCTGGATTGGATTGGATTGGATTGGTTGATTGGTTTGTCTGATCGAAGAATTGCAGAGGTTGTTGGATGAAGAAAAGAAAAGATTGTGCTGAAGCTGGGAGAGGTGCCTGCTTATATAGACGAAACCTGCGCTCCTTCCCGCATTACGCTTCCTTGTGAAGAAGCAGGAGCAAGTCACTCTGTCGTCATGCCAATAGTCGGTGAGCTGAGCGTGACAAACAGGCAGCACTGGCACTGGCACTGGCATTGAATTCACAAGTAGCAGTACTGCAATGCATCATTCCACTGCAAGTGAAGCAACTTGCAACTGGCACTTGCAATGTCAATGCATGTTGAGGTCAGGGCAACAGGGCATCTCAGCATCCCCCGCTCTGATCAGTTCCTCAAAAGTGACGGTCATGAATCATCATTCACCAAAGAGCAAAGTAGTGCTGTACCTTACCTCACCTTCGGTAGGTTCCTACAGCACGTACAGTTCCCATTGATTGATTGATTGTCTGCACTGACATTCAATGTGAAATGCAGTGGTCCCTTGCCCTCGGTGGGTTCCTGCATCGGAGTCAAAAATTGCACGATCGTGTTCCAGATCCAGCGCGCGGAGGAGAAGCCAGGCACCAGCCAGCCAGCTTCCTGGAGATCAATCCATTGGCACGACACCATTTTGCTGGGTCGATCTTGTTAATGTGTCTAAGGTAGATATGCAGTGAGGTGAGTACCCAAGGTACCTACAGTACCAACAGGACCTTCATGCTGTGTAGGATAGTTACCTATGCTAACAAGAATAACACTGTAAACCTTCGACCTGACGGACCCCATCACTTGAATTGCGGATCCCAGATGCATTGCTACTACTAGTGCGATCGATCGGGAGCGGGAGATTCTCCAGATCGGATCAGATCGCCGTAGCCCCCTACTGTAAGCTTTTGAATCACGTCAAGATCGAGTGTTGTTCACCCCGTCCAACTTAACCCGCCTCGAGATCTTCCCCAGGATACACAGGCTGTAGTCTCATAAGAATGAGAAAATGGTTCGACACTGGCTGGCATGCAACAGCATAATACGGGGCAAAAAAAACGTCATGAAGGGCTGAAATTGACCCATCATGATGTGGCCTGAGCTGAGGTCATAATCGTCCGTGAGCACGGCACGGCACCAAACCTGGGGCAGAATACTACCTAAGCTGCTAGATACCTACTAGTAGTAACTAGGTACAGACCTAGATACACTCACTTTAGAACAATGCACATCAATAGAATGCTGTATAAAGGAATCATTATCTATCTGAAAGATGCAAGACATTAAAGGTCCATTATGGTTACTAGCTCTAGATTTGTCACTCATATCAGCACGACCGTTGCCTTATCCTAGTGTTGTTGTGATGAGTCCCATCCCCCAAAATTGACTGTTACAGCTAAGTGGGCATCATAAATTGGAACGCCTTGCGCCAGGTAAAAGAAATTATATGAGGTGCCGCATCATGACGATATGCAGTCCTAGAGCCCTCAGACCGATGATATTACTACAAACATTTGGAAGATCTGCCGATACACAGCGGAGCATCAGCAACAAAGCAGATGACCCCATCTTATTCTCGCACTGCTGCTGCTCTGCTTCCAGGTCGCGAGTAGAGTAGACTAGTAACCGCTATCTACCCGCACTGCATGCGAGTCCAAGCTGGAATGATTAATAATAATATCAAAATGATCCGACCTCTGCTGCCAGGGAGGCTGTCCTCTTAGTCCATGCCCGTACTGTAGGCGCCTCGTATTACATGCTCCTTCCATCTGGTGCACATTCCACACATTCCATCATCGCCGAGACGGCCGGCTTCGGCCCGTCATCTAAGGCCCAGTTCGCCCGCTCTTGCTAAAACGCCCAGGGCCCAGCCGTCTCGCGTCCTGTATGCCGTCTCTTCATCCATACCCTCTGTCTAGGGCAGCTTCCAAACCGAAAAGGCACTTGACCCCACCAAGGGGGCCTGAACGCTCACAAATAAGAAACAGAAAAATCGTACTGGTACACCGACCAAACAGAATGCGACGAAACAAGGGTATATCTTCGCAGTGAGTTCAGTCGTTAAGGCCCTGCATAGTCTTGCGGCGCAGTGTTTGCAAACACGTAGTTTCGAGGTTTCGCTTGAGACAGTTGTTGAGCAATATTAGCGTGTTCTTCTTTCTGGTTGGGAAATTCTTGGATGTAAAACTCCGTTTGCTTGTGGTCCATTTGAGAATTATATGCAAAGTCGGGCGGCTGGTCTGAGGCGAGAACAATCCCAGCGAATTGACCATTGACACCATCACCGTGCCCCTGTCCTGGGTATCCGAGGGACGGTACATATGTCACGGGTGGGAACGACGGCATCTCAGGCGAAGTCAATGGAGCATCCGACCAACTGTTGTTGGTAAGTGGGCCGGCCGAGTAGGGCGGTGTATAGTCAGGAAAAGAAGTGTAATGTGCCGGGGCTGAAGCTGGTGGACAGAGGGACTGTTGCGAAAGTCCTCGCAGCATCGACTCTCCCCCCAGCGGCGTGCGCGGAGGCGACGCCGTCCTGAGGCTGAGGTTCTGGGGTGCTTGCATGCGGTAAGGGTCGATGTTCCTGGCGAGAAAAGGGTTCTTCTGCGGGTCGTTCATGGGATTGTTGGTGATGATGTCGGGCGACAGTGATGGAGCTGGCAACTCTGCCAGAGTTTGAGCATTAAGCGCTTGTTGCGCCATTAACTGATTGAAAGCTTCGGCTTCCGCGAAGCTGGCTACGCACATTGGCGATCGCTGAGCCGAGCTCGATTTGCGAACACCCGCATATCGTGTGTTCAGACTATGACCGGCTGACTTGACATGACGAACAGTATGAGGAGCAGATGGGCTACTATTGTTCGCCCCGGGCCGGAAACTAGGTGAGACTGCGTTCAAGGCACCATATGATCGGCTTCTAAGCGAAGTCGCGGTCAGCGCAGCCGGGCGTGGTCGTTTCCGCCGGGCCGCAATATCTAATGATCCGTGCTGGGGTGATCGGATAGGCTCAGAAGGACGTCGGTGATGCGACACCATGCCAGGCGAACTGCCTGCTAAAGCAAAATTGCCAAAGTTATTAGACAGATCGTCCGTGGTAGATTCTCGCCGAGAGCTTGGGTTCGACGGCATGGTCAACCCAGGAGAAGGCAAGGTGCTGGATGGATCATCTTGCTGGAAGGGCATCCCTTTCGGCGTGGTCAAGGCTTCTTGCCAGTCTTCAGGGGTCACGACGAAGGACTCGTGGATGTAGTCAGCCATTTGATCGCCCGAATCAGTCCCTTGGCTCGACGTGTTGGATGGCTCGGTGTCGAAGCCAAAATCGAACGAGTTGTCTTGCAGGGTGATTGGCGAAGGATAGGGAGCCGTGCTGGCGGATTGGTTGGGCCATGTTGCGCCACTCGCAGCAGAAAGACTGGGATGAGGACCATTTAAACGAAGCGGAAGTTGCATCGGAGCTGACTGAGGCGGAAGGTCTGGAGGAGCCATGGATACACTGGGCTGCGTTGAATGCTGAGCTCGCGCTGCCTTGGCCTGCCCTAATGCTCGTTGGAGTGACGCCCAGCTGGCTTCCTTGGCCCTCTCTATCGCTTTCATGGGAGATGGCGTGTTTCGAGAGCCAGTCTGTGACAGTTTCGATGGGGAAGACTCCGAACGCGTGGGCGATGTCGCCCCAGGCTTGGTCTCTGCTTGGGCGTCGGGCTTCGGAGTGCTGGCGGAAGCAACTTCTTCGGGTTGCTCTTCTTTGGATTCCTCTTTCTTCTCTGCCTTCCTCTTTGCTTCGAACTCTTCCTGTCTCTTTTGCTGCTTCGCCTTTGCCCGACGGTTCTGAAACCAATTCTGTCGTCTAGTCAGCTTTTAATTCAACATACGGTCAGCTTGCTCGAACTTACCCCCACTCTCTGGAACTTCAGGTTTGTTTGAATGGCTAACTGCCGCTTGACCAGAGAATTGGGTTTGTGGTTGGCCTGAAACTGAGCTTCAAGCACCTCAACTTGCTCCTTGGTGAGTCTGGGCCGTGACGAAACCTCCTCCGGTTCTCCATAGTCCTCCTGCATCATCCCCGGAGGCATGAACTCGGCATACTCGGCCAATCCGCCGTATGAGCGGTGAAAGTCGTCTACATGTAGCTGAGGCTGGACCATATAGCTGGGGTAGGTTACGCCCGGGTAAAACATCTGCGGCTGCTGATGGAGAGAGTACTGAAAAGACTCTTGTAGATAGGAATTCATATTGTAGTATTCTTGATCTTCGTTGCTGATGCCGTGAGAGTGGTTCTGTGCTCCGTCATAATATTCTTGATGGTGGTCTTCGATGTTCATGCTCTGTGAGCGGGTGTGGGCTCCGTCAGACATCGGAGCATTGCCGCCCCGGTAAAGGATTTTATAAAACCCAGACAGGTTGATTCTTTGATCGACGGGCGAGGTACAAGGACACCGAGTCTAATGTAAGAGCGCACAATGAGAAGGTGTCGGTCGATGGCGGAAGGCGCAACCGGGCAGCAGGTGGAGGGGGTTGCGACGAGGCAACTGTCGCAATCGGGTCTCCGATTCCAGATCCGACGTTGGGACAAGAAAGAGTCTCAGGGGGCAAGACAAGATGCGATCGAACGTGAAGCGAAGATTGGAACCAGGTTGACGGCCGGGAGATGACGAGAGACCGGTGACCTGGTTGATGTATGGTGAAGTGGTGGTACAAGGAGGGAAGGATGGAGTAGCGGCGGGCGAGATAGTAGTATGGGAATCTGTTAAGGCAGGATGGACGAAGTCGGGAAATTTAGATTTAGAGGCGGCGCCGCAAGGGATCAGGCGAGACCTAACTCCCTTCCAAGACCAGGGTGAGGTAGGGATCCGTCTCGAGGAAAACGGAGAACAAGAGCAAGAGACCCAGTCCAGCGTTGGAGGCCAGAGGTTTTCAGAAGTTGACGATGATGATGCAGATGGGTGACAGGGAAACAGCTGGAGCAACAGAGACGCACGTTCGCTTGCTTGGGCGATTTGATGAGCAAAGAGGATATCAGTGCGCGCACTGGGTCTACCTGATCATCGCCCAGGATAGATCAAGCGACTGGGGACAGAGACGAGGACCTACGGAAAGGGCCTCACAACGGAAGAGGGTCGAGCTTTCAGGCTCTCAAAATGCAGGCTGTCGAGCTCGCTGTCTCTTCGTCGACTGTGGAAGGCATCTGGGCCTGTGGTGTCGAGCGGAGCGTAGTGGGAGTGGAGCCGGTCAAATCGCTGACAGACATTGGACGTCGGACAGGCGCAGGTACAGTGACTGACAGTACGAAGACCACCGGGGGCATCCACTCGTGGTGGAGAGTCCAACTCGTAGGCGAACAGGGCATACGATTTGTACAGTCTTGACAGCCACAAGCCAGTAACTGCGCAGTGGAGCCTGTCTAGCCTGGGGCTTCTCGCCGAGGGAGTCGCTTCCGTCAAGCCATTTCGTGCGTCGTGTCTCGCGAGTCGCCATAGGAGTAGCATGTCTCGCGCGCTCGGTAGAGCCTGGAGCTGGGGTGATGGTGGTCGCGATGGACTGGAGAGGTGGCATAGGCTATAGCTAGGCCAGCTGTTGCTGTTCTGGCATAAACTCCGACTGAACGTTGCAAAGCGCTCTTTGTGCAGAGGCGCCCGCCGAACGAGCCGCGGATGAGGCGCTCGGCTACTAGTACAGTAGTCGTCGTAGCACAGTCCCAGTACCTACTGTAGCGAATACGCATTGGTCGTATGTGCCTGTGGTATAGAACCCGACTGCATGGGCGTCCACAGTGCCTCGACACCCCAGAACTTGGAGCCTAGACTCCCCGGGTAGCAATGCCAGTGCAATGCCGATACACGTTTATCACAGCCCACTGGTACGGCATCAACGAAAACGGTATTCGCTTCACCTTGCTTTGCGACGTGTATGTTGCAATCTCTCTGTTCTTGTCAAGGGCAGGGCACATTTCTCGCCCGGCGTCATAATTCCGGATTGGATGAGCGTCGTATTCCAGGGTGCTCCCTGTGATGTTCGGCGCCAATGCAGGAACCGGCACACACACGACGTCTGGTCCAGTGGAGGATGCAGCTGGCACTGCAGGCAGGTCAACAGTCAGTCGGGATATCCTTCCAGCCAGGCGGGTTGCAGGGATGCAAATAAGACAGCGAGGTCAGACAATCCTTACCATCTCAGGCCACCTGGTCGCCCAGAACTAACCCGTTTGGCGCGGGTCTCAGCCCAAAGGGCACCTTGTGGCACTCTGTGCGCCTCCCGTAGAGACCAAAAAGAACGTCGGGTGGGGATGCTTGGGATCGAGACAGCCTGGTCAAGCGAAAGAACCCTGGTCCAAGAGGCGCTTGGATGGGAGATGAGGTGTGGCGATGCGCAGGAACAGCGCCAGCATCTACATGGTACCTAGTACCTGGTAGAAAAATACAGTGGTAAATTGTAATAATCAAATAACCCTCGAACTGGAGGACAGAACACGCGGAAGGCAGACAGCCACGGACATTTTGGGGTGCAAAGTCGCCTGTCGAACCCTGAACTCAGCGCCTGACAGGCAGACAAACAGACAAACAGACAGACAGACAGACAGACAGACAGATGGTGACTGCCTTCACCTTCAACGGGGACACTGACTGCCGTTGTGACCGCCCAAAATGAAGGTCCAAGCTGGAAACAGGTACCCGGGGGCACCTAACAAAAACACCCAGGCACCTACCACAGGCAGTGTAGGTGCCACCCTGAGGTTGCCCGGCCGCTGGGAAGCGTTTCCGAACTGAAATTCCCGGTGAAGTTACGCATCTCGTTGAAACTCTAAATTCCATCTATACAAACTCTTGCTGTATTCCATACATGGTCCCGCGTTTGAACGTACCTTACCTGGGCACTCTTGTCCATGTGGCTCAACCAATAATGGCCATATCATGCGCGCGAAGGCTACACGGCCAGCAGGAGAGCCCATGATGTTGGTAGCGCGGCGCCTGTACCAAGTGCTCAGCTGCTGCGACCATGGTCATGCAACAAACCCTATCATCATCTCATCTCCACCGATCTTGGACCAGTCTGTGGATGTATCACTTACTGTGTGAGATTGGACCTCCCTTGAAAGGGGTTTGCATCGAACTCAATCGACAGCCGCGAATTTCGGACGATCGTCTCGGTTCGTGGCACTGACACTCAACACTTGGAGGCTGCCAGTGTCGCCTACGGAGCCCTCGCCGCCCTTGCGGACGCCAGAAGACGCAGTAGTATTTCACCTTGATTGCGCTCACTTCGACTCCCAATGAAGACAGCAAACAGGGTGTGTATCCCTGCACGAGACTGCAAAATAGAAGAGGAGCCTACTGCTGCATAACACAATTTGGTACCTGCATTTGTGGCGCCCGAATTCCAGCTCCGGGACTTTCGAACCAGCTGAACTTTGGAGTACACAATTACGCCCCTGCACAGACTCCTGCTGTGGTTGAGACAGCCTGATCAGGGCTGGCCGTCGCTGATCGAAGCCGACCACTTAGCATCCATCGCCGCAAGAGCACCCCCAGGCCATATGCGGCCGGGATCACAAATCCACCATTATTGCCCATCCATGCCTAACCGTTACACGCTTTCTGAACAAGGGAGCCTCGCCACTGCTCTTTGGCTGTGCCTCTGAGACGCGCGACTAGATGCTGCAGATACAGGCCTTCATCACAAGAGTAGGAGAACTGCGTAACGCAGGGGTAAATTAGTTGATTCGAAAGGAACCTGGGAATTGATCGATTCCCGAGATTCTGCGACACGTCCAGTTGATTTTTGCACAGAGCATTCAAGTTCAGCCCTGCCTTCTGCTGCTGGACACCACAGCCACCGCCATCACTACTACCGCCAACGAGGAATGCCAGGACTGCCGGCGACACAAATCAGAAACACCAATCTCCAGGTGCGCCATCGGGGCAGGTTCTTAGTGCATCCGAAAAAGCGCAGAGAAATCTGCGCTTTCCGAACTTCCCATAGCAGCCCTGCCATTCAAGTTCCGCACCGCCAGCACCGCCAACGATCTCCGTCTTCAACTTAGTCTTTCTTTTAGCGACGGTCTTTGTGTAGATCGTTACAGTACTACTGCAGAGGACGGCGACTCTTGTCGTTCAACAAGTTCGGTTAGCAGCTGAATGAGGCCAACGACGGGCTCTTCTCTAGCTTCTTGAACAAGCTGAATCCGAGTCGTCTCCGATTCACCTCGCTTCTCGCAGGAACCAATGATCGGCTTCTCTGCTTGAGACTTGCGGCCGTCGCGTATTCGCGACGTGGTCGTCAACAAGACTTGGCCTCTCCTCGCGAACTTGCTCGCTGTGGACGACGTTGCTCCTGTACTCGAGAATACTCTTCCCATATGCTTCTCTGGACTTAGAAGCTTGTTGTCACTATAGACTACGGCGACCTCGCGCGATAAGACAAACTCAGTTAGGCACAATTCGGTGAGTGCTCTGATCGCCGTCCTTTCCGACCACACATGTACAGACAACAGCTTCATGTCCCGGTGCTGCGATCAAAGAGCAAGAGGCGAGGGTAATATCCATACGGCATGACTTTACTTGGGTCTCCTCGCAAGGCCTGACAGCTGCCATCGCCTACTCTAGTAGGTAGGAGGCACAGGTGGGAGGTATCATCTGCTATCCGCAGCTCCAGCGCAGCATTGACCATCATGGTCGACGCTTTGTCCAATTCATCCTCGGCCATCACCTCATCAACCAGTGAGTGACACATCGCTGTGGCCGACCTGATTTGCCTCCGGGTCGCAAGCCTCTTTTTTTGGTCTTGGTTGCCCTCCAACTGCTGCACAGAGGTTGCACATGTGCCGGGTACGTACCTATGCTTCCCACGTTGCGCAGCCGTAGGCGTGGGACCCTGCAGCGAACGTCGCCGGCCCTGACAGCGTGACAGCATCCAGAAGCCTTATGCAGGTACTGTCAATCACCGCCTTCACACCAGAGGTATGAAAAAGTGCTGTTCGAGGAACGACGTCCAGCCAGACGAACCTGTTGAATGCGACCGGAGTTCTACCGCCGATCACACCTTTTACAGTACACCGTTCAGAAAAGTGGACAAATCGTCCACATCTGCCATATCATGATCCGTCGGCTGTGGCTCGAATAATGGAGAAGCAGGGTCATGCGGCCCTCTCCTCGCCATGGCCGCTCTAGCCGTCGTCTATATGCGGAAGGCTAGCTCGAAAACCCCATTTGCTCTCGCTCTGACCAAACGCCATACACCATGCTCACATGTTCTCAGGGCAGAAGACACATCAAAGACACCTAAGCTATGCACTGACCAAGGCATTGGTGATCTCGATCTGTACGACTCCATCCGCAAAACTCTTCAGACTGACACTTCTCAGGTCTCGCACAATCCAGTCGGCCCCCGCTTCCTTTAACTGGCCAATCGTGTGCGTTGTCGTGAGGCCAATGACCTTGAAGCCAGCGGCCTTACCTGCACGGACGCCTGACGGCGCATCTTCGATAACGATCATGCGAGCGTCCTCTTTCAACCCCAGTCTCTGGCGACCGAGCAGATAACATTCTGGGTGAGGCTTGCCCTCCTCCACATCCTCTGCCACTACGACACAACGAGGATGGGCGAGCTTCAGCACTTCAATCCAGCCAGTGAGGAGTGCCCGGGTACCCGAGGTCACCACCGCCCATGGCGCATTGACGGCCTCGAGACTTTCCAGTAGTTTGCGAGCACCAGGAATATCCACCGCATTTTGGCCGTATTCCTTGGGAATCAGACCTTCCTGGTGGCTGATATCTATGGGAAATGTTTAGCCGCGGGTAAAAGACCCTGTTAACTTTTGGGAAGCCAATCTTACAATCCCAGTTTGCCTTGGATGCGTCGTAGATCTTGAAGGTATCGATGCTTCGTCGCCCATGTGAAGTAGCAAGGATGACGTTGGGATCGACTCCCATCAATTCACCCTGCTTGTGCCAGTGTTTGACAATTGCTTCTGTGCTGTCGATTATGGTTCCTTTATCTCATCATGTCAGATACGACGGTCAATAGTAGAAGCTGGCAACTCGCTCACCGTCAAAGTCGACTAGCAACCCGTCGGCTGAAACGACCTGGGGCGGCGCCGAGAAAGAGTCCTCCGAGACAGAACCCATGGTCTTCCTTCCCTCTCTCTTTTCTAAACAGAGAAGAAAATTCAGTTGTAGTGCTTGATGAGGTAGCTAGAGCCAGCAGGTCTATCCTGTGATGCCTTGTCTATAAGAGTAGAATTGCTGAGTTGCTGCTATATGTACAATGTATAAATGGGGGTTACCTAACACCTCTCGAGTTTTAACTAATTCCTCATCGCCATCGGCGAGGTTACCCGATATGGACGGAGCCGATAGTCCAGCCGCACTATCAGTGGTCTCGCCTTCATTGTACAAATGCACGTGATGCGACGTCTCATTGCAGTGTAGTGTCTTACTAAGCCTCCACTAGTCCCGAATAGTACTAAATGCATCGGCAAACGATCCAGTTTCCCGCCGTCTGCAACTTTTTTCGAAGGGCGTTCGAGAACAAATTGAAAGCGCCGCAATACAGAACCAGCCATTTTCGATAGACTGTCTGCTGCAGCGATCGCGCTGTGCTGAGTCTTCAAGATGGTGAAGTCATGTAAGTCTACTCTGTGTCGCCCTTTTTATCTGTCTGACCTTCCTTAGTTTCAAAGTCGAAGCGCACCCCCGTGCGACTGAGACACAAAATCGAAAAGGCGAGTGCAGCGAAACAGCGGAAACTGAAGAAAGAAGCCAAAAAGGTAGGAGAATCTAGCCAATCCTGGATGGAGGGTGCTTTTACTCACAGCCTACAGAATCCCCAATGGAAGTCCCGCTTAAAGAAGGACCCTGGCATCCCCAACCTGTTCCCTTTCAAAGAGAAGATTCTTGAAGAGATTGAGGAGAAGAAGAGACAGAAAGCAGAACAGGCGCAGAGATTACGAGATGCAGCCAAAGATAAAAAGAAAACCGGCAAGGACCAGCCGACGAACGAGGCGCCTGAGCATGACGAGGACGACCTGATGGACGAAGACGACGATGACCTTCTTGAAGATGAAGAAATGGACGAAGATGACACCGCCGATGCCACGAATCCGTTAGCTGCGTTAGTGGCTTCTGCCCAAGCCCGCGCGGCCGAGTTCGACAAAGGCGCTCTCGAGGGCGACCTGGCTTCAGACAGTGACGAAGATGATGAAGCCGGGGTTCAGCTCTCCGAAACCGTGGCGGTCGATCATAGGAATCCAGACCAGTCACGGAAAGCTTTTGATAAAATCTTCAAGCAAGTCTTGGACGCTGCGGATGTGGTTTTGTACGTGCTCGATGCTCGGGACCCGGAGGGCACGCGGTCTCGCGAAGTCGAACGACAGGTCATGTCCGCCGAGGGGGGCTCGAAACGACTTATCCTCGTGCTGAACAAGATTGATCTGGTCCCGCCGCCCGTTCTGAAGGGGTGGCTTACGCATCTACGACGATATTTCCCCACCATTCCCTTACGTGCTTCGACACCTGCTTCTAACGCGCAGACATTCGACCACAAACAGCTCACGCTCAAGGCTACGTCGGAGACGCTCCTCCGCGCTCTCAAATCATATGCGGCTTCGAAGCAGCTCAAGCGGTCCATTTCAGTCGGCGTCATAGGCTACCCTAACGTCGGAAAATCGTCCGTCATCAATGCGCTCACCTCTCGTCTGAACAAGGGAACGCAGAGCTTCGCATGTCCTGTTGGCTCCGAGGCCGGAGTGACCACGAGTCTGAGAGAAGTCAAGGTCGACAGTAAATTGAAAATCCTGGACTCGCCTGGAATTGTCTTCCCGTCGACAGTTGACGGGGAGAACAAGCAGGACCGGGAGCGGCGGAGAGCGGAACATGAGGCGCGTTTGATCTTGCTTAATGCTCTTCCACCTAAGCAGATTTCAGATCCAATCCCTGCTGTGAACCTCCTGATGTCACGCTTATCGACGTCCCCAGCGCTTTATGAGAAGCTGCTAGGCCACTATGGAGTCGTCGCCCTGGGCCCCTTTGCCCATGGTGATACCACGAATGATTTCCTTGTGCAAGTGGCTCGGAAGCGAGGCAGGCTCGGTCGAGGCGGTGTGCCCAACCTCAACGCAGCAGCCATGACGGTGATCACGGATTGGAGAGATGGGAGAATCCAGGGCTGGGTCGATCCGCCTGTTCTCAAGGTGACGGACGACACTGAGATGGCCGTGGCCGAGGGCGGTGATAAAGCCGCGGCTGTCGGGGCAGATCACAAGGTCATTGTCAAGGAATGGGCAGCTGAGTTCAAACTGGAGGGACTGTGGGGCGACGGAGAAGACTCAAAGACAGACTCGGCCGCCAACGATGCTATGCAAGTGGAATCATGACGACGTCGCAGGACATGAGTATACTTTAGATGCATGCACGGCGTTCGGGAGGGAAAATGATAACCAAAAGGTACTGAATCTTCGAGAGGCATTTGAATACAGTGATTTCTAAAAGTGTAAAACTCTGTTCTTTGCCAGTAACTGTCCAAGATCATCGGGGTTGGGTAAACCGATTGCCACGATCATGAACCAGATCTCAGGAAAGTGAGTATTGTAGAAGTATTAAGAAGAAATCAGTGATGGTAGGGGCAGTGGTACATGTGCGGAGGGAACTTTGAAGTGCCCGCAAGATAAATTGATTTTATACGCGTTTCCATTTTCATCACCGCGGGCGCGTCTGGGCCAGACGTCGACCGCGTTTCTTCAACAGGCGGAGATATACTTGCAGACACCGTGCTTTCAGACTTCCCATACTACTAGATATTTACGCCTCGACACAGTTATTGACTGAGACTCGAATAGGCTGAGTAGCCACAGCCCAGCAAAAACTCAGCCCGTCCGAACACAAGTACACCTGTCTCTCGAATTCTCTCTGCCCCAGGTCGAGCAACCGCCAGCGTTGTCGCTTGAATCCTCAAAGGGACTGTACAACAGAGACTACCTGAATTTCTTGCCGGATCACCACCAGACACCGAAGCCATCCTTGTTAAGAAAATTACAAGCCGCTGCAGTGAACCAGAATCGACTAAAAATTGCCTTGCCCCGCCATTTCGGTCACTGAAAGGGCCAAGCCAGAGCCAGATACAAGGAGAAGAGAAGAGAGGAACCTGGTCGCCTGGAGAGGCAACTTCGAGCTGTTTGTACCGAACCGGACCGAATGCAGCCATGCCGCCACGGAAAAGCAATGCCTCGACAGCAGCGGCCACTGATGCCAATGGCGATGTGTCTATGGTGTCAAATGCAACCACTTCATCCAACACTGCACAGGCCAAATCGTCGCGTCAATCAGGCGGAGGAAAACAAGATGACGGCGTGAGCATTGATGTACGTGAACAAAACCCCCTTATTGGAGGCGCACGGCACCTGTCTTGAGATATGGCTCGCAGAATATCACAATGAAAGTTGGCGACTATTGTTAACGTTGAATTCAGGATCTTCTACTGCCACGAACGCTCGTATCCCGGCTTGCCCGCGGCGTACTCCCACCCAACACGTCCATCCAGAAAGACGCGACTCTTGCCATAGCGAAGTCGGCCACTGTTTTCATCTCGTACCTGGCACATCATGCGAACGAGCAAACGACAAAGAAGACTATCGGCCCCCAAGACGTACTCAAGGCACTTAAGGAGATTGAAATGGATGGTGTCATGGAGCTGGGTGCTGTGGGAAAAGACGGCCGGTTAGGTGGTCGGCTCGAGCGCGAACTGGAGGCTTACGAGAAAATTCTCCAGCGCAAGAGAAAGGGATACCGTGACAAAATGAAGGCGCGGGAGAGTTTGGCCGCGGATGGCGACGATGAGGCAGAGAGGGGAGAGCCCAGCAGCAAAAAGGCAAGGAGGGCAAGCGAAGAAGAAGAAAATGTCGATGACGACGAACGATTGCTCGAGCAGCAGCTCAATGGGACGGGCGGTGAGGACAACTTTGACTCCGAACATACTGAGAAGTCGAAGCGGAAGAGTAAGTCCAGTCAGTCTGTCGCGAACGGGAAGGCCAGAGCATCCGCGACCGAGTCCGAGGTCGAGGGCGGAGATACAGCCGCCGAAGAATCGGGGCACGGAGATGAGGATGATGAAGACGAAGAACCAGAAGAAGAGGATGAAGAGGATGAACAAGACGACCAGGAAGATGAGGATGTCGAAGATGACCAAGATGACCACGATGAAGAAGTCGACTCCGTGGAGGATGTGGACGGCAGACACCGCTCCAACGGCACGCGAAGGCCACTTATACCGGGGCGGGACGTGGATGTCGGAAGCGAGGATGAAAGCGATTGAGTTTCTGCCTTGGGTTCTTCATCTGTTCTTACATCGCTTTTTGCCGTCATTAGGGCCTCTTCCAAGTTTCTGCTCCTCGCAGCTGCCGGTGACCACGACGTATATCACCAATCCTCACATGTCTACGCTTTATGAGAGGTCACCTGTTTGTCCCATTGGATCACTTTCCGGCAAACAAGAGTCCTGCTCTATGCTCCGAACATGGCCGCCGGTGGCACAGAATCGTGAAAATCTTCATCCTACGCAGACCATTGCGCATGATCGCTGTGCCCAGGTACAGTACTTTATGCGGCATGACGAGAGCAGCGGAAGGCTAGCCAGAACAACTTACAAAGAGCGCTATGTGGCCCAGTCACTATTGCATCTTTACGCCCCATTCGCTTGGCTTTGCCTTGCGTGGCAAGTGACTTAGCGGCATGATTGCATTGTAACTTGAAGCTCAGGGTGTACAGTGGTTGGATAAACCCGTTGACATGGCATCAGCCGACGCAAATGCTGGTCCCTCTTCAAAGCCTTTCGTAACCCGGCCTTTATCTTCCTGAAGCAGGCAGAGGCATTGGAGTTGGCTATAGTACACGAGGACTAGGAGGAAACTGCAATGGCGCCGGCTTTGCATGTGCCGAATAGTCCGAGGCATTGTATGTACCAGTACCAGTGCCAACGTTTGAGCACGTCTACAGCCATGCTTACCCTGCGTCCAGTCTGTATCATGCTCTTCTACGTCTCCGCCGCTTTTGTCTCTGCCAATCCCCATTCATCTTTGGGTATCCGTCTTCTCCCCTTTTCAATAACGCCGAGAGGCGCCAGGACACTGTAAGCATACTCACCAAAGGTATCAATGTTGCAGTTCGGACCCTTAACGTCGATGCCTTCTTCGTCTCTGTCTACTTTTCCTTTCTTGCCTTGACGGCGTCCCGATCCACCTGCGTCTTCTTCATCATGATGGCCAAGTCCGTCTCTGTCATGCTTATTAGGCTGAAGATCATCATCCCATAGCCATCGCTCCTCTCCCCTTCTTCGAGCATCGGAAACACGCTTGCACGGAACTTCGTCGCGCAAGATCCGTCTCATGAACGACATGGCGGCACAAATTGCGGCCTCGGCATCTACCAAGGCGGTGGTATGTGCTGCGCAGAGCCTGACGCGGGCTGGGCGGGAGGATGCCTTAGTAGAGGCGTAGGAGTCAAAAGGGGATTTAGTGTTGACGAGGACCCAGCCGTCTTCCTCGTCGTCTTCACAAGAGCCGACATTGTTCTTCTGTTTTACAAAATCCAGGATCTTCTTAGCGCTCTCCCACCAACTCGCGAGGAGACTATCCATATTGAACATTATAGGCATGGGCGGCTCCGGGCCCCAGGCGGCCGAGCGAGTTGTTCCTGTTTGTTTCAAATAGAAACTGTCGCCAACACATAGGGTCCGCGTACCCTCATCATACCACGCCAACGAGTCCGGAGTGTGGCCTGGCGTATGTAGAATTGTTATCCCCGTAGAGATGTTGACCGCGCCATCCTCCGCGTCATCATCTTCGTCTCTTCCTCCGCCTGAGTCAGCAGACGGCGACGGTGGCGGCGGCGTATACACGACCCGTTGCATGTCTTGAGCCCATATACCCACGGCGTACCGGGGAGCCTGGAGACCTAGTTTCTCACAGAGGCTGTATCGCTGGAGATTGGAGTACGGTGTGACAGAATGTTTCGCACGCGACGAAGCGAGTATTGTCGTCATTGTCGTCGTCGTGGGCTGCGGTAGCGCTCGATGTTTTTGGTCGAACGATGCCAGTGCCATACTATCCTTACCACCATCTCTCCCCTCAAGCACAGTGTTTTTGTAGCTCTCGCTCTGTTCCTGCAGCAGCTGCGAGGGTTCGGAAGGCTGCCTCAGCAGATACCTCCTTGGCGGTGGTGGTAGCTTCCAAATGCCCATGATGTGATCATAGTGACATTGCGTGGTTATGACGAGATATGGAATTCGTCCGCCTGGGTTGAGTGTGTATTCGAGAAACGTGCCTAGATTCCATACAGCTGGTTGGCGGCGCCGGTGGCCCCTTTCGGCGGTATTATCATCGGCAGTAGTAGCAGCAGGGGCAGTAAGACACGATCCATGACTATGGTCATGACTCCCTGGATCGTTGGAAACCTCTGTTCCACAGCCCGTGTCGCTGAGGACAATAACCTCGGAGTAGGAGTGACGGTTTCCTTCGCCGCCGTCGCCCGTCAGCGTCTCTGGCTCTGGCTTGTTGCCTTTCTTGGACCTGCTAGATCCAACAGATCCAACAGGCGCACTGCCATCTCTAACGGCAGCCTGCCGAGATTGAGATTGATTTGTCGTCATCGTTATTCGACAGATCTTTGCGTAGATATGAGGATACTCTCCATACTCGTCATGCTCGCGGATCAGCCACCAACCCGAACGGGCGGCGTGTCCATCCTCGGACGATCCATTGTGCTCGTGAGACAGGCGGCAAATAGTGAATGGACACGACTGCGGTATTGGTGGGAATATATATGGCCTTCCTCTGTCTCTGTTGTCCATGTCCATGTCCAAACGTGGCCTGCTGGCCACTGGTATCGTGTCCTACTATGTTTCCAATTTCGTTGGTGGAGGGAGATAATTGCTGGCCGACTTCCTGTATATGTGTACCTGGGTACCTACCTACCGTCCGATTATTGCTTATGGAAATTGACAATGCAATGGTGAATGGCCGGACTTGTAGTCGTATCAAGTCAGTGAGATAGCGGGATCACAGTCCAGTCCAGTTCACGTCAGAGTCAACATCATTTCTTCCATAAGTAGTCTCATGTCCAAAATGAGACCGTGGCCGACGGCTTCAAGTAAACCTGGAACAGTCCTTGTCGTCGTCCCAAAGGTATCAGTCAGTGGACGACGATCCTCCACTTGCTACCACTACATTGAGCCCATGGCAGTGCATCATTTCCCTTTTAACTCTAAACGGCATAGACCAGCCGTGTCAGGCCGCAAGCTGATGACAACTGTACTTCTCTTGACTTGTAATCTGCTCGGACCCTACAGGTTCAGCTTTGGAGAGCGTCGTGTACACATGGGCTCGAATCGAATTATGCCGTAGGACAGAGTTCCATGAACAAATACTACAGGCATGATTGGACTTTCCGGAATGTTTCTCATGACCAGCTGACCCTTTGTACGAAGCTGAATGCGAACAAGACCTTGGACCGGGCGGTCAAGTTGCGTGGCGACAAAAGTTGGGAATACCCGAGAAACATGTGCCTGAATTGAGGAAGTAGTCTGGAGGGCTATTCCGTGTCCATACGATCTCCACCTTCATTGTCCTTTTCCTTGGTGACCTTGTCTTTGACTCCCTGCAGGAAGACTTCGACGGCTTCGCCACCGCCTAACGGCACGCCTCCTCTCCTCATGTAACCTCCATTTCCGACAGGGATGTCGAGGGCTTCACTGATACTAGGCAAGCCACCATCACGCAGGGCAATGGTCAAGCTTGATAGACTTTGCGAGAACTGCGGGGACCGCAAGACCCTTCGCAGAATGTCCTTTTTCTGGTCGAGACTGAGTGCTTGTTCTGCTGCTTCGATTGAAGCGTGGTCTGTATTCAAAGCCGACATGTCGTCTGCCTCTTGAGCCAAAGTAACCAACGCAGGGGGTAAATACTGAAGTAGCCCGTCGACAAGTTTGGCGTCTGCCGAATCAATCCACGGTATCGTGGCGGCCGGGGTGAGCAAGTCTGCAAGAGTTGTGAAGAGCTTCTCCTGAGGGGATGATTCGTTGCCTTGATTGTTGGCATTGTTCCCTGCACTGTTCCCTAGCGATTGGATGAAGTTCTGGATTATGGCGTTTGCATCCGTAGCAGCAGCGCTGCTCCAAGTCAGTCGATCGTGTCTCAAGTTGCTGGCACAACGGCCACGGCGCGGGCGTATTACCTACGCTCTTCCGCCTTCGGCTCCCCCTTCTCTAGACTCTTCTCCCTCTTCACGGAAATCGCCACCAGTGGCATCGGGTCCTGCCCCAGGTCCTTGAGACGGACGTCTGTTGATGCGGTGATCTGTGCCCTCCACTTCCTCCATCGGTTCATCATCGTCGTCGTCCGGCGGGTTCTGGTCCTTCGGCAGCTCTGCCATTTGTTGTTGGACGTCCACCTCTTCGCCCTGTAACAGGTTGTTCACAATCTGGCCCAGCTTCAAATCTCGAGCGCTGAACCATGCGGGGTCGCCCTGTGGATGCTGACTTCGAGACTGTAGCCAGAACAGATATCGTTGTGAGCTCGACGAGAATTTGAGCACGTATATTCTTCCATCGGTAGGCTTCTTGGGGTTTGAGGGATTCTCCGCGCTAGAGGGGTGGTAGGGCACGAACGAGCCATCGCCAGGGAGCATCAATAGATCCAATTCAGGCCGATCCAAGGGAGCGGTCCGTGGACGCCAACACAGATGCAAAAGTTCATCTTCCGCGTAGAGGTATAGGTATCCGGGGGTCGGGAGAGGTTTGACTCTGGGAGGAGAGGAGCTCGTCTATTAGAGGTCAGTCGTTGTTATCTGTGGCGTGAGGACAAGCAATGTAGAGCCGAATGTCGAGGAAGAGGCTACAATACTTACATCAAGCTCACAAAGTCCGGCCTTGAACGTGATTATCGGAGCGATCGACATGATGAACAACGGACGAGCAGAGAAAAAAGGAACGTAATAAGTAGTAGCTCAAGTTGAACCGTTTCGACTCTTGGGGTGTGAGCCAGATCCTCTATTTAGCGGAACAAGATGACAGCGTAACAAATGCTGGAAGTTCCTCCGCGATTCCTCAGTCAGGTCAGATCGTACTACAGTGGCCAGGTCTCGTTTTATGCCAATAAAGTGGGCCCGTAGAGACTATACTATAATAGGCAGCTAGAAAGCGCGGCTTGCACGTGCATGACAATACGTGACGTACGGGAGGCCTCCTGGAACTTCCAAATCAATTACAGTGCGCATTGCAACTGATATACGCTCGATATAGAGTTGCTTCAGGGCTGCATTTGGTGCGTACGAGACACCCTATCGACTGTACGTCTCGAATACTTGCTCCTGCTACGCGTTGCGAGAGAACTGGTTTGGAATCAATTCAGGATCGATATGGAACCAATACGTCTACCTACTCGTCCTGCTCCTACTACGCCTACTCGTCCTACTCCTACTACGCCTACTCGTCCTGCTCCTACTACGCCTACTCGTCCTGCTACTCCTACTACGCCTACTCGTCCTACTACGCCTACTACGCCTACTACTCCTGCACGTCCTGTTCGAAAACGACTCGATCGTAAGACACGCGCGACGATATGGGCTCTACGACAGTATGGCTTAACTTACTCGGCTATTGCGCACCATCTCAATATCTCTGTGTTTTCAGTACACTATACCTGCGCTCGTGCACATCGAGTTACTCCTCAACATCAACGTGCGGGTCGTCTACCGCGCCTAACGGAGGAAGAGAAGGATAAACTTGAAGAGTTTGTTACGAGTTCTGCACGTACGCGGCGGCTCTCCTATCGACAAATAGCGCAGGAACTCTACCCTGAGGATAACAGCGTTGGTGCGAAATCGATTCGGCGCGCACTCGAGTCTCGTGGCTACTCGCGGCACCTCGCGATTCGAAAGCCAGTTTTGACAGAAAAGCACCGTAAGGCGCGATTATAGTGGGCAACTGAGCGTATAAATTGGACGCTTACGCAGTAGTTCTTAATACTATGGAGTGACGAAACGTGGATTAAATCGGGCCTATATCGAAAGGTTTTTATTACGCGCAAAAAGTCGGAAGAGCTAAACGAGACTTGCCTACTTCCACGTCGACGCGAGAAAGGCTGGATGTTTTGGGCCTCGTTTAGCGGGAAGACGAAAGGTCCTACTTTATTCTGGGAGAAGGACTAGGGAACTATTAATCAGGATTCGTACTGCGAACGGATACTGCCACTTATTGAAGACTGGTTGAAGCGTTTTCCTGAGCTCCAATTTATGCAGGATCACGCTCCTGGACACCGAGGGCGAAAGACACTCGAAGCGCTACGCGAGAAAGGTATCGAACTACTTCCTTGGCCTCCAAACTCGCCAGATTTGAACCCTATCGAAACGCTTTGGTGCCGTATGAAAGACTGGCTTCAAAAGCGCTACGGGGATAGTACTGCCAGTATATCCTATAAAGAGTTACGCCGGCGCGTACTCGAAGCCTGGGATGCGATTGGCGAGGATACTCTTGAAGAGTTAGTTAAGACGATGCCGCAACGCTGTCAAGACGTGATTAACGCTCAGGGAGGACACACCAAGTGGTAGGCTACGAGTACTACTACTACTACTACTGTTCTTCGTTCATATCTATCCTGAATCGATTCTAAACCAGTTCTCTCGCAACGCGTAGCAGGAGCAAGTATTCGAGACGTACAGTCGATAGGGTGTCTCGTACGCACCAAATGCAGCCCTGAAGCAACTCTATATCGAGCGTATATCAGTTGCAATGCGCACTGTAATCGATTTGGAAGTTCCAGGAGGCCTCCTGTACGTCACGTATTGTCATTGAGCGTTCCCAATTAAGCTAGTCTGTATTTTATTTGGGCCCACTTTATTGGCATAAAACGAGACCTGGCCATAGTAGTCGTGGGACTTGCGTCAGGGAGCAGAAGCCTGCCCAGGTGGCTAACGAGCAAATTCAGCAAATGGAGCAAACCGAGCAAAACTCGTGCCTCCGCATTCAGAGGGCAGCTGAGACGGTGCTTGGCGCACGCACGTGAAATCACATGATCAACCACCCACTGGTCGCCGTCGAAAATTCCGCCGTACTTTCCTGATCGAGATTCTGCCGCCAAGAAAAGGCATCGCACACTGCTCTTCGCACGTCCACTGCGGCACTGCATCTGGCAACGAAACCAAACCTCCACCACCATTTGGCGACAACAACCTCAGCAAACACTCCAGCCTCGTGGTCAAGATGTCTTCCGTGGAGGCCAACCAAGCTACTGTGAAGAAGTTCGCGGGCGGCGAGAGAACGGTGCCGCACCCTTCCCAGAAGGCGCGCAAGTTCTACCCGGCGGAGGATGTCAAACAACCCAAGAAGGTGAGCGATGACTCCTTACCTTGGAATGCTTTGCGCGAGAGAGGGAGGGAAAAGAAAGCGGGTGGAATGGAAAACGACGACCGTTAGAAGACAACAGAGGCGGATGATACACACGGCAACATGTATTCGACAGCGAACATATACTGACATGAAGAAATCATACAGGCTCGCAAGACTCTTCGCCCACACAAGCCCCGAGCATCCCTCCAACCTGGCGCCGTTCTGATCCTCCTGGCTGGACGTTTCCGTGGCAAGCGTGTTGTCCTTCTTCGACACCTCAAGGAGGGCGCACTCCTGGTCACCGGCCCCTTCAAGATCAATGGAGTTCCTCTGCGACGAGTCAACTCGAGATACGTCATTGCGACGTCCACAAAAGTCGACATCAGCGGCCTTGACCAGTCGACGCTAGACAAGATTGCCAGCCCGGAATACTTCGCTCGGGAAAAGAAGAGCAAGAAGGAAAAGGGCGAGGAGGCTTTTATTAAGCAGGGAGAGAAGCCAGAGGTAAGGAACCCACAAGCACACACAACCCCGTTCCATCGGGCTAACATCCACTTGCAGAAGAAGCAGCCTACTTCTCAACGCGCTTCCGACCAGAAGACCATCGACAAGCCGCTCCTTTCCGCCATCAAGAACGAAGAATTCCTTGCCAGCTATTTGAAATCCAGCTTCGCCCTGAGACACGGCCAGAAGCCCCACGAGATGGTCTTTTAAACAATAGGGCCAATGCCACTTTCTTGCTGCAGCGAGAGGGGAGGATCGCTGGGGGTTGTTCCTAAGGAGGTCTGAGGGGAGACATGTGGTGCCAGACATGTGAGAGACATGGGGCGTTTTGTTGCGTGGCTTGCGCGGTAGGCCGACCACCAAGCAAACTTCTTTAATTTGCACAAAAAGCGACCATGGTCTGGCGGCCGGAGCATGGTCAGCCATGAAAGGGAGGTTTCCATGGATGGACCCGTGCTGGCCTTTGCCGATCATGTTGCTGCAAAACCAAGCGACGGGCGACGATGAGTCAATATCCTGTGGGTTGGGCGAACAAAGATGGTTACGCACGGAAGGTTTGCACCGGACACCGTTGCGCCTTCGGGATTGATTTTTCGAGCCTAGACAAATGAAACACCAAAGATGAAATCTGTCTGATACTCTTCGAGGTCTTTTTTTGTCCATTCGATCTGGCTTTTCGTGTCCCCCGTCTATGCTGTTGCTAAACTCTAGACCCAGATTGCGTTACCACAGCCCATTTCCTGAAGCGCACATGGTCCATGACATCCCCATCTAACCATGCTACAGATCTCGGCGACAAAGAGGATGCTCTTGAATCTGTCGCCACTCTTATGTACCAACTGTCATGGAATTGCTTGTTCAACATTACGCTCAACTAACATGCTAAGATGGGTATCTAGATGTCCTAACAACCACTGCAGCAATTTCGCTCGAAAAGATCCCAAACACGCTCCCAGACCAAATAAACCCGCACCAGCACATGATGTCAAACTGCAAGCCATGCCAACCATCATATGCCGCGTCACAACACTATATCCCGATGGAACGTTGTGGTCCTGCCCGCTAACCATGATTGCAAACAAACTGTACCACCCTTCTTCTCCTGCGCAAGACTCTGGGCCATTCAATGTACTGTATGTGATGCCCATTGCCGTCCTGTCAGATTTAACTGGAACTTTGATTCCTCGTCGTCCTCCGCCTAGGACCCGACGCATCGGTGTTATGTTTCGCATCCGCGATCCTACCATTAACCTTCCTCTTCGCCTTATCTTTGACCCCCTCAACTCTAGCCGGGACATCATGCTTGTCGGCTTCCAGAACAACATCATCAATAATGTCCGTACCGACAGTCGTGCCCATGACCCAGTCCACCAGCCCCCAGGGCCCATAATTACCTTCGCCATCACTTAACAAATGTGTATCCGTGCGACGGGCGACGCCGCCGAGGATGAAATTCGTCGGAACGGTCGAGTACCCACTGTAGGCGAAAGTTTCCTCCACCGACACCAGTGTCAGATAGAGCACATAAGTCAGAAGATGGAATCGAAAGAGCAACGCCGGGAGATAAGTCGGGATGAAACCACGGACGAGATATGCGACAGGGTGGTCGTAGCTAGCTGCCAGGGGGAACGGGGCCGGTAGCGAATGATACCACTGCTGGTGAGCGCGGGCGAGGGTCGGAGTTTTGGACCACCCGTGCAAGACATAGCGATGAAGTATGTACGCCACAACTTCGCGCACCAGGTACCCCCGCGCCAGGTCCTTGAGAATCCCGAACGGTAATGGCAGCGTAGTCGTGACGCGGAGTGCTGACCGGATCAGAAGCACACGAGTGAACAGGACCTCAACGGCCGCTTGGATCGCCACGCCCATGAGGACGTTGAAGATCGACCAGCCCACCACGCGCAATGTGCGGAAAGTTTGGGCGCGGCTGGCGTTTTTGAACAGCAGCGCGGAATCGCCCAGCGCCTTGAGGTTTTCTGCCGCAGATGGGAGTAGGGCATCAAACAGTAGAAAGAACGTCGATGGTAGGATATAGAATAATGTCCTGACGGCCAGAGTTGCGACTAGCTCGACGCGCAGCGGTGGATGAGATAGCACCAGTGTCGACCACGTCAGGTAGAAGAAAAGTAAATTCAGCGACGTCGAGTACGATGTCATGGTCGGGATGAGGAGGAACGACAGCGCCGGCAGCCCCACGAGCGCGTCGGCCATGGTGCGCAGCGTCGTGTATGTCGATGTGAATGGTGATGTCGCATAGTTGTAGATGGTCGAGGCTAACGACGGAGGGGGTGGGCAGGAGAGCGCATTGGGGACATAGGATGACCACGACTGAGGCAGGTAACAGGCCGGGTTGTAGTAGGACGACATTATTGCAAGACGTTTAAGTGATTTGAGATATCATCGGCCACCTCAAAGCTGCGCTGGTGATGTGATGCACTTTGGGAATTGTTCGCCGCAGAATAGGATAGCCACTTGAATCACATGTATTTACCAGCCTACAACAACAGATGTTGTGGCTGGCAAAGTGTAAAGAAGTGGGCTGGTACTGATGTCGTTGCAATTGATTGATTGGCGACCCAGCCAACGTCATCTGGATTTGATCGGCCATAGGCTCGCACGTGACACAGCTTAATCAGCAACTTTAAGTCAGCCACGCCGGTTAGCTCTACACATGTGCTGCGCCTCAGACGAGAGCAGCCACAGTTGTCCACTACTGCGTTTCTATCCAACATCCGGCCCCCCAATATGATTTGATTTGTACTACACTGGCAGTGCCAGGGCGTGCATACCTCTCGGTACTTTCTACTAATTACTGTGGTCCGAAGTCCTGCAGTGCCCATGTCTCTCAACCCCAGCTTCCACCGGAAGTCAGAAAATCATGTCGATCCTCGACTATGGAAAAGCCACCTCCATCTCCATCTCCACCTCCACTGCACTACTACTACGGATTCCACCCATCGCCCACAACCAACAGAACCCCACGCTAACGCGGGCATCAATGACTCGGAGTTTGATGACTTCCCGTCCAATTTGAACCTGCCGGCCCCTGCAGTTTGTATACGAGTCGCAACGGTGCTCTGAACGGCTTGAGTCAGGGGACAGAAACGACAAGAGCTCCTTCGGCCGGACAGCTCACTGTCATTGACATGAAGGGGTCTGGTACTTTACACGCCAACTTGCAGGGTGCATTGAGTTTGTCAACTTCTTTTTCCCCCCCTTGATAGGGAGTTCAAACCCCCCTTCGAATTTCACCGGGCGCACATGCTCCAAAAGGTGTGTACTTCTATCTCTTGAGGGGCCCCAAAACCATCCGAGGATGGCTGTCACCGCGTCTCGAGATACTACATCCCTGTCCGAAACCAGAGACCCAGTCTGAATATGCATGATTTTTACTAGTAACAACCTTTCCGATCTGAGCAGCAGGGACTGTAGCGACCTCCCACTGCAGTGGTGGTGGCTAGTGGCTTGCCGATAGCGAACGCAAGTCGCAAGCCATCCTGGCCCCTCAAAACCCCCTGCGGGTTGTCGAGCCAGCTAACTATGGATGCGGGGTTTGCATGAATGCAGGGAACAAGGTCAGTGTCATCAGTGTTCGAGTGACAGCGGTGGGAATCCTACCGGCCGACACTGCCAGTGGGCAGCTGAGAAGGGACCTTTTGCCGTCTTTGCCATTTCCCACCTCCAATTCTCATACTAGTTGTTCAGTTGCAATCAGGTCAGCCGCCTCGTTGGACGGCCGATGCAGGAACTATGATCTCCAATGATGCTGATGGACGTCCTGGTTGTAACCTGACTCCACGCTACACTACTACTGGCATCCGGGCGGACGTGAAGGTTGGCTAGTAGTATTCTCCAACCGTTCGATAACTTATATAGCCCGACTATTATCTGCCTTTATGTGGGAAAGGGAAGGCCGTAAGACCACAACTCGTGAAACTGTAAAAAAGCCACTGACTGCTCCTGCCATTGACCTGGCCAAACATGTCTGAGCTCACCATCCCAAAAACGCAAACCGCCGCAATCGTCCGACAACAGGGCGGCCCGGTCGAGTTCGACGACAACTACCCTGTCACACTGCCGAAAGAGGACGAGGTTCTGGTCAAAGTGCTATATACGGGAGTTTGCCAAAGTGGTGAGCCACGTCACAGTTACATGGTACTAGTAACCACAGCGGTTCCATTTTGACTTACGATACAATCAATCGCTACTAGACCTCCATACCAAGGCGGGGACTGCTCCAGGAGCCGATGGCCGGCCCATCACCAACATCAAGCTTCCTCACGTCGGAGGACACGAAGGTGTCGGGCGGGTTGTCGCGTTCGGCCCCAACCTGAAGCCTAGCGAAACCCTTCAGCTAGGCACATTGGTTGGCATTCGCTTTGCCTCACGCGTATGCCATGAGTGCGAGTACTGTCTTTCCGGTAGGGAACAATACTGTCAAAAGGCAACAAACCATCTGCACCATGAAGATGGAAGCTTTCAGCAGTACTGTGTCCTGGACACAAAGTACTTGACCATGTTACCGCAGGACATTGATCCGAAAGTGGTCGGCCCTGCGCTCTGCGCCGGAGTGACAGCATACAAAGTACGTTTCTGATTCTGGGGTTCGGTTCGCTGCGATAGGTACTCAACAGCACTAACCATGTCATGCTCGCGCAGGCCGTTCGCAATACTGATGTGAAACAAGGAGAATGGCTTACCGTCATTGGAGCGGGTGGTGGCCTGGGCCATTTCGCAGGTGAGCGCCGCACAAACCCAGACTAGACGTGACTCGGGCTGAGCAAAACTCAACACAACAGTACAATATGGTCTCGCCCTAGGTGCCAAAGTTCTCGGTGTCGATGCCGGCGATGACAAGAAGCGGTTCGTGGAGTCCCTCGGGGCCCAGTTCCTGGATTTCTCAAAGTGTCAGGATCTGGCAGGCAAAGTCAGGGATGTCACAGCTGGAGGCACTCATGCAGTGGTGGTCACCAGTGGCCACCCTGGCGCTTTTCGGAATCTGGTGGACATGATCAGGATCGGCGGGTCTCTGTGTATGGTGGGCATTCCACCAGGAGATGTGCATCTAGACACCCCCATCGCCACCATCGTCATCAGAGGTCTAAAAATCCAAGGGAATCTGGTAGGCTCTCTAAAAGAGACCTTGGAGGCTGTGGAATTGGTTCGAGTTGGCAAGGTGAAGCCGCACGTCCAGGTCAGACCTTTCCGGGACCTCCCAGAAGTATACGAGATGTTGGAGAAAGGTGACATACCTGGTCGAATTGTCTTGCAGCTATAGGACGCCCGCATTGACAGATGCGCGCAACGAAAGCATCCAATTGTTGTGGGTCGCGCTGTTTCTGAATGTCCTCCGGGCCCCCTCTAACCTCTGTGAACCGCAAACGACGTGCATATGGTCCTGTGCCTGTAAACTCTCGTAAACACAGGCGCCTGCCAGTGCAATGCAATATGTCCGAAGTGTAAGGATAGGCTGCTATCAAAACTGGGAGCTCAGCAGCCTCAATGAAGCGACTGGGGTGCGGGACAGTATGTGTGGTATGCTGGCTTCCAAGATGCGCGCGGAATGAGGAATGGGGAATGGGAATGGGCCACTACCCGATACAGCGACGCCCAGCGACGAAAACCCGGTTCAACTTTGCAAAACGTCGCGAGCCAGAAAGAGACCTGGAGTGATCAAGGGAACACCCTTGGTGGCGTTTGATGTAATGAGCTCAATACTCCAGCTTCCGTAACGCCACTTCTGAGTCAGGCGCAGATGCAAAAGAGGTTGACCAGTAATCGGTAGCATCAGCCTACAGCCACTGACACCACATACCTGAAGATGGGCTTCCGTAGTCGAATGTGCCTGAGATCTGGTCAGTGCTTGAGAGGCGTTTCCTCTGGCCAACGCCGTTGATTGGCAACGTCAACATCTCTTCCTGGTGTGGTTCGGTCGCGGGCACTTAACGGTAGAAGTGCATACCAATACATGACCCCTGGGGCTGCAGTTTTGGGTATGGCGTGGTTTGGCGAAGTTCGGATCCCAGTCCAACCCCCGGTTGTCGGACTGTCAGCATCTGGTTCGTTCGGTGAGACTGCCAAATGGTACTAGGTCCTGGTCAAGACTATCTAGAGACTCGGAAAAATGGTCTCACAGTCCAGATCTCACCTGAATTCCTGCTTTAGCGCGACTTGTGACAGGTAAACCTTTTGCGGAAGACGCAGGCCACTTCACCTGCTCGATTTGTGTCGCACCCCGGTGCTGGTCTGAGGCCTCGTACCCAAAGTACGCTGTATTGAGAGAACGGTTCGCATGTGTGAAATCGAACAAGGATACTCGTCTTGACCTTCTTGGCCACTATTCCTTAATATCGCAGTACTGGTCAAGCCCCGGGGCGACTCTGGCGCGGCACCGTACAATCCCTGCCCTGCAAGCACTTTATTGCACACATGCAACTCATTGCTGCATTATCGCTTATCGTGGCGTCTGGATCTTTCTGCAAGGCTGTCTGGCCGCGTCCCTTCTGCTACCCTCTCCGCCATGACATGGACTTGGAAAGCTCACTGGCGCAAAAGACGCGTATGTACTGTGACCAGTCGCGGGCCTGGCGACGGCTGTTTCCATGCTTTGGTTGGCATTCAGTGTCTGAAAGCCCTTGCGCTGGCGAGAGATTTCATTTCTAGACTTCCCGCTGCCGCCCGGCGCGCGTTTCGATGGATGCCCCGCATTGAGTGGTGGGTTGAGACTCGAGATAAGTCGGGGATGGACTGGGATCTCGGTGTAGATCACCCTAGTGGGCCTTCCCTCAATCCGTGCATTGGGTTTCCGGATGTCAGTCCAGCAGGTCTCCCTTGCTGCGAGATGGCGCAGGAAAGCCCGCCCCGTCTAAACTATCCTCCTCGGGCCCTTCGTGCCTGGTGCGTCCCCTGCAAGGAATTCGACAACGCCGTAAATGGGTATGCCCGTCTGAAACTCCCGTGTCTGAGCTTTTTCCATTCGAGCAAGTGGGTCTGGTTGCCACATCTCACGAACCGTTCTCTGGGAGGCACATTCCAGCACCTTGCATTCTCCTCTCAGACAAAGTGCATCATGGGCCGTCTTCACAAGGGAGGAAGGCTGAAATGGCCCAAAGCACCGACCGTCAAACTTTCAAAAGGGCCAGCATTGCCAAACTGGCCCAGTGAAAGTGCCCTTATGAACCTACACACACAGTCAGATATCTAATCACATCCAACATTGCGAGTAGAAGTCAGCCAATTGTTCCCATTGTCCCAACTCCTCAGAGCAGACTGGGCCCTACTAACACATCAGCAGTGGTCACTGTTCCGGCCTGACTAAGAATCCAGTGAACCCGTCCGAAATGTTGCCGCAACTGGAATCCGAGTTTGAGGGAGATTCCTCCTTCAGTTATGGAACCGAATGCCCATCGCTTTCATCGAGTTTCCTACCTTCAGATCAGTCTTCAGTGGGCTTCCATGGCGCTCGCAGAGCTTCGTTGGCCTCGTCCAATAGCTCAATGTCACCAGAGGTGTTCTTCACCCCTTCGGCAAGGACGTCAAGTCCCACGACGCCCATGATGTTTGATGCAGGCATGCAACTATCGTACAAACAATACATGAAGCCAGCAAAGTACCTGCACATGGCTCATCCCATATTCCACTTGCAGGACCAAGAGCAAGACCACCGAGACGATGTTTGGATGAGCAATGTTGCTTCCAGCAACAGTCTTGGTCTCGTGGGTGGGATGCCTGATACTTTGATGGCAATGGCACACCATCCTTTGGGCCAAGTGGAGCCATCGTGCCTCGGTCAAATGGCCACAAATCCAGCTTTGACGGATTCCATCTTCAGCTCCCCAGAGCCCGGTCGGTTGCATGTAACGCATCAGGACCTGCTGCCATGGGCCTCAGCCGACCTGCACCCACCAGCGGAGACTGTGGAGCCCAGTGCCACCTTTCAAGCCGTCCTCCCAAGCTCTCCGTTGTGCAAGCTGGAGCCATCCACCCCGCTAAACAACCATCTGGCTCACACAGCGGGAGCGATGACCAGCAGTCCCTTGTCATTCGTTTCGTCAATGGTGGTCCCGTCACAGCGGCACATCGAAGAACCGCCATACAGCTCACTGGAAGAGTCGCTGAGATTCTGTGACACCAAAAAACACCGAACAAATCCCGATCGGCTGCATCGACGGAGTTATGAGCGCAAGCGTCTATCAGGCATGTCGTCGAAGCCCAAGCCGGTGGCAGGCAAATCTGGAATGAACTGTGACCTAATCATCACAAAAAATGAATTTGCCTGTAGCTATCCAGGCTGCATTGACAAGAGCACGGGAGAGCAGAAACGATTCAAGAGACAAGAGCATAAAAAGCGACATGAGAAGACAGTCCACGAACGAGAGAAACATTCGGCATATCGGTGCTGGGTCCCTGAATGTAACAGGCCATTTTCCCGGACAGACAATCTCAAAAGCCATTTGAGAAATACCCACTCCAAACGACCAGGAGTTCGTGGGAATCGGTATGTGGCAACTTTGGACAAAAACAGTGAATACTATGACCCAGAGTGGGTAGGCAACCTGGACAAGGATGGGTACCCGATCGTTTAAGAGTATCGGGGGGAAGTCTGGCGTGGAGAGTGTATGTTGAGAAGCATTTTGAGGGACCCGTCGAGCTATCAATCCAACGTGCTGTCTTTCGTTTGGAGGATCGCCTCCAGTCTCGGGTTATCGATTGCGGTTTGTAGGTTAGCTTGAAATCTTTTATGTCAAAGGTGTGCCTGTTGTATCGAGGCAACCGCGCACTGAAAAGTTGGGATTTGGGCCTGTGCAGCCTCTGGTTCGGCGCTATGTCAAAAAGCGTCTCAAGGTGTCAACAAAAGAGATCACGTCAAAGGTATTTGGAGTGTTATGACGAGCGAACGGCCGAAAGGGGGAACTTGTGAGCGACTGTAGGATACCTTATGATGCATAGTTTCGAGCTTGCATGGTAGTATAGCAATGATTCTGATGAGCAGTAGCCGTTCGATACACAGCCACATCAGGCTTCAACGGAAGGATGGTTCCCGGGACTTATCGTAGTCGTTGACACCTGTAATAGGACGGCGGAAGGAACAGGTGTAACAGCCTCTCGTGACTGCGGGCATCTTATCAACGCGAATACTTCCAGTTATCCAGGCTCAGGTGGGAGTAGTAGGTGGGCAGTATGGGCCAGGCGTTTAGGGAATCTACCACTGACACTGCAGTGGCACATTCAAGTTGGCGCTGCCGTGCAGTGGGAATAAGATTTCATGGATCAACGCCAAGAAAGTTTGCAACAATGAACTTCAACTTGAATTGAGTTGGAAGCTCCCGCTGCAACGTGAACTCAATTCCAGTTCGAGATGCACTCGAGATGCAGTGAGTTGCAAAGCTCCAAACCTGGATTAGCGCAACCTCGACGCGTATCCCTCGCGTTGGGGCTGGACGCGTCCGCTCCCGATGCTGCGCGGTTCACTGCCAGTGCCCGAGGCAGTTCGTGCCCGAGGCAGTTCAGAATGGACTCGGACAAATCCTAAGTTGCGCCTCTCCTCTGCCGGGGATGGCTGCAATTGCGAGGTTCCCAGCTGTCTACCTAGGTATCTTCTAGTTGTACAGACAGCACATGTCGTCCCGCGCACACGCCTCACCAACAACGGTCGCAGTATCACAACCCAGCATACCTAGTATTAACGCAGTCCGTCCCCAGCGGCTAGTCTTCGCGCGGCCTTATTGCAACAACCACACAGTAGTCAGTAGTAAGATGCCGAATCTGGACCTCTAGCGAACTGTTCGGCAGCCCAAACAAAGGCACTTAACCCATGACGCCAGTTAGAGGTAGTTTCGCTTGCGGTTCTTCTGCTTTTTCCGCGAAGTTTTCTCCGACCACGCACTGGTCAGCGCCCTCGACAGGCCACGACCACCTGTGCTAGGCGGAACATTTTCGTCATTTTCCTCACCGCTGAACTCCCTCAGCGCTTGGTCTCTTTCAGATTGCGATTGCATTGATGTCTGGCATTGGAGCGATGTGAATGAAACATCAGAAATAGCTGGGTTGGAGCTAGAAAGTTCGGGGTTTGTGGAGAATGACTCCGCTGTCTCCTTGGCTGCAACATTTGGTGTCGCGGGCACAGGTGTCAGGACAGGGCGAGATTGATCTTGTCTGGAGCCGCAGGCTTGCTTCTTCTCAATTCTTCTCGGAACGTAAAGAGGGACCTTGGTGTATCCGGGCCGGTCGCCCATGCCCACTTCCACCTCGGGTTGACGTTTAGGCGACATGTTCGATTTGTCCTCCTGACCAGTCACGACAGAAGCGGATTTTGACCGGGGTCGAGCTGTAGACGAGGTGGTCGGGCGACTCGGAGGGTTAATCCCGGCCCGTACCGAGTCCGCATAACCACATGGCGCGTCCATATAGACTCGGGGCCGGCGGGGCGCAATAGTGCTGCCGTGAATGGACTCGCTGTTTGTACCTGGGCGGGAGGCAGGTCGGGAGCTTCGTCCGACACTCGGGGCAGAGCTCTGCCTGGTGGAAGCGCCAGAAAGGCCCGGTCGGCGCAGCCGCCCATGACCAAATGCATGATTTCTCAGCTCTTCAACACTTGCCAAAGAGGATGTCCGTGCTAACAGCTGCTGAGATAGGGACTTCAGCCCACGCAGCTCATGCGATTGTCGGTTTTTTGCCTTTGGGAATGAAGCTGTCGGCGAGTAGTAAATCGGAGGATCCGCAAACTGACGGGGTAGACCCTAACTATGTTAGAGAGAAAGCAAGCAGTGGGTATATTTACCAACCTGGGGCCAGCGAGAAACGGCAGAGCCTGTGCGCTCTCTACGTGTAGCCTGGCGGAGTTCCCCTTTGATGAGGCTGGAGATCTGGGAATTTTCAGCTACTGATACCATGCAGTGTGTTGCTGACAAGCTTACCTTGGACATTTCTTCTTCTGAGCATGAAACCGTGTCTTTGGGGTTGCATTCATAGTCCATCTGCACGAAATATGAGTGAATCGAAAAGGCAACGAACAATCCGTACGTACCAAGGGGGTGTGAGCCAGCCCTTCATTGGACGGGGGCAGCGGAGTCCTTCCAGTTGACCCGGTCACGGAGCCCGACGACGGAAGCTTTGGTTCAGACGTGTCAGACTGAAGATTTGGCGCTTCTGAGGTTACATCCACCAATTTTCGGTTCCTATGGGGAAACAGGTCAGCAGGGAGACTCCTGAGTCTTCTGGACATCTTTTTCAGGCGGTCGCTGTTGTCCCTCCAGAGGCCGCTAAATCCCTTTCGCTCGGCGGGACTGCCCACATCTCGCGAACTTCTGTTGTCTTCTCTTGGTAGGCTCGTCAGAATATTTTCATCGTCAACGGACAGTCTTGTAGAGGTCAATTCATCAAGGGAGAGGTCCGGATGGCTCGTCTCGGGTGTACCGGTCGTCCGGAGGACTCGGGGCCACAGCTGTTCAGGGATATCATCCAAAGGAGAAGTAGGCAAGCTACTGTTCCTAGAGGCAGCCGAGCCCCGTACGCGGAGGGCCGGTTGTTTTGGCAGCGGCGAATCACCTCTTCTCTCAGCCTGTTGCAGGGGAGATACCGATGCCATGCTGTTGCTGAAGAGTGGTCGGCCGTTGCAGGTGTTTGTTTCCGGCGAACAACATCGACTAGGGGAAGGCAAGGGAACTGCTGCTGGTGACCGACACTCCGGCATGACTGCCATAGTGAAATATCATGTAGACAGGTTGCTGCAGCAGAAAGAACAACATGCAAAGGCAAAATTCAAAATCGTAAGGCACTTAGACCTGTGAGCAGCGCTTGAAACCCGCCTGGGGGAATTCATGTATGCAGCGCCATAAGAGAAGCAGATGCTCGGCACGCGACACACAATCGCGAGGTGCTGCATAACATCAAGCTGTAGGAAGGAGCCTCACGATACAAGCAGGAGCAGCGTTCCGCGTTGGTCGTAGACAAAGCGCACGGGCAAGGACAAACAAACAGCTCAGGATACACACACACGCACTGAAATGGAGAGGCACTGGACCGCGGCGGCACAATGGCATAGTGATCAAGACACTGGACACCTACCATGAACTAACCACCGTGTCAGCACACATGAGCGCTAATCGTGAACCTATGTCCATATTCTGCATGCATCAGTGCTGTTTCAGCCTGGCAGCCCGGGCTTCGGCCTCCCTGCGCTCTTCTACGCCTCTAAGGAAATCCATCCTGTTGAGGTAGCCTTCCTTGGCTTTCGCGTGGGTGTCAAGCTCCTCCTTCAAACCTTCGGTATCAACGTGCGCAGCCCAGTCCATCTTACTCTTCTCGACAACATTGAGCTTGGGGCCTTTGAAGCCCGGCTCGTGCGTTTGCGCAGCCCAGGAGCCCTTGAAGGCGCCCAGATTGCCGAGATTGGGGTCGAAGCGGGAAATCTTTCGTAGAGGTCTGCTAACGGCATTGCCGCTTTCGGCCGAACTTGTGGGCTTAGACAGTTGTTGCTGAGATAGCCATAACTGTGCCTCTGCGGAAGACTTGGGAACAGTCTTCTCTTCCACATGCACCTCGCCTGCAAACTTGTAAGTCCGCTTGATTGTGATGGTTTCCTCGCCGTCCACTGAAGGCACATTCTCTTTATTGCCTTCTATTCCCAGAGTTGGCATCAGTTGGGTGCTCGCCACTTCGTTGGATGGCGGTTTAGGATCCGGATCCTGGACTTCGCCTTCTACGCGAGGTGGAGGCAGCGGATCAGATCGATTCATTTCCTCCCAAAGCTTGTCAACGTCAATCGTGCTGCCTTTACACGATGCCAGTTTGGTTCGCTTGCGCTCCTCCTTCTCTCTCATCCTCATGGCCCGAGTGCGCGCATGCCATTCATCCGACGCATTGTCACTCTCTGCAGGCGCACCATCTGCCTTTTTCTTTCGCCTGCGCCGTGAATGTTTAACTTCTTTTATTGTGGCTTCGTCACCCGAGCCCAGCTCGACAGCCGCGCTGTCTTGGGCATCTTCGATTTTCCGGCGTTTGTGCGGTCTCTGGGCTCCATTGTCGCCCGTAGTCGCTTCGCCTTCTGAGGAAGAAGAGACTTCATCGGCGTCCGAGTCAGCGCCTTGGAAGTCGCTGTCCGCCTCCTCATCATAGTCATCTTCCATTGCAACTTCAGGCTCTTGAGAGTCGGCCATGGTGGCCGAAGTGATCTGCAGATGTTGATACGCAGGTGGACCCGAGACACCAGAGAACGGCGTTTGTGGACAATAGTCAGCAACGATAACAGACGTCAAGGGTATTGGAACCATGGATCAGATAGGGTTATTCAAGAGGGACCGGCGCGTTCGAGAACGAAACTGTTGCGACAGTCCGATGTCCGCCAGCCGGTGGTAGCGAGAGAACATTCCCAATAGGGAAATATAGACGAGATGCTCGCCTAGCGGCAGCTTGGCGCAGTTGACGCGTTGCCCGTGCCGAGTCTTTTAATTGAACTGGACAAGTCTGAACCTCCAACTCCGAGTGACAGTCCCTGTAACCCTCCGTATAACGTACGCGATTGCTACTATGCTTATGCCATCACGCTGAGAGGGGCACGGTCTGGCGCACTTGAAGCGACTTCTTGGAAGATCCGGTTCTCCCCTGTGGTCCCTTTTGCGCTCTCGATCAGGCCCGCCTGTCGTTGGGAGTTGTTCAAGTTGTTCTCGAGGGAACAGTTTGGCCGAGCTATGGAAACCCGAGGTGCCTTCCTTAGCCTGGCGCTTCCCACCGGCCAGATTGATCTAGCCGTATATATTGTTGCTCTTCTCTAAGCACAATGGATCCTCTTGCAATGTCTGTTCTCGCTGGTTCGCCGAGGGGTGTCTGGTCACGTCTTGCCAGTCCCAAATCTTTCCATCTTTGCTACGGGCTTATACTTGCGATCCCCTTTACCACGTGTTTGCGCAACTGATCTTCGAACAGTCAAGCGAACAGCCGGCTGGATCAACATAAGGCATCTACTTGACGGGACCGATCCTGTGGCCTCGCGAAAGAGGCCACTTCTGGCCGAGACTCCCTGCTCTCTCGGCCGTAAGTGCTCGGTCACTGGCAAGGGGTGCCTAACACCAGGCTCGCTTCGCATACCTTTTCCGGTTGGTTCACATGCCTACGGTTGTTTGATTGTTGCAACACCGTTGCTGTTCCCATCATTACGTCCTTAACAAGATCACAGCGCGGACAGATTGATTCATGAACTCCGGGGACGTTAGTCCCTGTCGCGGCCTCATAAAAGTCAAGTCGCGAGGCTTGGGAAGGAAGGGTTCATTTCTCGTTATTATCGCGAAACCCGGGAAGTCTGGTGTATACTGACTGTCCAGGCAGACTTGGTACGACTTGAAACGGCCTCCGACGTTGTTTGGAGGAGCAATCGACTCGGCAATGGCAGAAAGCAGAGAAAAACAGCTTACATCTCCTCATTACAACAACTGGCCGAATGTGTTGGGTTTTGATACCCACTACGAAGAAAGGGCCACAGTTGAGCTTCGGGTAGAAGGCACGATACCTCCCTACGCTAGCGGCACCCTCTTCAGAACCGGCATAGGGCCTCGATCAATCAACACATCCCACGGGAACTCGTTTATGGTCAACCACTGGTTTGACGGTTTCTCTCAAATACACCGCTTTCAGATCCATGCGCCTCAGGCTGATGGACCTGTTCGGGTAACCTACAGTTCGCGCCTGACAAGTGATGGCTTGATAGAAAAAATCAAGAAGACTGGGAAACTAGACGGTTTCACATTTGCTGCGAAATATGACCCTTGCAAGTCATTCTTCCGAAAAGTCCAATCTGTCTTCCATCCGGCTGAAGAACGAAAGCCCAATGAACTCAACGTTGGGGTCACCCTTTCAGCCAATTTCCCTGGACTGTCCAAAACTGGCCAGAGACTGGCTGGGCCCCATAAGACTGAGGGAGGAACTACATTATGCCAAAAGACAGACGCCACCATGATGCAAATGCTTGACCCTGAAAGCCTCGAACCCGTTGGAATTGCCTATCAAACGACACTGCATCCAGAGCTCAAAGGGCTAGGCAGCGCTGCTCACGCAAAATCGGATCCCAAGACTGGAGACGTCTTCAACTACAACCTCGATTTTGGCCGCACTGGCACATATCGGATATTCCGCGTCTCCGCATCCTCTGGTCAGACTTCTATTCTGGCTAAATTCCATCACTCCGCAGCGTACCTGCATTCTTTGTTCTTGACTGAAAATTATGTGGTACTATGCGTGTGGAACTCGTTCTACAAGGCTGGGGGTGCCTCTATCTTGTGGCATCACAATCTGCTGGACGCCATGGGCTGGGATAACAGACACCCGGCAATGTGGTTCGTGGTTGACAAGCGCCCACCAGAAGAAGGTGGCAGAGGTCTTATTGCGCGATACGCGTCAGAGGCCTTCTACGCCTTTCACTCAATCAACGCATACGAAGAACCTTCGCAAGCTACCAAGGGAGCAGTGGACATTGTTGCCGACCTGGCTGCTTACGATAATATGGATGTGTTGGGGCGTTTCTATTTGAAGAACCTGGTCAGCGATTCGGCCAAGGCACCCATCTACCTTGACTCGCATGGGTCAAGCATCCGGCCGAGTTATCGCAGGTATCGACTGCCGTCGTTGCCCGAGACGCCGACGACTATCGTCGAGAAAGCTACCATGGAGCATGATGGAAGCAAGCAGGATGGCTTCGAACTTCCCGTCATCAATCCTAATATGGTAACGAAACACCACCGGTACATGTACGGCGTTTCCGATACAGGAAAATCCAGTTTTCTTGATGGACTGGTGAAGTACGATGCCCACACACATTCGGTCTTGCGTTGGAGTCGACATGGCCACACGGCTGGTGAGCCAATCTTCGTACCCGACCCACAATCTGATGAAGAGGACGGTGGTGTGCTTCTGTCCGTTGTACTGGATGGACCAGGCGGGAAAAGCTATCTCCTGGTCCTAGACGCAAAAACCATGGCGGAGCTCGGACAGGCGCATGTGGACGGCGTTGTCGGCTTTGGGTTTCATGGGCTTTTCCTCAATCAATCACAATCTGGAGGACGGATAAATGGTCTTCATCTGTGATGGAACCTGCTTTGTGGCATAGACCACCACAATTGGGGCACCATTCTGGTAGACAGGGACAATGAATGATGACGTACCAGCTACAGTGGCTAAGCTAGGACCATTCGCAGTACCAGTACGGCTTATGGCACACAGTGCAGCTACCATAATACTGTACTGTGTACTGCCAGTGCTCTCCTATCTCAGGAATCCAGGCATGTCATGTGGCCTCTTCATCTCGATGGTGGCATGGTTTCTTCTGTTACCAGGTAGTTACAGCACCGGATGGAGGCAGGTCAATCAATGCCACAAAGCACCTGGCCGTTTTATTGAACTTAACGCGAGTTCACGATATTGACGTCATAAAAGGCTGGCAGCTTCAGATTTGGGCTAGAATAAACGGGCGCTAACTCCTGGACCATTCACACTGCACTGGCAGAAGCATAAGTACCTTAGCACTAGAACTAATCGGGCCTGACAGATCGAGCGCGGAGTGAGTGGGCTTCTTGTGGCTTATGTAATTCCACTAGCGACAAAATAGCAGATCGAGGTACCACTAAACACGTTATTACCAGTGCTATAGTGTGGGCTGGGGAGCAACTACGTAACTGCCCAACCACTTCCGGCACCTACGTAACAGCTCGTCCACTGCGGAAGTTCACAGACATTGTCCTTTCGCAATCAGCTTTTTCCCTGCTCAGATCACTACACCCTGTAGCACACTGCGTTGTTCCTCCTCAGAATCAAGAGAAGCATCTTCTCGAGACACCGCGCGTTACTATGTTAACAACCCTACCTACGAGACTTTAGCCTGTCCGTCCTTTGATCACCACATCTTTTATCTGCACGCGACACATCATTCTCCATAACCTAAGCGATAGGTACCACGCGACAATTACCTCTGCGCGATAGTTAAACGCACCTGCGACACCTCCCTCAGGCCATCGCCATGTCTGCGACCGAAGTCCTTGAATGGCTCGGGTTGAGCAAGACATCTCCCGGGGTCAAGGTCACCACGTTGCCAGCGTCCTACTTCAAATTCCCTCCCTTGCCCGAACCAACAACAGTACCTCCTCCAACTGGCGATCCCGCTCTCGCGCATCCATTCACCATCCCTACTGATCTCTACAATGAGCTCCTCTCCGCGAACGTCCCCCTGACAGTAGCATTGGTCTACATGTCCTTCGTCACTCTCGTGAACTCGGTCAATGCGAATCGCAAGTACAAGCCTTGGGCATTCAGCAGAACAAGACTCTTCAAACTCCTGGTTATTCTGCACAATACGTTCTTGGCATTGTACTCGGTATGGACTTGTGTCGGCATGGTGAACGCTCTGCGCCTCTCCCTGCCGCCATTGGGTGAACACTGGAAAACAACAGACACGGTGGATGCCCTCTGCAAGCTACATGGACCGCGTGGAGTGGGAAATGCTGCAACATACAACGCGACTACTAGTTCCTGGACAATGACAAATCGCCTCCTACACCTTGCTGCGGACGGCTTTGGTCCTGAGCGCTCAGATGTTGGCAGACTGTGGAATGAGGGGTTGGCATTCTACGGCTGGCTTTTCTATCTCTCAAAGTTCTATGAAATTTTGGACACCTGCATCATCCTTGCGAAGGGCAGGAAGAGCAGTCTGTTGCAAACTTACCACCATGCGGGAGCCATGATTTCTATGTGGGCTGGCATTCGGTATATGTCACCGCCTATCTGGATGTTCGTACTCGTGAACTCAGGAATCCATGCCATTATGGTAAGTCAAACTACGCGCAGCGTAATGTTCAAATATAGCTGACCAACCTCAGTACACGTTTTATCTTTTTGCCGCGATCGGCATTCGAATGCCAAAGTGGCTCAAGCAATCATTGACGACCCTTCAGATCACCCAATTTGTGGTCGGCGCTTCGTTTGCCTTTTTGCACCTCTTTGTTGCCTATCAGATTCCAGTCAGCGTCCCCTACATCTACCATCTGGGTAATGTTGCCTCGAAAATCTTGTCGGATGTTCCCTCAGCTGCTTCCACGACGTTGTCATCCGCGGTAGCTACAGCGTCCGCCGGGAGAGGGGCATGGCTTAAGAAGGCTGCACTGCGGGCTGCGGGCTACGAAGGCCTAGCAGAGAATGTCCTCAATGAAGAAGGTCGCCCCTTCGGGATTGATGCAGTCCATATCGCCGAAGAAGTTGTCGCCCGAGAGGAGACCAGATACCGGGACGAACTGCAATGGGTTCATTGCCTTGATACAAGTGGTCAGGTGTTTGCCATCCTACTCAACTGCATGTATCTTCTGCCTTTGACCTATCTGTTTGTGGAATTCTTCGTTACCGCGTACCTGAAGCGCATCGAGAGCAGACGCGGAAGCACGGCCAGCGAAAAGGCCGAATACGCCCGAAGAAGCTTCCAAGACGCGACGAAGGGTGTCTCCCGCAGACTTAGTGAAGCTGTCGAGGAGATGCACCGCACAGCTGAAGATATTGGTGACGACACCGTCATTGTTGACGGAGATGAAATCAAACGCGAATTGAAACAAGTCGTTGATGAAGCAAAGAGCACAATCCAGCGAGGGTCGGAAAAGGTCAAGCAACCGATATCTGGCATTGATACGGAGAAAGTGAAGCAGGAGGTCCAAAGTGATATGGAGAAAGTCCGCAAAAACTTGCAGGATACAGTGGACAAAGTCAAAGCTACGGCATCCCAACCAATTAATGAAGAGAACAAGGAGAAGGCCAAAGCCGCAGCACAGAATGCGAAGGATACCACCCTTAAAGCCGTGAATAAAGCTGCGGATACCCTGAATTCTGCGGCCGAGACAGTCAAAGAACAAGCCGCGAATCTGGGCAGCGACGAAACGAAGGAGCAACTCAAGTCAACTGCTAGCAAAGCTGCAGCAAAAGCTGGTGAGATCAAAGACGGTGCTGTCACTTCTGCCAAACAGACCGCAGAACAAGTCTCCGAATCTGTCAAGCAAGGGACCGCGAACTTGGTAAGCGGGGATACCAAGAAGCAGGTTGAGTCAACTGCCAGTAAAGCGGCTGCGAAGGCGAATGAGGTCACGAACGAAGCTGCCTCTGTTACCAAGCAGGCTACAGACCAAGCGTCTGAAAAGCTGAAGGAGCAAGCCTCGAACCTCACCAGCGAAGACACCAAAAAACAGGTCAAATCTACTGCTGGCAAGGCGGCCGCAAAAGCTGACAACGCCAAGAATGGTGCTCTTGATTCAGCCAAGAAAACCACCAATCAGGCGTCGGAAGCGGCAGCGGAAACTGTCAAGAAAGCCCAGGGAGCGACGGAAGACGCCAAGAAGGAAGCTGATAAATCCAATCAGAAGTCAAAGGAGGTGAAGAAGACCCCAAACGGCAATGGCACCGGCGCCGAAGGGGCGTCCGGACCAGCCAGATCGAAAGCCAAGGCGAAAACAGCTGAGAGCAGCGAAAGCAAGGAGGAGAAACAGGAGAAGAAAAAAGAAGACAAGATCATCGACGAAAGTCAAGCAGTCAGGGACCATGACGTTGACGCCGGTGGTAATGATGAAGAGCAGTCTAAGGAAGAAGCGTCCAGCGAAGTCAAGCCAGGCGTTTCTTTCGCCGACGCAGTCAAGGAGGATGATACGAGTGAAGTCAAACCAGGTGTTTCTTTTGCGGACGCAGTAAAAGAGTGAGCTGTGTGCCACTACGGCTGGATCCTTCTGTGGAAACCTGCACAGAACTCGATTTCTGCAACGGACCATGCCTCAAATCTTCAACCTCGCCCAGCGAGGCTCATTGCACCTCAACAACCGGGCTGTGATGTGCCTCCAACAGCATCTTCTGCCGAAATCCGTGCCACCGAGGGCTCGAGCAACGCTGAAGATTATTGCTCTCCGTCACCGAATTGATCACTCCAGCTTGTGCCTGGCCACCTCAACTTGTCGCACGGAACATGCTGCGTTGGCTCGATGGACGTTACAGATCGGGCACATGAAGGAGAAGCTCACATTGTTTTGACATGTTTTAATCGCCTCGATACCGGAGTTAATCAAGCACCAGGTAGCGTCGCAAGACTTGCAGCGGTTTATCAAGCATCGGGACGTCCTGCAGACTTGTGGAAGGAAGAAGATGTGAGCTGAAGACTAGAGCTTCCGTGCTACTTCGACAATGTAGCAAATAGAAGATTCAATGGTTTCAAAGTGAGCACGTGCAGACTCGTCCTCGGCATTGCAATTCATGGTAATTTGGTAGTAGTCGTAAGCTTGCCCAGAACACCGAAGTATCCATTGTAGAGACACGGGAAAACCTCAGTACGAAGCAAATCACCAGCATTGGACTGATACTGGGCGTAATTGGGTTTCCCTCGATGAATGTGAATAATCGTCGTCGTCCTACCGAAGCTCTCACGCCCTGCAACAATAACAACCACGACAGAAAGAAGCGGAGAGGTGGCAGACGAGACTTGCCAGATCCCTAGACGACCATCTTCTCTTGATAACATCATTTTTCGTGATAGCGGAACTAGGATTATATCAGGATACTCAGCATCAGGGCCTGGACCAAGGGCTGTGCTTCCCAAGCGACATTGTCAAGGGGTACGTGCTTTTGAGCGATTGGGACCATGTCAAGGACTCACCTGCTGGGGCACATATTTCAGAAGATTCGGGGCACCAGAATGAGCGGACCAGCCGCCGTCGACAACGAGAGCTATTTTGTAAAACGAAAGCAGGAACCAGATTAGCCAGCCACTCTTGCCTTTGCACACTCTTCTTTTTTTTCTGCCTTTTTTGGCGGAGGTTGCGGATTAGGGAAGCCCGACGACACTCACCATGACCAGTCATATAACTCGCGTCATCCGAGGCCAAGAACAAGACTGTGCGAGCCACTTCCTTGGGATCACCACCCCTTCCCAAGGGGATACTGTCTTCGACGACCTTGACGAGATCACCCAGGCCTTCCGTCATGGGCGTGGGCATGTATCCTGGACAAATGGCATTGATGCGGATATTGTCGCGGGCATGATCAAGAGCCATTGTGCGCATCAGGTTCAGCATCCCGGCCTTGGACGCCGCGTAGCTGGCCAGACCGTATTCTCCGGCTAGCGCGGACGTGCTTGCTGTGGCGACGATGACTCCTTTCCCTTGCTTCTGCATTTGTGGGATCGCCACGCGTGCCAGGTAGAAGAGCGAGCAGAGGTTCGTGTTGATGATCTGTTGGAACTGCGTCACGTCGTGGTATGGCACCGTCGTCATGGGCGTGGGTTGTGCCGCGTTGTGGAATAATATGTCCAGTCGACCGTGCTGCTCGATGCATTTGCCGATTGCGGTTTCACAGTCTTCGGGCTTGGATACATCGCCTTGGAAGAATGTAGCCTTCTCGTCTGTCGGTGGAGTATCAGTTTGTTCAAGTTGCTGTTTCAAGCGTGTCAGGATGTCTTTCTCGGCTAGGTCCATGATGAAAACACGCGCTCCTTCGGCCAGGAATTGCGCGCATGCTTCGGCCCCGAGCCCGGATGAACCGCCTGTCACGAAGACGACTTTGTCTTCGAATCGCGGTCCTGGCATCATTTTTGTTAGAGACGCGACTGTCGTCGGTTGCACTGTACGGAGATGTTGCTTTGGGCGGTCGAGTGGAGATGTTGCGAGTGATGGAAATCGGCTCCTTTCCGAGCGAACGGGTCACCTGTTGATACGGATACGGAGGTGCGTCTTTGGATGCCCGACCTTTTTGTTGCCGTCGCAGGTTCACAGTGCTCTACTACAGGATATTAGGCTTGAGTACAAACAGCCCCTCCGAGTCGGTGAGGTGGGTGAGTGAAGGCCATCAGCTTGGGACCAGTGAACCCCTTTAGCACGAAACATGGGGAACGGAGCGACACAAACAAACCACGCCGGCGCAGCACCCAGAGTGAAACGGCCCTAAGACTCACCGTTATAGACAAGTGATAGGATACACTTCCGCAGTATCGCAGCTGTCATGCATGTCAATGCAAGTAGGATGGAATTAAGCTGAACCTGGGCAATCATTGATTGTGCAGGTGCCACGTATGACGGAGACCCACTGCTAGACTAGACACTGACTGCCGAGGTTGATATCACTGGCAATAGACCCGGGACTTGGAATTGCGTCGGTAGAAGTGAGCTAGGTCGCCTCCTGCTAGACAGCATAGCATTGGAATGTCGAGAAGTGGAACATGGATAGCACAGGAATAAATATATTGTGACTGGAATGAGTGCACAATTGAAGTAGCGTATGTCCGACTCGGAGTCGTCCGAAAACCTCGGGGGCCAATCACATGGAGAGGATATCGGAGGATATCTCGGCCCCTGCAACTGGCGGGGCAAGACTGCGACTCGCCGCACTTGCCTTTTCCGTCCGTAATCAATAGACCGCCGAAGTCGCAGATAATCTTCAAGTCGGGCACACGACTGTTTCGTTCCCTCTTGGACACCACGGCACAATCCAAGAGTGTGAACGTACAGTCGTCTCGGCGACTCTCGACAGCCCCTCGGCCGCTGTGGCCTGCCATGTCTGCGTCACTGCCTGGCAATCGGGACTTGCCCGCCTCTCAATATGACCTTTCGACCTACTGGGGTCGCGTTAGGGAATCGGCAAAGATATCAGATCCGAGGTGAGGAAGAACAAACAATGGCTTGGATTTCTCTTAAACTGGATCGCGGCATCATGGTCGGCGGCCACGGCACCGCTGATCACCGCTGAAGGTACTGCAGAAGACCACAGCGCAGTCAAATGTTTTCAATCACTTTCGGCGCAGCTGACTGATTCACTGTCTGCTAGGAACCTCTTCGTATCGAAAGCAGGCCTTGAACATGCCAAAGAACTGGTGACAGCCTACAAGACAGGACAGATCAAGGAGATGTCCCCGGAACTATGGAAGGCCAAGAAGATCGTCGACTCAACGCTACACCCAGGTACGACCTATGATTATGCATAAAGGGGGTGTTTAGGCGTGCGGACTGATAGGACTCTAGATACGGGAGAGCCAGTGTTTCTTCCTTTTCGGATGTCTTGCTTCGTGCTCTCCAACCTGATAGTGACGGCAGGCATGCTGACGCCAGGCCTCGGTGTACGGCGACCCCATTCAGGCTCATTTTCCAAGTGACAGGTGCTGACCGAGTTCCAGAACAAAGGCACAGTTGCATGGCAGATAATCAACCAGTCTGTCAACGTTGGTTTCAATAGCGCGAATGCCAACAAATCCTCCCCGTTGTCTACCAAGACGATCATCGAAAGCTACCTATTGGCCGTTTCCGCCTCCTGCTCCGTCGCCGTCGGACTTAATTCCATCGTCCCACGCCTGAAGCGAGTGTCACCCAACACGAAACTGATCCTAGGGCGACTTGTACCCTTTGCTGCTGTCGCCTCCGCTGGTGTCCTGAATGTCTTCCTAATGCGTGGAGAGGAGATCCGCCGCGGTATCGACGTCTTCCCTGTGCAGTCGGAAGCAGAAAAGGCAGAGCGTGAGAAAACCGGTAAGGAAGTCGCCAGCTTGGGCAAGTCCCGCAAAGCCGCCATCATGGCCGTTGGCGAGACGGCCATATCGCGAGTATTGAATGCGACCCCGATCATGGTTATTCCTCCGCTCATCCTGGTCCGCCTACAGAAGACGGAGTGGCTGAAGCAGAGACCAAGAATGGTTCTACCGGTCAATCTTGGTCTCATTCTAACAACAAGTATTTTCGCCCTGCCGCTTGCATTGGGCGTGTTTCCTCAGCGTCAAGCGGTTAGCGCGAGAAGTCTTGAGCCCGAGTTTTGGGATAAGGGCGGAGAAGGCGGTCTCGTAGAATTCAACCGGGGAATCTGATTCAGTTCATCAAAAGCGATTGCACAGCAGGCGGTATTTGTGATCTAGCAAGGCTCCAGCGGGGCATGCCTCGATTAGTAGTACGGGGTCTGCTGAAGGCGTGTAGTCTTTGTAGACTAATAAAGGAACATACACCACCGCTCGTGGCGAGTCACGTACAGCGTTGACTGCATGCGTATCACCTTACTGTCCGACAGCCAGCCTTGTTGGTGTTGTTCAGCCTTGTAGCTTACATGAGCGCCAAGCGTCGTACTCTCCAATCTCCGCCGTTTGTTGATGATTGTGATACCTGTACTGTGACCCTCACAGGCACATGTGTCGTTTTCATATCGGCCGTCTCCTCTGAATCTATCGTCTTGCTTGGATTTGCTGGTAGTCATGAGTTCAGAAGCAGGGACCAGCGATAATGGCTCGCTTGACTCGCAACTCGAATGGGAACTGGAGGAAGGGATCCCGCAGGTCGACGATCCCTTCATCCAGAAGTATTATGCGGGCAGGCAAGCACTGATAGAGCAAGAAAAGAAGCAGCGGCACGACCGTCTCTTCAAACAGACAATGACACCTATCGCCAAACAAGCCGCAAAGATTATGGCCTCAATCCGGCGGCGGGAGCTGAGCACCGTCTGGACATCCGAGTTTGAAGAAAGTCTCATGGACAAGAATGGCGGCAACCTGTATCCTGGAATGATGTTCACCTTGGCCCGCGACCGCATTGAGACTACTGAGCTGTGGAAAATCATTGAGCGGATGCCCAAGGGTGCTTTACTGCATGCTCACCTTGATGCCATGGTTGATATTGACTGGTTAGTCGATCAGGTCCTTGCTGAGAAAGGCATTTGTATCCTTGCTTCTGAGCCGCTCAGCGACAGGGACAAAAGAAATTCAGGCTTTCTTCAATTCCGCTACTATCCCGAGGAGGAGTTTCAGAAAAAGCAAAAGACCCAGGCCGATATTTGGGACACGACATACCACCCTAACACGCCCATTCCAATACGAGAGGCACAGCGGTCATTTCCTGACGATGATACGACGTTTAAGAAATGGTTGATCAGTAGATGCACCATCACGGCTGAGGAATCTCTATGCCATCACCATGGACTTGATGCGATCTGGCGGAAATTCCAGAGTACCTTTCCGGTCATTGGAGCGATGCTCTTCTACGAACCTATCTTTCGGCGAGCCATAGCCCGGCTGTTGGGCCAGTTGGCGGCGGATGGCATCACTTATGTGGATTTCCGGGCTGCTTTCAAGTTTGAATATCGGAAGACCGGACAGTCGCACGGGCAGGTTGGTCGGTTTGACGACTTCTTCGTGGCTTTTGGTGAGGAGATTGAAAAGTTCAAGAAAACAGAGGCGGGCAATAAATTCACCGGTGCACGCATGATTTGGACGGTGATCAGGAATCAGGATAACCGAGCCATTGCCGATGCCATGAAGGAGTGCATTCGGATGAAGAAGAAATTTCCCCATCTGATCTGCGGCTTCGATTTCGTTGCACAGGAAGATCGTGGCAGGACTTTGCAGGACTTGACGCCGATGATATTCTGGTTCAGGAAGCAGTGCGCCGAAGCAGGAGTGGAGCTTCCTTTCTTTTTCCACGCCGGCGAATGCCTCGGAGACGGCGATAGTACCGATAACAATTTGTTCGACGCGATCCTGCTGGGAACAAGACGCATTGGCCACGGCTATTCGTTGTACAAACACCCGTTGCTGATCGATATGGTTAAAGAGAAGAAAATCTTGATCGAAAGTTGCCCCATCTCCAACGAGATCCTACGGCTGTCGAGTTCTATTCTTGCCCACTCGCTACCAGCATTACTCTCCAGAGGCGTGTCGGTGTCGCTGAACAACGATGACCCTGCCATCCTAGGTCATGGTAAGAATGGCCTGAGCCACGATTTTTGGCAGGCATTCATGGCCTTTGAGAACCTCGGCCTAGAAGGGCTAGGAACAATGGCCGAAAACTCCCTCAAATGGAGTGCCATTGAAGATCAGAAAACGGCGGATTGGACCAGGACTATCGCGGAGGGATACATGGGAAAGGGCACCAAAGCAAGATTGCTCAGAGAATGGCGCTCCGAGTTCGAGAAGTGGTGTCAATTCATCGTGATGGAGTACCCGCTGGAAACAGACAGTGACGAAGATGACGAGGAAGACGAGGAAGAGGAAGAAGACGACGATGATGATGACGAGGCTGAACCAGAAGAAGATGATGACGAAGATGACGATGAATGAGACGAGATCACAGCAGCCATAACCGCAGCTAGTGGTGCAACTTTGCCTGCCTATTGCATTTATCATGGTGTTGTAGGACAGTATGTATTATTAGAGTATGAAGCCACATGTTGTCTCGTCGTCGCAGAAGTCGTATACTGTAGGTATGTGCCTAGGTAGGTAGTAGTAAAGGGGCCAGCGACGACTCGACAGCTAGACTAGCTTACTAATTAATCATTTCCGCTGTCGTTTGATGGTCACGGGGTGTCGCGTGCAAGGAATCCGTCTAACGGGGCGATTAACTGCCTCCAACAGCGCATCATGGGCCGCGCTCGTGCTCGGCTTCGACCAGACGCCCACTCATCAGTTCAGAGAAATGTAGGATGCTAACCCGCTTCAGTAAGTTGACAAGCCCATTTTCATCAGGGTAACTCTAAAGGCCGAGTTGGCCTGTCGTTGTATGGGACCAGTAATGTGATACTAACCGTGCCAAGGACCTCGTCAGGGGGACCCACCCCTCCTTCCGAGTTTGGCGGCCGCGTTTACGCGGCGCCACACTTGCTCTACGAGCAAGTG